TTATATGTACATACATGCATAACACTAATGCCTGATTGTGTTACTACGTACAGATCCACAAATAAAGAGAAAAAACTGGCAAAACTTCTGTGGACTAGAGTTAAATGACCACCTTCAGACAAGTGTAACAGATGAGCTTTCTTTAGTTTATGTTAATGTTTATTTTACACTGCATTATATTAATGTATTATTATATGTTACTTTAATCCCTTCTGCGCTGCATCCAGTCCACGGTTCACAGTTTAAGTAGGAATGTTCTCTTCATGATGATTGCAATCATGAAGTTTTAGCATATAGACAGTTGCAATTAACGATTTTAACGATGTCTTTTCTTGTTCATTTTTTGCAACTATTAAAACTCAAAAGGGGCCAAATTGGCTGATTAGCCTCCTTATCTGCTAGCTACATTTCCTTAGCATACATGGTAAAAGCATTATTGCATTTCCTATATGAGTAGGACTGGGTATTATCATATTTATCATATTTATCGTTATTGTGATAAATTATGCCAAAATATGCCACAATAAGCTTTTCTGAGTATACTGTGTTTATCGCCAGTACTTAAACACTTCCCAACTGCATGTTTGGTGAAAAAGAGAGCATAATCATATCTGAAATTGGATTTAGTGCAGCGCAGGATGTGAAATGTTGAATATACTTATTATATTCACAGTTTTTGATAGGAACTTTTAAACATAGTACTTCTTGGTCTTTCACAAAATATATATTGGGCCATTTTGTGTATTGTGAACACTTCTTAAGCACTTCTACATTTTTGCTACATCACCCATGTCTACAAGTGAGCGTGCATTATTAAAGACATAATTCAAATTCAAAATGTGCATTTGCACTTGCATTTCTATGTATAATGGCTGGAAAAAGTTCATATGGAAAAGCAAAGGCTTTTGATGTTGCACTGTCACCGTCTTAACGGTCTAATTCTGATATATTAAAAACAGAATAACAGCCGCCCTTTTTAAACCGCATTTCCTCATGGGCGAGAGGTCGGATGGTATTTTTGAGTGCAGGGTGCGTTTTGAGAGGAAGTGTCAACAAAGTCTAAATTTCGGCGGTACTGGCGCACTACCAAATGCTGCAAGTGACATTTTAACAGATCATTCTGTCCAGTTATTCCCTGTTCTTTCATGTGGAAGTGATTCTTGACCGCCTCGGAGAGCTTGTGGCTGCCTAAGCACCAACAATAGTGACGTTATGACCAGCTTTGGGCAGAGGCTATGTAAACACACAATTTAATCAGCACTTTCACATTTGCATTTGAATTTGAAAAAGGTCCTGTCATAATTCCACAAACAATACTGCATTACTAAACCTCCAGCTTTTAAAGAGAATGAGAATGAATGAAAGAGGCCTTTTCCACTAAACTGTACTACGTCAGGCTTCACTTGTTGCTATAGCGGGTTGCTAGGGCGTGTAGAGTGAGCATGGCTGCCTCCTGATGTAAAGCCTGTACATTTGTATGCGTCAGAGCTGCTGTTGTCTAGGGGCATCTGCATTGTCTCAACGCTGAATGTGTTGATACTGAATGTATCTAAAGGGCCCATATCATGTAAAACCGAACCTTTCTGACGTTTATTTGGAGAAAGAGTCTCAAGCAGTATGCAAATATTAGTCCATACTGTCCACATACGGAAACTTGTTGTCGGAACAAAACCTCATATCTCCAAAATAATAACTTTACAGGAGAAGGAAAAAACATACTTCACCTTTAATGTAAGTCAATGGAACCAGATTTTTTTCAAAGTTATTTTGGGCTATTTTCTTTGGTCAATTTATCATGAAATTTACACACAAGGTAAAGGCCAACAGGCACTAGCAGATTAGGTCAAAAAACGAAAAACGACAAAAATGGAGAAACAATGTTTTTGTTCTGACAGCAGCGATATGTTCGCCTATTCCTCCTACAGCAGTTTAGCTCCGCCCACTCGCCCTGAAGTTATAAGGAGTGTTTCAGCCCGGACTGCTTTTACAGAACATTCAAGGGCAGCCCATCAGAACAGAAGTCATTTGCATACATCAGCCTTAAAGGCACAGTTACAAAAACAGCCTGCTTCATTCTAAGTGATGAAGACTGGCTGGAATGGTCATGTACAAATGAATTATGATGTTGATAATTATGATACATATTTTGGTACATTAAAGCAAACACACATTATAAATGATAAAAAAAAATGTAAACAAAAAACAAGTGTAGGCAATGAGACATTTAAAGTCTAAATCTCCTCTCCTTTGTGCCCCGTCTCTGACAGGCAACCTGTTGTAATATAGACTCATTCAAAATTTTTCAATACCAGTACACTGACTATGACAATTCGTGAACGACACTTTTTTCCATGATACTGTCCTTCAAATTACAAACTGCAATTGGGTGTGGCTTAAACTAGACAATGAATCGCAGACTAATAAAGAAGTGTTTACAATATGCATTGGGAATTATTCAGCATATTAGCTCACTGCTGCTGATATAACTGCCTGCGTAAATACTGAAATTTAGTATTGAATAAAATACTCCAAGTACTCCTTACCAGCTGTTGTTGTTTACAGACCCCCTATAACTGGTATAAATCACTGTATTTCATGACCCATGCCAGTTGTTCGGTGTTTTAGATGTACTGACAATACCCATATGCTCAAAAACAGAGTATTGTGAAGTAATTTACCGTGATAACATATCATTATATTGCCCACCTCAAGGGAACAGAAGGCATAATATCATGTAATATTACTGCATTAACATATGGACGCTGAAACTACCCAAAAAGGTATTTGGAGTTGTCATCTTCAGCTGTCCGACACTAGTGAGCAGACCCACATAGCACACAGCATTTTAGTGACAAAATGGCCTATATTCATCATGTCAGCGCTCCAAACTTGGCAAGCAAGCGCTGCAGAGGCCGACACAAGATCAGTCTGTGAGATCAGTCTGACATTGTACCAAGTAGAAGCCCTCAGCTTCTGCCAATCAGAATTACACAACCAGAGCATGACAGAACAGAAGTTAGGTACAAGGCGTCTCGCTCCGGATCTGATATTTTGAAGGGAAAGCTTTAATACCGAATCGTCATGACACGATAGCTAATCATAGCCTGAAGATAACGACTAGTATCTTTTCAACGGTTCAGCTTCAGTACGACATCATCTGAGACACGGAAACATACAGACTATGGAAAACAGTACTGTATCAGCTGTTATAGCCAGTCAAACTGCAGAGACAACTTCTTGCAGCATCTCACGCACAGCTTTTGCTTGCCACTGTAAAATCCCCCAGGATCAATAAATCTACCCTTGAAGGTACATCAGTCTATCAATAGCAGCCTTTTTAATTTTGAAACTGACTCGTCGATATATAGGCTCTTCTTTCTGCAGTAATGCTCAGAAAAAGAACACACACATTCATAACGATTCAGATGGTCAACATTAACCAGAAACAAAAGCTAAATCAGCTGTAACATTAAAGCCACCCCCCTGTTTCGACACTCACTGTCCATTTTATCAGCTCCACTGACCACATAGGAGCACTTTGTAGTTCTACAGTTACAGTTAGTTGTGTTCTAGTGTGAGTTTTTAAACGCTGTGTCCACTCACCGTCCACTCTATTAGACACTCCTACCTTGTCGGTCCACCTTGTAGATGTAAAGTCAGAGACGATAGCTCATCTGCTGCTGCACAGTTTGTGTTGGTCATCCTCTAGTCCTTCATCAGTGGTCACAGGATGCTCCCCTATTCTCAGTCCAGCAGCGACACTGAGGTGTTTAAAAACTCCAGCTGCACTGCTGTGTCTGATCCACTCAGACCAGCACAACACACACTAACACACCACCACCACATCAGTGTTACTGCAGTGCTGAGAATGATCCACCACTCAAATAGTACCTGCTCTGCTGTGGTCCTGTGGGGGTCCTGACCACTGAAGAACAGGGTAACAAAGTATGCAGAGAAACAGATGGACTACAGTCTGTAACTGTAGAACTACAGAGTGCTCCTCTATGGCCCAGTGGAGCTGATAAAATGGACAGTGAATGTAAAAACAAGGAGGGGTTTTTAATGTGATGGTTCATCGGATTAGACACAAACAGAAAGGAATCCATTACTGGCAGTATTTACTTCAGTTTGGATGCTGAATAATAGAAGATGTGGCCACCCAAGTACCTAATATAAGGTCTGCATTGATACTACCACTGTTTCAGACTTAAAACGTCTCTATTAAATTCTGCAATGATGTCCTCTGAGCCGTGGTCCCATCAGATAGAGAGAGCTGATGGGTTTCTAGAACTGGAGAACATAGGTTTGGTTCTTGTGTTCACCCAGTGAGAAAGTAGCAACGGTTTACAGTCCAACACGCTGGTGAAGATTGATCCACACACTAAATATAACGTAATGACAGCTTCTTATTCGCCATCTTCTTGTTCGAATTGTCCCGTTCCACCTTAAATGGTGCAGCGGTCACGTTCTGGCGCCTCAGGCGTTATAACAACTGCTGCAGCATTTAAGGTGGAACGGGAAAATTCGACCAACAAGCATTCACAATGATGAGAACACTGAAATATGAAGTGCCAAACGTTATAAGAGAATGACCGCAACTGGAAATGAAGGAAAGGTTTGTGCTCTGCTTTCAGAAATAATAAATAATAATGTAAAATAATGTGACTACTTACGTTAGTGCTACTCAAACACGAGAACACTGATAGATCACCTAACCTACCGTAGAAACGCCTTGTTTTCCTCACAGTAGCGCTACATTATTTGCACAATAACGCAGCAAATTACAGTATATAAGTTAACCAGCACTGATATAGAACTAAATAATCATTATCTAGAACCACACACCTTCAAAAAAACATAAAACTAAATAAAAACACACACTGATAGCCGTTAATCCGCCAACTCGCTCAGCAGGGCAGGGTAACGTTAGTGTTAGCTACGGCAAGCTAACTCGGCTGCGCTGAGGGTTGAACGGCCGTTTTCATCGTTTTTATCTTCACCTGAAAGGGGTTGCTGAAGTCCGGGTCCGCGAAGGGGTTGCTGTCAAAATCCGACATGTTGAGGATGAAATGTCTTCGCCGTCCAGGAGCGATAAAACCCTTTAATAAACCCCTGAAATAAACCCTTAATAAAGCCTTAACAAATCCCACTCTCCGCTCTCGGCGCTCCGCTCTACAACGGATCCCTCGGATCCCACTGCAAAATGGCAGCGGAGGAAATGACGACTGCGCTCCATCGGCCTGCACAGCGCAGCGGATAGACAGACAGATCAATACATTAACGTGTAGATAGATGGACGGATAGATATTTAATACTCTGGAAAAAGGTTATAGGCACCTGAGAAAATTATTACACCCATATTTATGGAAGACCCATTCCAGCCACCTAAAAATAAAAAATCTAACACCCAATTTATTTTTTTTTCATTATTAAGTGAGATGCCAAGTCAGTACTTTGAGATAGTGTCTCATTCTCATTATTTTGAGATATTTTCTCATTATTTTCAGACGCTTTCACATTATTTTGAGAAACTTTTTCATTATTTTTAAATGCTGTCGCTGAGATACTATCTTTTTATTTTGAGATGCTAAGTCATTATTTTGAGATACTATCTCTTTATTTTGTGATGCTGTCATTAAGATACTGTCTCATTATTTTGAGATACTTAGTCATTGTTTTGAGATGCTTTCTCATTATTATGAGATGCTTTCTCATTATTTTGAGAAACATTTTCATTATTTTGTAATGCTGTCACTAAGATACTATCTTTTTATTTTGAGATGCTAAGTCATTATTTTGAGATACTATCTCATTATTTTGAACTGCTTTCTCATTATTTTAAGGGGCTTTCTCATTATTTTCAGAAACTTTTTCATTATTTTTAAATGCTGTCACTGAGATACTATCTTTTTATTTTGAGATGCTAAGTCATTATTTTGAGATACTATCTCGTTATTTTAAAAGCTGTCATTATTCTAAGGCGCTTCATCGTTATTTTGAGATGCTGTCATTGGAATACTATCTCATTATTTTGAGATGCTAAGTCATTTTTTGAGATGCTGTCTCATTATTGTGAAAAGCTGTCATTATTTTGAGATACTATCTCATTATTTTGCGATGCTGTCATTAAGATACTATCTCATTATTTTGAGATGCTAAGTCATTATTTTGAGAGTGTCTCATTCTTTTGAGATACTTAGTCATTATTTTGAGATACTTTCTCATTATTTTAAGATGCTTTCTCATTATTTTGAGAAACTTTTTCATTATTTTTAAATGCTGTCACTGAGATACTATCTTTTTATTTTGAGATGCGAAATCATTAATTTGAGATACTATCTCATTATTTTAAGAAGCTGTCATTATTCTAAGGTGCTTCATCATTATTTTGAGATGCTCTCATTGGAATACTATCTTTTTATTTTGAGATGCTGTCATTTTTTGAGATACTATCTCAATATTTTGAAAAGCTGTCATTATTTTGAGATACTATTTCATCATTTTGAGATGCTATCATTAAAATACTATTTCATTATTTTGAGATGCTTAGTCATTATTTTGACATACTATCTCATTATTTTGAAAAGCTGTCATTATTTTGAGATGCTGTCATTTGACTGGTGGGAATGAGCTTCCATAAATGTTAGAATGAATGCGAACAATATAAAAACATTAAGTATTGCTTTTATTTGTGTCAGTGTGTTTATTTAAAGGGAAATTCTGCTGTTTTTTTTCTAAATCACACAAAAAAAGCGAAAATAGGTTCTCTTCCTAAATGAGTTTTGGGAAGTAATTGTGATATTAAATATTTTTCGCTATAAAATATTATTCTTTATTTGTTTTTTTTCGTTATTATTTTATTGGTTAGTTTACAGCCCGTTTCAAAAAAAGTTGGGACGCTGTACAAAATGTAAATAAAAATTGATGCAATGATGTATACTACAAGGGGGCTACGCACCTAAGATTTTCACTCACCTTCGCACCTGTGTAATGTGATGTAACAATAAACATGATTTGATGTTATTTGATTTGAAATCATGTAAACCTTGTATTTGATTGAAAATAGTACAAAAACAAATGATCAAATGTTGAAAATGAGAAATTGCATTGCTTTTTGAAAAATATATGGCCGTTTTGAATTTGATGACAGCAACAGTTTGGGACAGTGGCATGTTTACCATCACCTCTTCTTTTAACAACACTGTAAGTGTTTGGGAACTGAGGAGACACTGCTGTAGTTTTGAAAGTGAAATGTTTCCCATTCTTGTTTGATACGGGATTTCAGCTGCTCATCAGTTCAGGGTCTCCTTTGTCATATTTTTGTTCCATAATGCACCAAATGTTATCAGTGGTGACAGGTCTGGACTGCAGGCAGGTCAGTTTAGGAGCAACGCTCCTTTAATACATGCAGAATGTGTTTGGCATTGTTTTGCTGAAATAATCAAGGCCTTCCCTGAAAGAGACATCATCTGGATGGCAGCATATGTTGCTCCAAAACCTGTATATATCGTTCAGCATTAATGGTGCCTTCACAGATGTGCAAATCAACCATGCCATGTGCACTAATGCACCCCCATATCATCACGGATGCTGGCTTTTGAACTGTGCACTGATAACGAGGTGGATGGTCGTCAGCCCAGAGGATGTAGTGTCCATAATTTCTAAAAAGAATTTAAAATTTTGATTCATTGACCACAGGACTTTTTTCCACTTCACTTCCGTCCATCTTCAAAGAGCTTGGGCCCAGGGAAGGCGGCAGTGTTTCTGAATCCTGTTTATATATGGTTTCTTCTTTACATTGTGGAGTTTTAACTTGCATTTGTGGATGCAGAGATGAACTGTTTTCACAGACAGTGTTTTTCAGATGTGTTTCTGAGCCCATGCAGTGATCTTCTCTACAGAATCGTGTCTGTTTTTAATGCAGTGCTGTCTGAGGGCCTAAAGATCACAGCCAGCATATACTGGTTTTTGGCCTTGTCCCTTACATACAGAGATTTCTCCAGATTCTCTGAGCCTTTTAATGTTATTATGTACTGTAGATGATGAAAAGCAAAAGTTCTTTGCTATTTTATGTTGAGAAACGTTATTCTTGAATTGTTGCTCTATTTGCCTGCGCAGTCTTTCACAGAGTGGTAACCCCTCCTCATCTTTACTTCTGAAAGACTCTCTGGGATGCTCTTTTATACCCAATCATGTTACCGACCCGTTGACAATTAACCACCAGGTGTTTTTTTTTAGCATTACACAACTTTACCAGCTCTCAAATCTCAACAACTGAATTATGCAAAAAAGTTTAAAAAATTGGTGGAATTGCCCTTTTTCAAACCTCTCCTTGTGGCAGCCGAAAATATTAGGATTTGTAGTTACAGATATCTGTAAATGGAAAATTTTATTTATTTTACATTCTGGGTGTCCAAAACTATAGATTTCACAGTAGAAAATAATCAGTACTGACAATTCAGGTAAACTGCTGCCATCTAGAGCCTAACACAGAATCATGCACTTTAGTCACCAGGAATAAGATGTACAAGTGCAGGTGTCAACATACGCTGTATGGCCAAAAGCATGTGTACACCCCTCCTAATTATTAAATTCATGTATTTCAGCCACACTCTTTGCTAACAGGTATATAAAATTAAGCACATAGCCATGCCGTCTCTGTAGACAAACACTTGCAGTAGGTTGTACTGAAGACCTAAGTGACTTCAAATGCGGTATTGTCATAATTTGCCACAAGTCAGTTTGTGAAATGTACACCCTGCTAGATCTGCCCTGCTCAACTGTAAGTGCCATTATTGTGAAATGGAAGTGTCAAGGAGCAACAACAGCTCAGCCACAAAGTGGTAGACCATGTAAAGTCACAGGGCCGGGCTGCTGAGTGCTCAACTGCATAGCACATAAAAATCGCAACATCAGCAAAAGAACTTTGCTTCTGGAGCTTCACGAAACGGGTTGCCAAGGTTGAGCAATTGCACATAAACCTAAGATTACTATGCGCAATGCCAGGTGTCGGCTGGAGTGGTGTAAAGCACAACGCCACTGGGACTCTGGAGCAGTGGAAACGTGTTCTCTACAGAGATTAATGACACTTCACTATCTGTCAGTCTGATGGATGAATCTGGGTTTTGTGGACGCCAGGAAATGCTACCTTCCAGAATGCATGGCACCAACAATAAAGCTTGGTGGAGGAGGGATAATGGGCTGGGGCTGTTTTTCAGGCCCCTTATTTACAGTGAAGGGTGATGATGATGCTACAGCAAACAAAGACATTTTAGATAATTATATGCTTCCAACGCTGTGGCAGCAGTTTCCTGTTCAAGCATGACTGTTCCTCTTCCATTGGCACAAAGCAGCTCCATAAAGACATGGTTTGTGAGTTTGGTGTGGAGGAACTCCAGTGGCCTGCACAGAGACCTGACTTTAACCCCACTGAACACCTTTGGGATGAACAGGAACGTCGATTATGAGCCAGGCCTTCAGTGCCTGACCTCACTAATGCTCTTATGACTGAATAGGCAAAGCCAGAAGAGTGGAGGCTGTTATAGCTGCAAAGGGGGGCAACTCCACATCAACGCCCATGGTGTTGAAATAAGAGCTCATGTAGGCGTGATGGTCAGCTGTGATGGTGAGGTGTCATACTTTTGGCCATTTAGTGTAGACTCCAGACGTGGTCATATGTGTACAAATACCACCTAATACTGTCAGATTACAACATTTCTCTAATGATGACATCAACACTGTTCAATAAGACATCATATAATTATAAACAGATAGTCTGGCTGCTCTGGGACAGTCAGCGCTCAAAACAGTGTCCATGATACTTTTTTATCGGGCAATAAATAACAGGTGCCAAAGTCCAGTGTGCTTACTATTCCAGGCTACTCATCAGACAGACACACAGCCGAAATCCTGTCAAACATTAACAGAAGAAAACAGGCTGTGAAACTGCACTGATGTCATCCCACATTACCTGGGGGCATTTGGGAGTCTCACCTTCGTCAGCAGACGCTTTACTCTACCTACTGACATTTTATTCACAATAATACATCACTACTTTCCACAATACTCCTTCATTCGTAATAACTTCACCTCTGATGTCACAATAGAGAACAATGAGGCGCCACAGCTCACACCGGTGACGTTAGAAATCAGTGAAATCCGTGGCCGCTTGAGGGCGCCCCCTGCCGGACGCTCAGCAGGCAGGATGCGACTAACATGGAGCCTGGCTCTGCTTCTCTGCTCCGGCATGATGTCCGGAGCGATAGAGCCCATCTCCACCGGCCTCGCTATGGGAATAGCGGCCGCCGTCACCGGCTTTCTGGCCCGATACCAGAACGTGCTGTACTACTTCCAGGAGTGCTGCCGGCCGGAGTGGATCTCCTACAACAAAACAGGTCGGTGATCCAGCCACTGTGGACCAAAGCGTTTCTTCTGTTTCCTCTTTGGTTCCTTTTGCGGTTCTGGTGTTGCACATTTTAGCGTCTCTCCTGCTCCAACACGTGTTTTTCAGCGCTTTGCTGCTCAGCTGAGTCGGGTTTTTTAGCTAACAAGTGCAGTTAACCCCGACCCCGGACTCACAGCTTCCGTTTTCAGTCATGAATCTAACTAAGTTTTCACTTATTTCTAAACTGTAGTTCTTTTTTAATTCGTGGTTTTTAAGTAAATGTGAACGAGCCGAAAGCCACGATGGGTAAATCTCAGCTAGCCTGCCTGTTTCTTTGTGTTTTTGTTTGTTTTTGACAAGGTTGTCTTCCTATTCGCCAACTTCTTCTTCGAATTTTCCCGTTCCACCTTAAAAACGCAGCCCTTACATTCAAACGCCCGAGACGTCAGACTGTAGCTGCTGCGGCATTTAAGGTGGAACGAGGGAATTCGAATAGGAAGTCAACTTCAGTCTCTTTTGTTTGGTTGTTTGTTTTAATGAACGAGTGAGCTTTTAAAACAAGCATTACAAATTGCATTATAAAGTCTACAACCGTTTAATTAGTAGAGAATATTTACATTTACGTCGTTAATATTACACTTAAAGCCACTCGGCGCATGGAAATGGCGTCACCGGTCTCGTTGGCGCGCCGGAGAACGACGTCACCGGCTGGTCCTGTTGGGGGAAGTGGCGGAGCTGAGTTGGAGCTGCAGAGGGAGATTTTTATATAAAGTGTTTAAATTATTTGTACATATATGACTTAATAAATTAAGGAACAGTGAAGTATGAAAGCGCCGTGTTCGACGGTACTGCGGTACGTGGTGCTGACCAGCGCGCTGGTCGGGGCCTTTGAGCCCGTCAGCACGGCGGTGGTGGCCGGAATGGGAGCCGCGGCGCTGGGAAGGAAACTCTACCACTACCTGTACGAGAACTGCGACGGAAACTGGATCAGTTTTAACTCCACCGGTAAGAAAAGACCCCTAAATATGACCTGGAGCGGAGGAGGCAGCGGGTTAGTGACCCAGCTAACGACCGGACGACTGTTGTAACCGCTTAAGTTTCGATTTTCTGGCAACGCCGGTCATAAACGGGAGAGCGACTGGATTACTTTCACTTGTAGTGCGCCTCTTTATTCCCTATTTAAAGGGGAACTCCACCCGTTTTTTGCACTGCATAGCTCAGTGGCTGAGGTGTAAACAGAGTCAATCGGAGTGGTTTAATGTGAAAAGATTCATTGTAGAGAAACTAACAGACTCAGATGTCTTTACAGTGGCGGTGATAGGAACCAGGGGTCACCATGTCTACAACACAAATATAGACATTTCATTTACTGTCCAAAACCACCAGTGAACCTACACTAGTCTTCTGAGTTTTTCTGCAGTGCTGATGATGGTAAAATAGTCATTAAAAAAAAAAAGTTTTCTTTGGGGACTATTTTGCCTCACAACGCCCTGCATGTATCCGTCTACTGTGAGTGTTTTTAAAAGGCCAGAATCTCAAAACAATGATATCTTATCTAAAACAGTCATAAAGCAGCGTCTTGGGCATCAGCCAGCGCATTCGTAACCATTTCATGTAATACGTTTCTGTGAGTTAGGTTGGTCACTGATCTATTAACTTGTTTCACTTCCTCATGGGTCGCATTATCCTTCGTTTGTGGGCAGAAGCTTTAAAATGTTTTCAGGTTTCCACATAAAAAAATTAGTTCCTAAAGTAAGTATTTTTTAAATTAGCAACATTATTCTTATTATTAGAGAGGTCAGCTATTATAATAGACAATAAGTAATAAATAAACATGATAAACAAATGGAAGTAATGGTTTTAGATTTGTAAAGTTGTCTTTTGTTTTTGTTTGCTTAAATTTATGAATGAAACATTTTTCGTTGAAAGCTGTATCAATGTCTATGTTTCATATTTCTTTTCCAAACAAAGTGTCTTTCTTTTAAGTTAACCCCACCGTTCTTCAGCTTGAGCATGCACTGATGAGTGGCCCATAATTCTCTGCTTGTGTCTGGCAGGTCTGGAGGAAGACCTGCGTACGAAGCTGTTTGGGCAGCATGTGGCCGCTCGGGTCATCTTGAAGGCAGTTACGGGGTTCATGAACAACGAGAACCCCAAGAAGCCGCTGGTTCTCTCCCTGCACGGCTGGACTGGCACGGGTAAGAACTTTGTGAGTCAGCTGATCGCGGAGAGCATTTACCGTAAAGGAATGACCAGCGGATTTGTGCACCTGTTCACGGCCACGGCCCACTTCCCCCATGAGATGCATCTGGATTTATACAAGGTGAGCGATGCAGTAGATGTTACTGCTGGTATATCGTATGTAGGTAACTGGATCTACACAAGAGTCTGATAAACAGATAATATAAGTTAGGCCCCTACTGGTCACTTTATCAGAAACCCTTTGTTTATTGTAGCTCCACCTTGCTGGTGAACAGTGTACACTGTAGCTAATCATGCGTATAGGTGTTTCTAATGAAGTGGACAGTGAGTGGAAGCACAAGGCGGGTGTTTCTAATAAAGTGGCCAGTTAAAGCACAAGGTAGGTGTTTCTAATAAAGTGGCCAGTGAGTGGACATGTAATAACTACAGTATTAGAATAGAGAATTAGTAGAAATCAGTACATAATCGTAATCTCTCTCTCTCTGTGTCTCTCTGTCTCTGTACACAGTCACAGCTGCAGCAGTGGATAAAGGGTAACGTGACTAACTGCCCTCGTTCCATGTTCATATTTGATGAGATGGATAAGATGCACCCTGGTCTGATTGACAGCATAAAGCCATACCTGGACTTCTACGAAAGCCTGGATGGGGTCTCCTACAGACAGGCCATCTTCATCTTCCTCAGGTGTGTTACATTAGTCAGGGATAATATAAAACCTTTCTGAAATTCTTCCTTGAGCCCAACTAGTAATCATTACTTAGGTGGTCCTGTAGCCAGTCTCCTTGTTCAGTCCTTAGAGTTTCACTCCTAATATATTTCAAAATTCAAGTCAGTTCAGTAGTCTTTATGTACGAAATCTCTCACAGCGAGTGCTGCTCTCGGTTCTGTTCATATAACTGCATTCCTTGATTGAAATGAAAAATACTGATCCTGTATTTTATGCTGAGAGGCTTATTAAAAATGCTCCAAAATGTTAAGTGTCACGTATGTGTATTCTTGCAGTGCCCTCCTATAAAATAAACAGGATCAGTGGCAGAATGAACCACATCCTGGGTTTGTTCATTCCAAATAGATTTAGAAAATAAAAGTGAAAAATAATAACAATAAAAACAATAATAACTTTTTATCTAGTTCTAATTGTAATAAAATATTCTTCTTACACACAAAAGTGTGGTATGGATTGTAAGTTTTGATTCTGCACTTTCCACACAGTTTTACAGTTTAGTTCAGTGAGCTCGGCTAAATAAACCTCTTTATAGGGCTCTAAGGGAACACACTAGAGAAACTAGAGGCTTTAGGTTTGGGCATCAGTACGGTCCAAGTTATGACGTCTTACAAATCGCTCCGTGAGTTGGCAGGCTCAGTCTGCTGCATGTTTTGTTTATATTTATGTGTGTTTCTCCATAGTAACGCTGGAGGGGAGAACATCGTGCAGGTGGCTCTGGATTTCTGGACTGCAGGAAGAGAACGAGAGGAAATTGAGCTGAAGCATTTGGAGACAGCCTTGTCCCTGTCTGTGTTCAACAACAAGAATAGTACGTAGAAGAAACGGATTAATAGTTTTATTCCTACATTAAGGTTTTGCTGATTTTTGCATACTTTTGATTTTGTATGATCATGTTGTCATTTTTGATTGCACATCAAATATTCCTGCTCTTCAGATTCAGCTAGTGGGATGTAAAAGTGAACAAGAACACCCAAGTCCTGTACCGTGATCTCTTCTACACTAGAATAAGAGATATTAGTCCATAAATGTCAGAAAACAATCCTATACACAAGAACAGGAGATATTTGTATATAAACAATACCAGTAAATGCTCCTAAACACTAGAAAGGGGTGATATTAGTCTATGAACAACCTCATAAATACTAATACAGTACAACAGGAGACCAGTTAACTCATACACTTGAATAAGAGATATTACACTACGAACAACACCAATGAACACTCATATACCCCCGAACATGACAGAGACTCATATACGCTAGTATAAGAGATATTATTCCGAGTACAATCTCAATAAATGTAGATGTAGAATGTGATAGTGAAGCTCCTGTACACTAGGAGATATTAGTCCAGAACCAACCCCAGTGAAGCCTCTGTACACTAGGAGATATTAGTCCAGAACCAACCCCAGTGAAGCCTCTGTACGTGTGCTCTAGTGCGAGTTTTTAAACACTGTGTCCACTCACTGTCCACTCTGTTAGACACTCCTACCTTGTCAGTCCACCTTGTAGATGTAAAGTCAGAGACGATAGCTCATCTGCTGCTGCACAGTTTATGTTGGTCATCCTCTAGTCCTTCATCAGTGGTCACAGGATGCTGCCCACAGGACGCTGTTGCCTGGACGTTTTTAGTACTCAGTCCAGCAGCGACACTGAGGTGTTTGAAAAACTCCAGCAGCACTGCTGTATCTGATCCACTCAGACCAGCACAACACACACTAACACACCACCACCATGTCAGTGTCACTGCAGTGCTGAGAATGTTCACCCAAATGTCCACCCTGTGGGGGTCTTGACCATTGAAGAACAGGGTAACAAAGTATGCAGAGAAACAGATGGACTACAGTCTGTAACTGTAGAACTACAAAGTTACCCTATATGGTCAGCGGAGCTGATAAAGTGGACAGTGAGTGTAAAAACAAGGAGGCGGTTTGAATGAAGTGGCCAGTGTTATTAACTAAAATGCTCTTCTCTCTCTGTAGGTGGTTTCTGGCACACTAGTCTAATAGACAAGAACCTGGTGGACTTCTTTGTGCCTTTCCTTCCTCTGGAATACAAGCACGTAGTGCAGTGTGGCCTGGCTGAAATGGCCGCTAAAGGCCTGACTCCAGATGAAGAGGTGGTGGACCGTATGGCACGAGACTTGAACTTTTTCCCCAAAGAGGAGCGCGTGTTTTCTAGGCAAGGCTGCAAGATCATCTCCAGCAGGCTGGACTTCTACATCTAACTGGAAAATAAACCGAGAGACGCTCCACTCTGTGCCCTAAAGAGTTGCACTGGTTCACAGTGAAAGTGAATTGAACGGGATGGATTGAATACGCCTGCCAACACTACTGTTGTCCTGGATGGAACGTGCTGCATTATTTCCATTGTGTCGCTCGTAATTGATGCATTGGTGGGGCGGGGATAGTTTTTAATCACTCGCAAGGGATTATGGACCTTCTCTTTTAAAAAGTTTACTAATTAAGAACTGTGATGGCTTAACTCCTTGTTTTTAAGGAGGATCACAGTCTAATGAACGATTCCTGGCAGCATGAATGAGTTGGGGGGGGTGGGTATCTTAAATGGTCATTTTTTATGACCTAGAGTAAATTTTGTTTTAACTTTGTCTGTAAATGGAAAACGCAACACAATGTCTTAACCTGTAAGATGTCAAATCGAACTACTTTTGTCTGCCTGTTGATTTTGACACATTATCATTTTCATATCAAATCTGATGCAGTGCAGAACCGAACATGTAGATCACTGGATCATCACAACAGCAAATAGTGACCGCAGAGTTGTCATCGTCGTCTGCAAGTCCATCTTGACCAAATTAGAAACAACAGTAGGCTAAATGAAGGACGCCTACCGATGAAATGTGTTTTCCTCAGCACTACAAATGGCTGGTAAAAGTTGACAGCGCAGCTTTTCCTTTCCAAACACTGTCCACAGACTGTGATCATGTTTTGTGCTGTATGTGAAAGATGCAATGCCTTTTGGATGGAACTGTATGAAAATGATTGTTCTCTCGTGTTCACCTCACAGGTTAAGGCTCTTGGGATAAAGTTGTTTAAAGAATGACGAAATCTGTTCATTCCCACAAACCTCTTTGGTCCTCATTTGTAATTTACGCTGTGTTTTTGTGTTTTAAAGCGGTACAGACCCACTCCATTTCCATTTCATGGTGTTTAAAGGGCCCACATCATGCAAAACAGTTAGACATTGTTAAGGTTTCACCCTCAGCCCATACAGTCCAGTTCAAAACAAAGCTGGAAATAAAACAGCCTGTTTTGAACTGTTTTCATGATGTGAAAACAGCACATTTACATTCATCCACCTATTCAGCCTACAGCAGTTTAGCCCCACCCACTCACACTGAAGTTGTAAGGAGTGTTTCAGCCTGGACTGTGTTTTTAAAGGGATGCAATACAGGGCAGCCAAGTAAGATTGTTTAATTCTAAGGTATAAAGAGAGGTTGGAAAATGTCATGTAAAAATTAATTAGCTGTTTTTGCAACATGGTACAAGAAAAATAGAAGAGAATGCACGATATGGGTCCTTTCACTGGTTCTGTATAGCACCAAAAGGGGTTCTTCTACTGTTAAAAGCTTGCCATTAACAATAGCAGAACCCTTTTTGGTGCTATTTAGAATCATGTTTGAAAAGGTTTTATATACAATCATCTACAGCATGTTCTTCATCAATGTGAAGAACCCTAAAATCATGCATCAGTCATCATTCTTTGAGTGTTCATGGTTCTACATAGAATCTTTTTCTTTTTTAAAGTACCCTTGAAGAACAATCTTTTTTTTTGTGTACCACAAAACAAAATCTCAGACCGTGTTTTTGTAACCATTTCATGTAGTAACTTTCTGTGAGGGAGAGGTGGACGTCTGGTTCCTATCACCACCACTGTGAACAATACTGACAGTAAGTTGCTCTAGAACAGAGCGTTTCACACCAAACCACTCAATGACTTTGTTTATATCACAAAGATTTAATTATGCAGAAATTTGGAAAAATTGGTGGAATTCCCCTTTCATCTAAAGTGTTAAGGCTTCTCTTCAGCTCCTGAAGTCCTAACCAGCCATAACATTAACCCCACCTCCTTGTTTCTACACTCATTGTGCAACAGGGAGTTTGAACATTGTCCAGCTCAAACTCCCTGGTCTGCCATTCTTCAGCATTCTGGTTTAAATTTCATTGTTTGCACAAAAAAGGAACTGATGTTGCAGATGTGCTGGTATGTAGGTGCCACATAGATGACAGGTGATGATTTTTTCACTGTAACTCTGAATAAAAATCCTTTCCATTAGTTGTAGCCCACTGTACTGAGCCATGACACATTTAAGTTCCCTTAATTATACTAAATATACCTTTAGTCAGTGATGAGAATCCAGTGGTACTCGCCTTACAGACCTGTACATCACACCTCTCCTAATTTTACTGACTGTCTTCACTGCTTTCATTTTTTTAGCCATTCAAATTAAGAAGATAATAGTCATATTTATAGCTTAGATGTTTAAAGGGGAATTCCATTGTTGTTTTTTTTTAATTCTGCATATTTAAATGGTTAAAACTTGAAGTCATTCAGAGTTTTTTTCACACCAGGTTTGGTGTGAAATGTTCATTTCTACAGAAACTTACAGAGTCAGAGCTGTTCACAGTGGTGGTGATAGGAACCAGACGTCCACCTCTAAAAGCTCCCTCACAGAAAGTTATTATGTATGATTATGACTTCACTGCCTGATGACGTTTTTTTTAATAATAGTTTAAGGAAGGTTTTGGCCTAAAACATATTTTTTTTAAATTCATTAATGTTGGAGGGATACATGCAGGACACACACACACACATCTTCTAAGCTGCTTATCCTTCTGGGTTGCGGGGGGGAGCTGGAGCCTATCCTAGCAGTCATTGGGTGGAAGGCAGGATACACCCTGGACAGGTCATCAGTCACTCGCAGGGCAGACAGACAGACACATTCACACCTAGGGACAATTTAGCATGCCCACTCAGCCTGACTGCATGTCTTTGGACCGTGGGAGGAAACCGGAGCACCCAAGGGAAACCCACACAGACACGGGGAGAACCCTGGTCGCCCGGCTGGGAATCGAACTCAGGCTCTTCTTGCTGTGAGGCGACAGCGCCACCCACTATTTTACCATCAACATTCCATAAAAACAGTGTAGGTTCACTGGTGGTTTTGGATAGTAAATAAAATATATCTGTGTTGTAGTCATGGCGACCCCTGGTTCCTATCACCACATCTGAACCATTCCACACCAAACCACTCTGAATGATTGTTTACATCTCAAGGACCGAATGATTCAGAACTTACGGAAGATTGGTGAAACTCCCTTTTAGCAATATAGCTAAATAATTACGAAGAACTTCTGAAACGTGTGGAATTCCCCTTTAAGGTCTTCAAAGGTGCAAATAAGTATTTTAATTATTATATAATTAATGTAAATCTATTATTGTACTGTATTTTATGTATTTTGCTAATACTGTTATTATTATAAATAATAGAAAAAGTAACATTCAAACAACAACAGAATCAAAAAGTTATTTTGTTTAATTTTGGTTTTGATTTTTGAAAATCAGTGTAATTCCCCATTAAATAATATTATGCAGCAGATAAGTTCACTTCCTGAACTGCATTAGCACATCGTTTTAGACTCTCTCAACAAATTCAGGCCCATTTATTAACGAAAACTGTCAAATTTAATTACATTTAACACAAACAGCCAACTTTGTGACTTGATGTCTTGCAATAGTTTTGTTTTTTCTGTTTTCGGTAGCTGCGTACAGATAAATTAATTCCACATAATGAACGTTTATTTGAAGAGCTCTTTTTTTAAACAATACACGTTCCCAAACAGAAAGACTGATAAACGCCAGGCCTGGAGGCCCACAGCACTGTTTAGCATTCATCCTTCTCATTAGATAAAGAGCTGAATTAAGTGTGTTACAGCAGGAAATCACTAAGTGTTGTGGTTGTGTGGCCCTCCAGCCTGGAGTGGGAATCTCAGATGACTTTTGACGTAGGTTTATCCACGGGGCAGAAATCAGCTCGCTCTCCCACTCAGGCTGGAATGTGATTCTCCAGCATGCTGGACAGAAACGTTGGTGTTCCGGGTCCAGGTCCAGTCCAAAGCTGCACTCTCAGGCACAGTTCATTAAACAGTTCAGGGTTCCGTTAGACCAGCAGCACCGCGTTAATGCAGCCGTCGTTTTCGGGGTTGTTGGTCACTTGAGCGTATTTACCTGGAAGAGAGAACAGCAACGTTACAACTACAGTCTTTTTCTTATGTAGATTTACAGTTAGTTTTTCAGAGCAACACCAAGGGTCCGTCTCACAAAGCACATTTAACTCAGACGAGGGTCCCGACAAACTTTCAGCTTCTCGAAACCTGCGTAAAACAGTCTTAAGCAAATGTTTTAACACCCCTGGCCAAATTACATTATGCTGATTTTCACCCTTTAAACACCTCGTCTACTGAGAACGCACTTCTGCATATTTTAGTGCATAAATATTCTATATTCGTTGAGTTTAACACAGTGGGGACAAAAATAAAACAGAATATATCAAACTCTTGCACAAACCACATTTTGTGTTTTATTTTTTCCAATATGTTAGCTTCAGCAAATAAACAGTAATTGTGCATTAAAATGTGCAGAAGTGTGTAGAGGATGTCATTCGATCAGGGGTGTCACAGTTGTGTTCAACTGTGTAGAAAGTGAACCACGTACAGTGCTTAGTGCTCAGCTAGTGCAGTAATAAGGGTGGTGTGTTGTGGGTGGAAAACTCTTAACGTGAAATAAATAAAGTACAACTGATGCACTAAAGCAACAGATCTATAGAAATAAATTCACAAAATTAAAATACAATGCAAGCAGCAGTAACTGGTTTTCAGAGCTTAACTAACCAGCAATGGCAGATTCTTTTTCAAGCAGTTAGACGGTTCCTCCTTTCATTGGACAGCTGAACGCGCTCAGAGGAAAGCGCCAACCACCAGATCTGTTACATCAGCTAACAGACGCCTGCGCTGACTGGCGTCCCGCTTAGTGATGGGGGGAGAAGAGGGGGCCATCCTACCCACCTAGAGAGAGCGAGGCCAGTTGTGCTCTCTTGGACTCCCGGCTACGGACGGCCCGTAAAAGTATTTTAATATTCTATTATTATCAGCCTGTTTCACCTTAAGATGCATTACAGTCCCCAGCATGCACTGCAACATAGTGTGTGCTCTGACCCCAACAACAATCTATGGGCCAGCAGTTACACAAAAAGAAAAGATGCCTGGTGTCTAGTTCAAGCAAACAAGCAGCTTTAAAAACTACCTAAAACTATTTTTATTTAGAATTATTTTTGAATAAGTATTTAATGCCTATTTTGCTGCTGCAGTTTTGGCATATTTTGAACAAACAATGGCCAGTTCAGGTCAGGGCAAAATGTGAAGTAAAAATGAAATAAAAACACAGCTGGCCCACAGATGTGCTGAGATTCTTTAATACGGCCCTTTTAGTGGTTGAGTTTGACACCCCTGTTCTAGATGTATGTTCATATTTTCAGGTAAAGTGGCTCGATGTTTTAAAAGAAGCCGCGTCATGAAGTTGGAGTTTAACATTACGTTTATGTTGCGTCTTCTTCTGTGAGCTTACTGGCTGGTTGTAAAGCAGAAATCTGATTACTGTCTGACTCAAGTAGACCTGGAGTTTCCCCATTATCTGATTACTCAAAGGGATGTAAACACGTTGACTGGATTACTGACAAAATCTGATTTTCTACAGTTATCAGATTATTAAGTGTGTGTAAACGCACTCAATCTGAGGTCTATGACAGCCTTCATGATCATAGAGTAATAGGATAACAAATGAACTTCTTACCCCAGATGACTTTGCCGCCCTGTGTGACCAGCCCAAGCTCGCTGACGTTGACTTCGATGACCGTTCCCTTGGTGATGACCCCGAGTGTGGTGTAGAGGGGTGAGGAGGGGTTCTTCTTCACACCCAGGATGGGCAGACAGAACGTAGCCTTCAGCTCTGGGTGAGTGACGTGAGCCTTCTTGAACCTCAAACCCTGCAAATGGACAGAGGGAGAAAAATGAGAGAAGGAGAAAATGGGAAGGAAAATCATTCAATCTAGATTTGATCTTCATCAACTTGTTAAGACGGTGATGAAATTAATCAGTTGCTAGAGCAGAGGTTTCCAACCCGGTCCTTGGGGACTCCCAAGCAGGTAAACAAGGTTTTGTAGAACAGTAATAATTGTGGAGTGATTTTATCAGTAATCACAGGTGTGAGATCTGGCATGGGTGATCCAGATGACTGGCTTGTGATACAGTCTGATGGTAATAATTGTGGAGTGATTTTAATCCAGTATGAATCTGCAGTGTGTGTAGTTTTACAGTCTGACAGTAATAATTGTGGAGCGATTTTAATCCAGTATGAATCTGCAGTGTGTGTAGTTTTACAGTCTGACAGTAATAATTGTGGAGTGATTTTAATCCAGTATGAATCTGCAGTGTGTGTAGTTTTACAGTCTGACAGTAATAATTGTGGAGTGATTTTAATCCAGTATGAATCTGCAGTGTGTGTAGTTTTACAGTCTGACAGTAATAATTGTGGAGTGATTTTAATCCAGTATGAATCTGCAGTGTGTGTAGTTTTACAGTCTGACAGTAATAATTGTGGAGTGATTTTAATCCAGTATGAATCTGCAGTGTGTGTAGTTTTACAGTCTGACAGTAATAATTGTGGAGTGATTTTAATCCAGTATGAATCTGCAGTGTGTGTAGTTTTACAGTCTGACAGTAATAATTGTGGAGTGATTTTAATCCAGTATGAATCTGCAGTGTGTGTAGTTTTTACAGTCTGACAGTAGTAATTGTGGAGTGATTGTAATCCAGTATGAATCTGCAGCCAGCCTGATTACAAAAGCTATCCAGGTAAAACTAATCCAGCTCCAATACTGCGTAAGATAGATGCCATCATTGCTATTATCAGAACAACTTTTTAAGATTAAAATTATGACATAAATGCCTGGATTGTAAGCCTGTCTCACCATGGGCCTGATGAAGCGTTCGTATTTTGGCGGTTTGCGTGTAAAGCCGTCTCCTACGAAGCAGACTTTGGTGACCATTCTCTTCCAGGCTTTCTTCTGTCGCTTTCCAGTTCGGACCACTTTCAGAACCTCTGTCTCACCCTGAGCACGAACTTTTGGCAGTGGCACCTCCCATTTCCCCTACAAACACAAAAATTTCACTTTCAATCAAGATTGAGACTATTCAGAATAAAAATAAAAAAAGCTTAGCAATACAAACATCTAGTAGGACCCAACGCAAACATCCTAAATCCTAATTGGACATTTAGTTCGGTGATCGGGCAAAACTTACAGCCTTTTCCTTCCTCTTCTGTTTGATCATGTTGGAGAGAACCTTAGCCCGCGACTGGCCCTCTCTGTCCAGCAGGTAAGCTGGCACTGCGCCCTCTGGTGTCTTCTCATCATCCTTCTGTTTGGTTTTTCTCTTTTCATGCATCTTAATGCTAAAACACATGAACACAGAACATTACATCAACAAAGTTCACACACAAACACACATCTCTGGACTGAGACACATATGGGATCAATTCCAAACGACCCTCTACGTCCAGAATCATCATACTATCCCCAATGATAGCAGTTTTCTTTTTTTACAGGTGTAGTAAAAACAATTTGCAGTTTATTTTAAGGGTAAAGCATGTATAGGATATTCTATGCTGACTGTTTACTCTGTGAGAATTTGGTCCCAGGTAAAATCTGTTTGATGACCCCTGCTCTGTCTTGAGAGGCAGGTGTAGGAAGGACCACACACTAAAGCTATTTGTCTGTTCCCTCTGCAGATGTGTGCACTCACGTTTTCTTCATCTGGATCTTCTCTGCATGTCTCTGTTTGTGGTAGAGCTTGGCCTTCAGACCGATCATCTTCTTGGCTTTGTGCGAGCGCTCGTGTGCCTCACGACTCTCCTTCTTCCTCTTCTTCTCATGGTGGTCAGAGCCGGTAGCCATGGCGCTTGCGGTGTAACTCAATGTGCTCGTTCTGCGGCTGTGGAAAACATGGAGCAAAACAAAGGCACAATCAGACAGCTAGAAGAAAATAATGTGATTATGTAACTTCATTCCCAGAACTCAACAATAATGAATGACATACACATTAAAGTCAAGTTTGTGATACACATATGCTTTATAACCAAGTTAGATGTGTACGGACACCAACGTATCTACAGTCAGCTTGTTAGTATCTGCAACCAGAGGCAAGCATTAGCTAAGGGTCGGCTCTGGGTGATATGGCAAATATGAAATATCACAATAATTCAATCTTCTTAATACACAATATGCATCACACTATGATTTGATGAGCTGGAGCAGAACCAGTAGTGCCTCATTTCCTAGAATAGTATCACAAACTATACGTACAATGATTCTTATTGAATGTTTGACATACTAAGATACATCAAATTCATTTTAAACAGATCTATTTTTTATTTTTTAATGAAACACATTACTGATCATTGTTCAAGAACTGATTACATCCATGATATACTCAGAAACGTGTATTGTGACAAGATGCAGTTTATCACAGCAACCATAAATGTGGTCATGCTGCTCATCCCCTAGTATTAATTTAACAGATTTTATTATTATTACTTATAACAGCATTACTAATAATATCAAACACCTCTGAATGACTTATCTTAACCATATAATTATAAAAAAAAATCATAAATTCTACATAATTGCGTTGCATGACTCCTGGTTCCTATCACCACCCCAGTAAACAAATCTGAATCAGTAAGTTTCTCTATAATAAACCATTTCACGTCAAAACACTCTGAATGACTCTGTTTACATCTCAAGTTCTGAACTATTCAGAAATTTTGAAAAATTGGTAGAATTCTCCTGTAACCATATAAACAATTACGAAGAACTTCTGAAAAAATGGCAATAATTTCCCATTTAAGGTCTTCAAAGATACAAATAATTATTTTAATTATCACATAAATAATGTAATTCTACTACTGTATTAAATACAATACTATTACTATAAATAATAGGGAAAATAAACAACAACATCAAAAATAAAAACATTCACGGTGATTTTGTTTAATTTTCGTTCCATCTACTTGGCTTCACGCTCTTACGCACAGTTTGTGATGGATCTGCACCTTTCTGAATGTTTTAAAATGAGAATGTTTCTTATTTGTGTCTGAAGTGAAGTTAAAGTCTTCGCTGTTTCTGTTTGTTCACGTGTTTTCGAAGCTAACGCTGTTAGCCACCAGACCAGCTAACGACTTCGCCTCACCAAAAGAAGACAATACTTGGTTACTTACCATTCTGGACGGTGTGGTTCAGGTCTTCAGGGGGAGATGAAGGTATAAACACTCGGTGGTTTGACTTCTGATGTTAAAAAGGGCGTTTTTTACTTTATTCTTCGAGACTTTGGGGTTTTCGATGTTGCTTTCCCCGATGCCCCGTGCTTGAAAGGAAGTGCGTCATGAAAAGTCGTCCGGGTGAAAGAGCCCCCTCAACACAACACAGCACACGCGTCGAAAGCCACCTTAGCTTGTTAAATCTTATTATTGCAATTATTCAGGTATATTTCTGTGATAAAAATATTCTGATTTAAAATTTATATACGTGTTAAAACGTGAAGGAGAACTGGACTGTCCATTCCGGCCCTATTTGTTCCTTCATCTGGACGCTACAGCGTTGGCAGCATGTCGTTTCCTGCAAAGAAGAAACAGAAGCTCTCCTCAGGAGAGGTGTGTAACTTACACGTTTTCTGTTTTAGAATCACACTAATCATTTATTTTAAAGCAGTAATGTTTTCTAACGCTGTGGCTGTGGTGGGACTTGGTTTAAACCAGCCAACACAGCACGAAAACCCTCAGAACGCAAACACGTTTATCTGCACTAAGTCGTTATTCGGGTCTTTAACTTGTAGTTTTTGCTTTCAGGTTGAAGAGAAGGTCGACTGGAGGAAAAGGAAAGCAGAAAGTAAGTGACACTGCGGTTATTCCCTCTAATTCTGATGCTAGAGCCACATGAATGTGAAGGTTTTGACCTGGCAGACTCTTTTCACTGTAACACACGGGGCCATGTGTTCTCAGAGTAAAGGTGGGGGGGCTGATTCAGTGTCAGTTCTTGTCTTTTATATTCTGTTGAATGGGATTATAAGAGTAGAATGAGCTGAACGTAGATCAGCTCTCTCATCTTGAGTTTACAGGCCCTGCAGAATGATCCCTGATACACTGTGTGGACAAAAGTATGTGGACACCTGACTATCAGACCTGTAAGAGCTTGGACATCTATTTCAAACCCATGGGCATTAATATGGAGTTGGCCCTGCCTTTGCATCCATAACAGCCTCCACTGTTCTGGGAAGCTTTCCACAAGATTTTGGAGAGTGTCTGTGGGAATTTGTGCCCATCAGTCAAAAGAGCATTTGTGAGGTCAGATTCATCCATCAGACTGCCAGGCTGAAGTGTGATTAATCCTTCCAGAGAACACGTTTCCACTGCTCCAGAGTCCAGTGGTGGTGCTTTACACCACTCCAGCAGACTCTTGGCATTGCGCATAGTGATCTTAGGCTTGTGTGCAGCTGTTCAGCCATGGAAACCTATTTCATGAAGGTCCTGATGAAAAGTTCTTGTGCTGATGTTGCTTCCAGAGGCAGTTTGGAACTCTGTAGTGAGTGATACAGCAGAGGACAGGTGATTTTTATGTGCTACCTGGTGGCCCTGCTATTTGTGGCTGAGACTTTGTTGCTCTTATACGCATCTATTTCACAATAATAGCACTTACAGTTGTCTGGGGCAGATCTGGCAGGACAGAAATTTCACTATCTGACTTGTGGCAGAGGTGGCATCCTATGACAGTGCCACGTTTAAAGTTACTGAGCTTCTCAGTATGACCCACTCTACTGTGTGTCTCGGGAGACTGCATGGCTGTGTGCTTGATTTCATACACCTCTTAGTTGTGGGTGTGGCAGGAACACCTGAACTCAATAATTAGGAGAGGTGTCCACATACCTTTGGCCATATAGTGTATTTCTTAGTGCCAGCTGTTTGTTTTCATAGAGACTGCTGAGTTGTGCTGGCTGATTGTCAGTTAGTTGTGATCATACATTGTGTACGTCAAAGTAAAAAGCCACTTTATGACAAAAATGATTTATGGTTATGGTTTTTACTAGTGCCATAAACGAAACTGTGAAGTAACAGACAGGATGACAATGAGTCACCTCTGTCCTGTCAATGAGTCAGTAATGACACAAACGCTAAACAATGACAACCAGTTCAATTCCACTTGGTGAAGACCACATAGGTGGTGGTCTTCACCTAGTGGGTCAGAACCAGACAGGGGGCCACTACCGAACATTATCTGTTGATCTGTTAAGACGATACATGAACCAGTTTGTGATTGTAGATGGCTGTATACTCTTTTTTTACCCCTTAGAAAAGGAACAGAAGAGGAGATGGAAGGAGGCTAAGCTGATCCAGCAGCTGGAGAAACAAAACCAGGCGAAAGCAGAGGAGGAGAAACAACAGCAGCAGTGTCAGGAGGAGGAGGAGCAGAAGGCTAAAGGTATCATGATGTCTCCAGGGACTAACGTATCAAACCTGAGTTGGAGAGTGAGAAGGCTAACTTTGGGTGAAGCTCAAAGCTGATTATGTCAGAAATAGCATTACTGAGTCAGGAGAGCCTATTTTATTAGCCCTTTTAGGCCTTAAATAATCAAGCATCGAATCGAGGTTTTTCCAGACAACATTGTACGTCTTTAGGTATTAACATCACACACACAGGCTCAAAAAGAAAGTCCAGCTCGATGTTTAGGCCTCAAACATAAATTTAACATCACACTTACAAAGATATGATAGTAGATAATTCACTCACATCCTTGGAAGACTCGTCCTTTACTAAGTTTTGACTGAGTTCTCTTTGAATTCTCTTTCGATCATCAGATTCATCCTCTCTGTGAAGGGGCTCTAAACACAACCCAAGTTAGAAAATGTTCCATAACATGCAGTTACACATTTCCACCAGAGAGGTCTCCAAATTCCCAAATCTTACATAGTGCAGCTTTAAGGTAGCGATAGCTTGAACCAAACAATACCTCATTTATTGAGTGTGGTATACACCGTGGAGTGTCAGACTAGAGGATAAGTTTAAACCAGTGTGGTTTACATAATGTGGTGTATGGGGATAAAGCGAGAGTTTAAGTGAATGGAATCTGAATATCTGTATTGTCCCCCATGTGGTCACCGACAGGTCGTTTGTACACTGTGAGCATCGCCTTGCCCGGCTCCGTGTTGGACAATGCTCAGTCTCCGGAGCTGCGGACGTATCTGGCCGGACAGATCGCTCGCGCCTGCGCTGTGTTCTGCGTGGACGAGGTGGTCATATTCGACGAGCAGGGGGAGGACACCAGGTGAGCAAGACAGTTACGGTACTGATTACAATTAAAGAGGAATTTCACTTTTTTAAACATGCATAATTCAGTCACTGAGGTCTAAACAAAGTCATTCAGATTGTACTGTAAGTTGATGTGGAAAGTTGATGATGGTAAAATAGTGATAAATCTGAACATAATAAGCTTTTTTTGGGGACTGTTTTGACTTTCAACACTATGTTTACATCTAAGTCTCAGAACTATTTTAAATCTCAGAACTATTTTAAACAGTGTCTCAGACATCAGGCAGCGTATTTATAACCATTTCATGTAATAACTTTCTATGTTATCTAAGTGATGATATTTTTATTATTATTGAAGTCTTGTTTTTCACGATTATCAACTTACCATGAACGAGATGATCTCCCTCATGGGGAATTTTAGGGCACAACTACTATTTATTTTCTGAGCCTAATATATTGGGGAAAAAAAACAAAACAGGTAATATAAAGTGTGTCATAATGTTTGTACAGGCCACATTTTTTTGCCAATTCATCAAGTAAACAGCAACCAGAGAGGATGCGTTCACTCATTTTCACTTTGAAAATCAACAAAGCATCTCATTTGATCAGGGGCACGCAGACCTTTGCACAGGACAGTATGTATCGCTGTGCTAGCAGCGATTGAGTCTGTGTCTCAGTGTAAGTGTAATTTGCTAACATTAGCCTTGTCTCTGTGTTTTAGGACGGTGCAGGGAGAGTTTAAAGGCGTGGGGAAGAAGGGCCAGGCCTGTGTCCAGCTGGCCAGAATTCTGCAGTTCCTGGAGTGTCCACAGTGAGTGCTGTTTGCTTACCCTCACACTAGTAGCTGTTTCGTCAGGACGAGGTTGTAGACCTCGCAAATTGCTGGCACAGTTTAGGTGCCTCAAGCTGGGATTATGCTACATGACTTTTACCCCGATTTTATCCCGTCTGTCTGAGTCTGTGCTGGTCAGGTCTAGTCTGCAGATTTTTGGGTCAGTGAAGTCGACAGTTAGGAGAGAGAATCGAGTCGGTGTGAGGGGCGCAGACTCCCGATTACGTTTCAGACCAGTCAGAGTTTAACAAACGTTTGAATTTTTTCGACCTGAAGTGTGTACTGGTAGGCGACTCAATCTGAACTCCTCCAAAAGCCAACGAAAACTGAGAGCGCAAAAGAAGTGAATACAGCAAGTAAAGAAGAAAAATGGTGAAGAGATGCTCACATGTGGAGTGAGGCTTTTTAATGAGCTGAGTATAAGGCACGAGGACAGTCAGGTTTATGTACATCTAAAATTCTTAACTCTTAACTACCATACATACCAAAAAGCACATCAATTCTGATCTGAGCGTCTCATTAAGGTCGCATGGCCACGAATCAGAGACGTATCCGATCTAGGAGCACATATTAAAGTGGCTCGGGTCAGATTTGAAAAGATCAGATTTGCGTGTCCACACAGCTCTGAAAACATCTTTGTTGTGCTTTTATTGTTCTTTCACTGTAGATACTTGCGGAAGGCGTTCTTCCCCAAACACCACGACCTGGAGTTCGCAGGTGGGTGCTGCGCTCTTTTTCTTTCCGTGCTACAGATAATTACGCTACTCGCTGTGCTCCTCTGACTGTGTTGTGTTTTTTTATTTTGGATGTGTTTCAGGTGTGTTGAACCCTCTGGACAGCCCCCATCACATGCGCATTGATGAGGAGGTGGAGTTTAGAGAGGGCATAGTGCTTGACCGGCCGTGTAAAGCAGCAAAAGGATCTTTTGTGAACTGCGGAATGAGGAAGGTGAGAGAGAGAGAGACAGAGCGAGGTGGTCAGAGTAATTGTATTAATTGCTATGACATTGCAGTATATCACAATATACTTTTCCTTGCTGAGTACACCTTTAAGAACACTGACCAACTGCATATTTGATTACAAAGAGAGCATCATTAGCTGTGTTTAATTGGATTTAGTGAAACACAGTACAGCTGTATGCAAAAGTTTTATGTCTAAGTGAAAATAAGGGACCACATTTATGCACAATTTAATACACAGTTACTGTTTATTTGCTGATTTTAACAGCATAACATTTTATGTTAACCTCAGCAAATAAATAGAAATTGTGCACCAAAATGTGCAGAAAATGCCATATTTGTGTGTTCCCTGTAGGATGTGCTAACTTAATTCAACTTAGAAAAACAACAACCTAAAATGTTGACCCAGAGTGTTCACACTTTTGCATACGATGCATGTATGTGCAATGCTGAATAAAAATCCTTTGCGCTCACTTTACTCTGAAAGAGTAATCCAACCATAAATGAAGCCTCGCGCATCTTTTATACAGCGATAGGAAACCGGGAAACTCTGAACCTGCACATGCCAAAACTCCTCTGGTGGCAGATTTAAATGCATTTAAGAGGTCATCACTAAATTCTCTGAATGGATCGCCAGCAAGATGCTCACTTCGATTCATTGTCCTGTGTAGTTGTTTTTCATTTTGAATCGTTTGTGAGGAATATTTCGGCCCTCCATTATTTTGACATGGTCCAATTTGGCCCTCTTTGAGAAAATTTGAACACGCCAGGTCTGATAACTCCAGGGTAAAACTAAAAAAGCAAACTTCAGACCTCAAACATGTCTTGGCTGGTCGACTACATTTGGGATATGGTGGGGAAATTGTGTAAATGTGTTTTTTATCACTGAACATTGTTTTAATCTAGGTGGAGATTATGAAGTAAACACAGCGCTGAAAGCTGCTTCCCATTCTTCGCCTCTCCTTTCATTTTGGGTTCCACAGGAAGAGGCTCTGTTTGTATTTTTGAGCCAGTTCCTCTTGTGTGACGCAGTGACCTCACTTTTCTGTCCACAGGAGGTTCAGATAGAGAAGCAGCTTCAGCCGGGTCTGAGAGTGACTGTGCGACTTCATAAAAACCAGAAACCAGGTAAATGAATACACAAACTCTCATTGCTCAGCTCAGTGAGAAGCAGAGTTACACTGTGACCCTCTGTGCATGGTTGTTTCCTCAGAAGTTCACACTGTATGTGCTTTTTGTGCACTAAGGCACTTCTTCCCGGTTGATTTCAATGGGAGAGATGCACGTTGATTGTGTTTTATTCACCGTGCATGTAGACATGTGCTGCTATTCAGTATTTTAGTGTGCTGCAATATTAAATATGCAGGGGAAAGTTATTGTGCACTTTGCACCATATAACATCACTGCAATTTAGTCCAAGAAGCTGCAGCCTCACCTGAGATTTTTTTTAGAGATGCAGAGCAGCTCTGCTTACACAAACGTCCCCTCCACTCTCACACTCTGATCACGTGTTGCACTTCCTTCTCTGAGTGGAGAGTGTAAACAATCACATCAGCCGCAGCACAGCAGAAGGAGGAGCAGACAGAACCTTGCCTCCCTCAAAAAGGTGAAAACTCATCCCAGCCAGCATAGAGGAGGAAAAAAATGTTCACAAGTATCTCACAAATATCTGTATGTTTTCATTTTCGAACTGTGTATCTCAAAAAGTGACCAAAGCGAACTTGACCTTAATAAAGAAGCCAGTTTTGGTTAACAAGCAGCTCAGCAGAGTGCTAATAGGCTAACAGGTGAATCTACTAACTTGTGGCAATGATTTCACTTGTAAATCATTACAGAACAATGCAGTAAATTGTAAAAAGTGAGCATAAAGTTTATTATGTAATTTTACAAGTGCTCAATATGAACCTCCTCCAGCTGTACGGACAACATCAACGCCATAGTCAAATTCATCCCATACTGGATTGAGCATGTCGGGTGTCGCTGCACTCACGGCTCTTTCAGTGCGATTTCGGAGATCATCCATTGTTGTGGAACCAACGCCGAACGCTCTGAGCTGTTGGAGGTTCACTGCCCACGAAAATCACACTGCACAGTTATGATTGATTCACTCTTATTGAAGTGGAGAACGCAGAACGCTTTCTGCTCAGGGGTCTCATCTCCTCACAGACTGAAGGGAGCCATCTTCCACTGACAGTCAGAATCTCTATGATCCCCTCTTTCAATTAGATTGTGATTGGTTCCTAGGCGCCTGACGGTTGTAAAAATATGGCGCTTTGAAATCGGATGAATCTGTGTTTTTAAATGTGTTTTTACTGGTACAGACCCACCTGCACCGAGTGCAGAGCTCTCCAGGTAACCAGAGTTGAAATATTCAACTCAAAGTGGTGAGGTAGCCTATATCTTGAGCATTTTTCCTGTGCTGACCAATCAGATCAAAGGAAAGGTGGGTCTTCAGTGACGCTTCTAATGGAGGAGTCATTAGTGGCTGCAGTAGCGTTAAGCTGAACTGTGTGATTTCACAGATTAAAATCATGATATAAACAAAAAAACAGCTTTTTAGAACAGATACAACAGTTTTTAGTTAATAGTAGCAACGTTAAACTTTCTGCCTGTATATATCCAAAGGAAATCTAGCTAGCACAGCTGGCTGACGGTTATATCCCTGTCGTTGAGATGCACGGCCAGAATCGCTGCTATAAAAAAAGAATTAGTTGTGAACACCCAAGAAAAAAATCATGCTTTCTGGCTTCAGAAGGACGCAGTGTGAGCCCCAGTGTGTTTGTGTGTTTGTGTACAGAGAGCCGGGTGCGTAAGGGAGTGGTTGTGGCTCCTCATGTCCCCAGAACAGAAGGTGGACTGTACTGGGGCTACAGCGTCCGTCTGGCTTCCTGTCTCAGTGAGTTGCTCTTCATTTATCAGTCCTAATTTTCACTTTTGAACAGAGCACATCTTATGTTTACAACTTTTTCCTAATATGTTTGTATTTTTAAAGGAGGTTAATAGAGAAATGATTTATTTGTAGTAATTTTGCAGCATTTCTACTGGTGCATTTATCATGAAATTCTGACACAATTTAAAGGACAGCTGGCGATTTAAAATTATGTCAAAAAACGGAGGACAAAATAACTAGTTATGCTACTAGTTTGCTAGTTATGCACTGTTATGTAGTGACAAAATGGAAAGTTCAATCATTTGTTTCAATAAAATAAACATAATTAAGGTACAGGATCACTCAGAGCAACAAGATTTTAGTCTAAAGCCCAATTCTGGTAAAAGTACCGAATGTGTTTTCAGCTCTGATTTTGGATCAATTTGGTCCATGTATCTCAAAGCTAACAGCATATGTTTTTGTGTTTGTTTCCCAGGTGCTGTAATGACAGAGTGTCCGTTTAAAGATGGCTACGATCTGACCATCGGGACATCTGAGAGGGGCAGTGACGCTGACCACACTTCTCTGCCTCCGTTCAGGTGTGATATAAACGTAGTTACAGCCAATCCAGCAGAGGCTCGCACCAACAGTCCAGTCACCACCTCTCAAGGCATCTTTTTACTGCTGTACTTCATAGGAATCGCCTGAATTATTTGCATAATCAAATATTTGTTTATTTTGATATTTAGAAGCTTCACCTTTAGTTCTTCTCTTATAATTCAACAGAATTCTAGACCACTAGTGGGTTCCTGACAGTTCAGAGTTGAGGGCTTAACAGAAACGCAGTAGTAACTCAGATAACCACCCTGTGTAACTATAGTGAGCAGAAAAGCATCTCAGAATGCTCAATATATCGAACCTTCAGGTGGATGGGCTACAACAGCAGAAGACCACATTGGGTTCCACTTCTGTCAGCCAAGAACAGAAAGCTGAGGCTGCAGTGGGCACAGGCTGACCAAAACCGGACAGTTGAAGACTGTAAAACACATAGCCTGGTCTGAGGAATCTGGAGTTCTGCTGAGGCTCACAGATGGTGGGGTCAGAATTTGGTGCACACAGCACGACCCAACCTGCCTTGTGTCAGTAGTCCAGGCTGGTGGAGGTGGTGTAATGGAGTTGGTATTCAAATATTCAAAGCCTGTAAAATGCTGTTTGGGCCTCTCCTAATAAATTTAGACTTGATTAAATATTAAATTTGTCCCCAAAACAAAATCATTTTTGCACCTAAAGAACTGATTAAATGAGTACATCAGGTGAAGTGCGTATCTTACTCCCTCTCCCTCTCTCAGACATATGTTGGTGGTGTTCGGGGGCCTCAAGGGTCTGGAGGAGAGCGTAGCTGCGGATCCAAATCTGGACGTGACTGATCCCAGCGTGCTCTTTGACCTCTACCTCAACACCTGCTCGGGACAAGGCAGCCGCACCATCCGCACTGAGGTGAGTGAGAGAGCGGTGGGGGGTGAGAGCGGGCCTGGGCGGTAAAATGATAATTACCAAAGTGTTCAAGGTATTTTCATAAAGTGATTATGCTGGTTCTGTCCCTCAATTCCGTATTAGCAGTAAAAGCAAAGGAACTTTGAACAGTTGCTAGTGGTGAAGAAGACTAGCCGTTCACTCGCAACAGCACAAGCTGTTTAGGGGAGAGTAAAAAAGGTGCATGTCCTCTGCAAAGCTGGACCAGTTTGGTTCCCTTAAATCAGATGTAACATTGTTTTCAAAGTTTGTAGTGTGTGGCTACCAAAAAGTGCAATACCACCAAAATGCATTAAGAAATATCAGTTACAGTATCTACATCAAGTGATATTGTGAAACAATCAAGGCCACACATCCTGTAGTGTATTACAGTCTGTCAGAGTGACTGTGTGGATCATATGAACATTATAGAGGCTTTTTAAATGAAACAATAGAAGCCATATCGCCCCCTACACTTCCTGTAGTGTATTACAGTCTGTCAGAATGACTGTGTGGATCATATGAACATTATAGAGGCTTTTTAAATGAAACAATAGAAGCCATATTGCCCCCTACACCAAGTCAAACTCACTTTGTTTTCTTCCATTTCATTGGTTCCGTTTGGAAGCCACAAATTGTGAAATGGTGAAATGGTTGATCCTCTTGTGTTTCCAACTGCGTTTAATCTTTTGTTCTCTTTATTTTCCCTCCATAGGAGGCCATATTGATCTCCCTGTCATCATTACGGCAAAAAATTGCCACCTCTCACCACGTCAAAAGATGACTGCAGGAATCGATTCACCACATGCGTGAAGCTACACACGAGCCAAGTGCTGGGCTGTCCATCAAAGTGACCAAAAGAGCAGATCTTGTATGGGTGGAGGACACAAACTCTAAGTGTGCACTCATATATGTGAATTGCAGATTGGGACACAGCCATAGGACTTGTGCAGCCTCCTCAATGTTTGCCCATGTACACCTGCAAAAACTGCCAATGCTGATTTGATAAAAAAAGAAGGCCACAAATTTGTTTTCTCAAACATATATAATGTTTTTAAGACACAATATGTACAGAACATTCATAAAGAGTGACAAGCACAAGAACACAATCAAAAGTGATGTCAAAGTTACAGTCAGAATATTAATAATCATATTAGTCATTTTACATTCTTCACATCGTTCCTGTCTCTCAGGCCCTGTCCAGAATGAATCCCTGCTCCCTTCTGTCCTGGACACTAGCACAAGCATCAAAACTACTACAGCCAGGGTCAACTTATCAAGTATTATCAGATGGGAAAAATACTACAAAAGCCATCATGTTGAGTGATGTATTGTTTGTTAATATGCAATGTACAAATGAGCCCTCTAACCACTCATAGTGCTTTTAATTTGTGCTGACCAATCACAGCTTCAGATGATCGTTTGGATGAATCATACAGCAAAATAAATAATTTTGATCAAAATAATGCTGGCTAGCCTTTAACCATGTTACATTATTGATTCATCACAATATGATCACAATACTAGTATTTTGTCTATATTGTGCAGCCCTGCATTGCAAAAAATCTTGGCAAGTGAAATTATCATTTTGAGACTGTTGCAAGAATATTATACATTTATTTAACTTATTTCCAGATATTTTTACTTCTTTTAAGTGAAGTGTCATTCTGTTGGCAGACTATGTTGCTTTTTTCATGCATTATTTCTTAAAACAAGCAAAAATATCTGCCAACAAAATAAGACAGTTTCTTTGGACAAGATTACTTAAGAAAAGTACTAAAAACATTAGACATGTTAAATAATTTCATAATATTCAAACAATTATATAATAGTAGCCATTCACACCAGATTTAAGATGCTTACTGTGATCCCTCCAGGTTAGAACTTTTCAAAATTTCTGTGTAATTAAATGGTTGAGATGTAAACAGTCATTCAGAGTGGTTTGGTGTGAAATGCTCCGTTCTAGAGAAACTTGCCGAGTCAGAATTGTTCACAATATCACTATTTTACCATAAATAAAATGGCTATATTTGTGTTGTAGTCATGGCGACCCCTGGTTCCTATCACCACCACTGTGAAGAAATCTGAACCATTTCACACCAAACCACTCTGAATGACTTTGTTGACATCTCAAACAATTATGCAGAGATTCTGAAGCATCGGTGGAGTTCCAATTTAAGAGGACAAGGGTGCAGGAGGAAGGGTGCAGGGCTATTTTGGACAAGGCCTCTTTGTACGTGCCTGGGGCGTCGGGATGCAGCATACCAAACTGGAATTTAGCTAATTGTTTAGCTTTTACTGACTGATGCCCGACTCCTGAAGCTCCTTCATCTAGCATCAGAATCCCAGTGTTTGATTAATCTTAGTGATAGTTTGGTAAAACAAATTTTCCCATTCACCCCAAACTGCAGTAATGCTAGGCATATTTGGACCATTTTAATAGATAACAGTGTCAGAAACCACATAAGCAAGTCTGTTTGAGATCACAACTAGATATGGTTTGAGGCATGCAGTTAGCACGATGCTAATCGGTGAACAAATCCATTACTATATTAGCCTCATAGCTCCAGTGCAAAAACTAAAGAAGCAAACTTGTCGACTCGATTTGGGGGAAGAGGGAAACGTGTACGTTTGACTTCAAACTGTCACTTTAAGGTAGTTCAAGTTCATAAAGGTTTACTCACCTGCCAGTAGAGTTAACTAATCATGGATCAAATGGAGATAGCGGTAACATTCACAGTAAAAACTGAGGTCATTAACCCCCTCCAATCAAAACACTGTCAGAAATAAAACAGTCCAATCACAGCATGCCAAGAGCATTTTTGTGTAAAGTCATGTGAGCAGCAAAAAAGCTTCAAGCAAGTAACGGCATGATGACATTTATAGATGTATATATATATATTTAAATATCTATGTATACATATGTGTGAGTGTTTGACAATCAGGGCGAGTGCACAAAGGCCCTGTACTGAACTATAAGAACTTCATACTAAATGTGCTGGCAGTTACAGCCTTTGGAACTCCGATTTCACAAGGAAACATCACTGTAACTGCCGGTCAACACAAACAGAGGTTAAGGCTTTTACACATCGACAGTTTGTCTGTCTGTATTGTCTAAATCACCATCCCTTTCCACACTTTTGGCTTTTGTTTAGATGTTCAGTTCCTTTGTTTCTGTAGGCCGATCTGGACGTAACGTCCTGGACAGTCTGGGCACAGCATGTTGGCTTGGTTGAGAGAATGAAGACTCAAGTTCAGAAGGCCAGCTTGAGGAATTCTAGATTCTTGTCAGCGAAATGAATCATTCTATTACATCTCGACGCTCTATCTGAGAAAAGTGGCGGGTGGGCAGTGACCACATATCGTTGCTGTCGTAAAAAAACCTCGCATCTCTGAAACGGAGCCTGAACGACATATCGTTTAATTCAATACTATATTGACAACATTATCCCATAATGCGTCAATAATTGCCAACTTTTTTTGTTAGCGGCATCGGCGGGATACGAACTCACGACCTCCTGATGACACAATACAAAACATCATCACGATTACAATAACAAAAGCCAATATGGGAATTCTTTGCAGATGCTGGAAAGCCCCTGCCCCCAGTGCTAGCCCCGCCCAAGCGCTACAATATTCACGTTGTGTGACCATTCAGAACAGACAATCATATCAGTCATTTATGTGCTGTTGAACTAATATTGTCACAGTATAAAATTATAAATCTAAAATATAAATGTAAAATTTATTTTACGTTACCAGAATTTTATCATTTACTTACGGTCAGCTTAAAATTAGAGTCAGTACCGGCCACAAAAATGCTCATGTCGGTAAAACGGTAAGGAAAAACAGATCCGTTTATACATTATTCATTATACTTTAATGTAAACTGATGTAATTCCAAGTAATTTTGGAACATTTTTATTGGTCAGTTTATCATAAAATGTTAATTTGAATGGATGCTGATGTAAAAAAAATAATAATTAAAATAGTAAAAAGGCAGTTGTGAGGTTTTGATAGGACAGCGACGATTCTTTAAACAGAGGGACTATGATGCAGAGTCCAGCTTCGAACCTGGTGCTGCCTGGACACTGGACACGCTGGTACATACAAACCGTGCACCACTGCAATGAGAGGGTCAATTTAGCCTAAAAGCACTGAAGATCTAAAATCATCATGAGATAATAGAAAGCATATCACTCTGAACAGAGTCTCTAGGAGGTAAGATGACCTTAAGGTGGCTGTGCTTTTGGGAAGCTGTTGTGTAGAATGGCACTAGTGTGTTGGGAAAAAGCTCACAAGTGCGGTTTTCCCCTAAGTCCACAAGAGGTGCTTTATTTTCTACGGGGAGGACTACGACGTAATTTCTAGCCTTTATTTTATGGTTAACGGGCATTTTCAATATATTATAAAGGTTTAAAAATATCATTTTTCAGTAACATTTCACCTTACAAAAAAAATAAAGAGTGCTCAGCACTGATTTGCAGATTATTGCAAAGTTCTTAACGTCTCATAAAACCTTTAGCATAATTTATTCTTTCATTTGATAAACAAAAGCTGGAATATCTGCCAGCCTTTAGGATGGCCAAACTGTATAATAAAGACTTTTTTTATCACGTTCCTACCAAAAAATCTACTCACACAGGGTTCATTTCACTTGTGATTGAGAACTGAAGTCCCAAATGAAAGAATTACAAAGTGAGAGCTTTGATTGTTCAGCTTGGCTAGTTCTGTAAATCCTGCACACAGCTCGCTGTTTTATTACCTACCGTAAAAATGCAAGAGTGTAAAGTCTTTTCTGAAGATTTCTTACTTCAGATTTCAGTTTTAGTCAGCTGCTTCCTTAATACCCCATGTTTTGGACGCCACTTTAGCTAGCTGGTTAGCTATGTAAAGCCGGCAGCCATTTTGGATCATTTTCTTCAAGATTCTTGAAACACAGCTCACTGTTTTATTACCTACGGTAAAAATACAAGAGTGTAAAGGTTTTTACTGAAGATTTCTTACTTCCTATTTCCATTTTAGCCAGCTCCTTTTATTAACACCCCACTTTTTGGGCTCCTCTTTAGCTAGCTAGCTTGCTAGCTAGCTATGTGAAGCCAGCAGCCATTTCAGATCATTTTCTTCACGATTCTTGCACATAGTTCACTGTTTACTACCTCTGATAAAAATGCAAGAGTGTAAAGGTCTTCAGATTTCCATTTGAACCAGCTCCTTTCTTAAAACCCCACTTTTGGGGCTTCTATTTATGTGAGGCCAGCAGCCATTTTGGATCATTTTAGCAAGTAATTTACATGAACTAGGCAGCCATTTGGGATTAATCTCACTTTAGGCTCAATGTGTGACAGGAGAAAGTCATTTTGGCTCAAACTCAACAGCCCTAGATTGAAGAAACTGGTGTAGTTTCTCCTGAGGCTGAATTTAGCCATATGCTAGCTGTATTGAATCAGGTTCTCGTCGGGCTGACAGAAGGGCTGGCCGCCATGTTGGACCGATTTCTCACCAGGCGGGGTGTGTGAAAGTGATGTTGTAGAGTTTGGCCCAGCGAGAGAACACCTGTTTCTCAGTGATGAAGCGATGGTGGTTTCCTCTGCGACCCTTCTCGTTCTGCAGGTACGTCATGCATTCGTCCGGCCCTCTGGGTTTGTAGTAGTGATACGGCATCCGCTTGGGCTGAGGGTGCCTCCTACAGCACAAATATTCACCCATCACACTCTAGAACACATTCTATAACTTCAGAGGAGGCCTAATGATTTCTGGGAGTCTGTAATACTTGTTTAAATACAAACATGACTGAACTGAATAAAAAATTTAAGTATTACAGTACTTCAGCTAAGTCATTATTAAGTTTCAGTTGGAAACAATGGGGTTACATTTTTGAAGAGCCCACTGGAAAATCTGTCCAATCAGGATTTTTTCATCCTTGGTATCTAGGCAAATACAACCAAACAAACTCTCCCATTGGTGAGGCCTAACATGTCAGATTAACTACCAGTATAATTGGGAACTAACAGGGGATTTGAACAATTACCTTTCAACTTCCAAAGGTGGGAACAATTTTGTGAGATAAATGTAAGTTGATATGTCACTGAATGTATATCAATACCAGTGGCAGCCTAACCAGTGGGTTTCAGCAAGTTGTTACTGAAGAAGTCCCTCTAAAACGGATGCATACTAGGTAGAATATATAGCTCTAAATGTCTGGTTTTAATTTAGAATGGGCAAAAATGTTCATGTTAATTGCCATTAACTTGGTGCTAGCATGCTACTAGAATCCCAAAGGAGCACTAGCAGAAATTAGCATATTTTTTTCTGTCCTCGTTTTTGCATTTCCCCTTGTTTTTGTGCAGTTTTGACATTTATGGCCCAAACTGAAGGCTTAGATGTAAGAGTCACGGTTCACCACTGTAAACACATCAACACAGTGGTGTAAGGATTATATTGCCTCACCTACAGAAGTCTGGAGAGGCCATAAGCCGTGCCTGTAATTGTCTGGATTGTTATCTTGACTGTGTCATAACAACTTTTGTTATCTTGAGATCACAAGATAGTTGTTGTCTTGAGATCACGACTTCGTTATCTTATCTCAACATACTTTGTTATCTTGAGATCACAAGATAGTGAAGTCATGATCTCAAGATAACAAAAGTTGTTGAGATAACAAGACAGTTGTTATCTCGAGATCACAAGATAATTAAGTTGTGATCTCAAGATAACATTCTAGAATATTATAACCCCCTCATGCTCCCTCTGAATTTCCATACTCACCCATACCACAAATTTCACTGAATTAAAAAAATGTATAGGTTGCTTGTTATTATGTCTATTATTATGTTTAAAATAAGCGCTCTGAAGGCACGGGCACCCCACCCACTAGCATCTAACGTCAACTTAAATGTTTACCTGTTTAAGATTTTAATACTACAAATAATGAATATGAATATATGACGTTGCAGGTTGTGAAGGATCTGTTTGAAAAAAGTTACCATGGATGAGCTGCATTATGATTAAGAGGAAGAAGTCAGAGGCTGTCTGTGTACGTTGAAGGAAGATAACTGGTGACGTATGCTGTTGAGCATATTTGATTTTCCTGTCATGAGGGTCAGTATCTACGCACTTAAAAACGGTGGATCTTCAAGGGTCCTTTAGTAAAGGCAATGAATCTTTAGAACCATGAATCTATTTAGAACCAAAATAGTACAGTACCATTTTATGCCTAAATGGTTCTTTGCATGGTGAAATTGTTCTTCAGATTGATGGAGCACGGGTTCTGCTAATGTTACAATATCAAGCTCTATAGAACCATATACAACACATTCTCCATCAGTCTGAAGAACTACTTTACCATGCAAAAAGGCCACTTGAGCATGAAATGGATCTATATAGAATTTATGCTTCTATATAGAACCATTGCCTTTACTAAAGGACCCTTGAAAAACCATCAAGTATCTATATAAAGGTCCTAATGAAGACTCTAGCACCATGGGCCGAAGTGCAACGGCCACCCCTGCATTGTTACATCCTAAAATTCATCTTGTTTTTGCTGTTTCAAAGCCTTTGCCTATTTCATTTGTCTGGTAACTTGTCACTGCTATGAGTAACTTGCACAGTACTGACTGATTCAGCCATCACAGTCCTGCATTTAACTCAGCAGCTTAGCCTCTTCATTACTGAAGTCTCAGATTCCTCAGAGAGGAAGAAACTTACTTACCCACAGTAGTTTGGAGGCACCATCCCATAAACCGTGATGTTATCGCATATCTCGATGGAGATCACCATGGTGAACCAGCCGGTGCTCAGCCATGACTTTGACTTCTGTCTGAGAACAAAAGCACAAAATTGGCATCTTAATTAATTCAATACAGTATGTAAAAAGAGTGAAAAGTTCTTGTCCAAGAACTAGTATGAAAGCAAATTACATACAGAGGTTGCTTATGTGGTTTCTGACACTGTATGAAATACTGGTATCCATGGCCAAAAGTATGGACAGAATTCCACCAACACAATAGGTTCTGCTACTGTTTTAGTTGTGCAAAACACTGAAGTCCATGTTTATAGATGTCATACTACGGAGCCCCTAAGGTGACATAACGATTCTTTTTTATGGCATATTAATATATTGAGGTCACAAGTTACTATATTGAGGCCATATTTTACTCTACTGAATTACTGAGTCCACAAGTTACTACTTTGAGGCCATACTTTACTGAATGGCCAAGGCCAAAATGTACTTTATTGAAGCTATGAATTACTATATTGAGGCCACAAATTATACTGAGGTCACACATTACTATATAAAGGCCACAAGTTAATATATTGAGGCCATGAATTACTATATTAATGCCACAGTTTATTTTAATGAGGTCATGAATGACTATACTGAAGCCACAATTTACTTTATTGAAACCATGAATTACGATATTGAGGCCACAAATTGTTTTTAGTTCACAAAATACTATGTTGAGGCCACAAGTGGTTATATTTAGACCATGAATACTTTTATTGAGGCCACAAATTACTATATTGAGGCTACATTTTATTTATTGTTGCCTCAATATGTTAATTTGTGGCCACGCCTTATTAAAAAATAATCCCCATGTCACTTTAGGGGCTCTGTACCATACAGTGTCAGGAACCACATAATCTAGTCTATGAGAGATTACTTAACAACTCCACATGGTTTGAAGAAGGGATGCGCAGGGGTTCTTGAGCGCTTGGTTAACCATTCAAGGTTTTCATATTCATTTACAGAAACCACGGGTCCTTCATGGGCCAAAAAGGTCAGTGTAAAGCTAACGTGTTTTAACAGATATGTAAAGTGTGACAGTTTTGTATTTGTAAGTATGCATAATATATTACGCATTTTATATGTATAATGTTGTATGTTTCAACTAATAACCTGAACATGCTATTAAGATGTTATTCAGAAGGCAGAGGTAGCTGAAACCAGGTTATCTACCCTCACTGGCGTTAGCTCACCAAAGACAATGGAATTATTCCTTTGTTCTCAATGTTACCCCAAACCAGTACCTCAGCACGTCATTGTCTAGGGAAAACAAACCTTGCATAAAGTGTTAGCTTATTAGCTCAACCAAAGAAACAGCCTCCTTTACTCATCCAGCACAGAAACTGGTTTAATCCAGCAGTGACCAAAAGATTTCTCTTGGCTACTTTTGAATGATGAAACCGTTTTTAATTGTACTCCTCCGAGTGGCAAAACGTCTGTGATTTTTTTTTAGCCTGCTAACAGCGCCAGTGCTATCACCTCAGAAAATAAGCTAAACACAGTAATAGGTCATCCTGCTCCTTGTGGTAAAGAAATATGTAGATTTACTTCAATATTCTGTAATTGAATATGAAAATTAGTCAGAATCCACAGTTTGAGGCAAACGTGGAATGATTTTGGCATTCACTTTGCACACTGCTAGTCCTGTTGTTAGCTAGAGGACATTAGCTTTGTAGCTCCAAAGCAAAAGAAATAAAGCTTCAGACACCAAAAATGTCTTGACGGATCAGCTACTTTTTGTGGTAAGGCGAAAGCTATTCTGTTAGCATCAATTGATTTTTTTCCCCTCAGATATCGCCATAAAATAATTTGACCATTTTCTCAAAAATGCCATGTAATGAAATTATTAGTAAAATCCATTCATGGTGGAGGGGTACATGTAGGGAGCTGTAAGGCAAAATAGTCCCAAAAAACATTTTTTTTTCAGATTTACTTCTATATTTACCATCATCAGTATTCCGAAGACGTGTAGGTTTACTGGTGGATTTGGACAGTAAATTAAGTCTGTAAGTTTCTCTACAATGAACCATTTCACACCAAAAACTCAGATTGACTTTGTTTACATTTCAACCATTGAATTATGCGAAATGCGAAAAGGGAGACCAGCAGACTAGCTAAACCAGCCATTCACGGTCAGGGTCGGTCTGTACCTGTCTCGGCCGGTCTCCTTCTGAAAGAGCGTGTCGAACTTGCGCATTTTGCTCGGGGAGATGGTGAAGGTGGACACGTTGCTGTAGGTCATGCTGACCCGCTGGATCAGCCTGTACAGTGTTCCTTTGGCGTCTCGTCCGATCTTGGTGGGCGGGCCCCAGAAGATGACGGACAGGTTCTCAGAGCGGTTGAGGAATTCCTGCGGCTTGCGGATGACCCGGAACACGCTGGAGTGGGCGACGACACGCAGGCTGGTCCGGTTCCCCACATCTGGCTCGAACCCAGAGGTCGGGGCATCGTTCATGCGGATCACACACTCGAAGCGGTCAATCTCCTCTCCAGCGTGGGTGCCCAGGACGTGGCTGGAGCTCATCACCAGCGCGCACTGGTGACAGCGCAGGTTCATGCTCTGTCACATGCAAAGAAATTACGAGAAGAGTCTTTAGCAGAGAGAATAATTTTTGTTTAGCATATATATACGAACACTGTGTTACACCAGAGTGGGGTGGTATAGTGGTAATAAGGTTTATATAAGGTATTTAAAAATGATGACGGTATTTCAAAATTATGATGTGTCACTGTGGGAGCCTATTGATAGGTGACACTGATAGAAAGAGAGGAAGAATCATAGCCAGGTACTTGGAAAAACTAAGTATGATAGCGGCAGAACACGATTTCTCACAGCTTTCACTCTAAAACCAGTCACACTCGACTTAGCATCAGTTAGCTGGAATCGAGCCTGTGCTGTGTGGCACACTTGGCCTGCTAACTACACTATCAATAGCTTAGCCAAAACGCTACAGTCTCAAACACCACAAAACCAGTCATTTGTCTCTCAGACAGTCGTTTTTATTTACACGTATGTCAGCAGAGCAGTCAGTCTGAGTCAAACATGTACTGTGGTGTGAGGCGCTGTTTGTGTCTGTAGCTGCTGGCTAAGCTAACGTTACTCTGCAGATTTAAACACCACAGAACAGATTCATTTCTGTCTTACTGTCACTTCAACTCCAGTCACTCCACTTTTTCTCTCTCAGACTTCAGTTTTTATCCTCTACACTTGTTCCGCAGAGCAGCAGTCAGTCAGAATCAGTCCTGTACTGTGGTGTGTGTCTCTGTTTGGGTCCATAGCTGCTCGCTAAGCTAATGTTAAGTTAGCTGATCCAAACACCACAGAACAGGTTTAATCTCACTTTTCTGTCCTGTCAACGCCAGTCCCTTGAATTTACTCCCTCAGATTTGCATCACTAATATCAATCACTGTGTCTGTGCTTTAGTTAGACAAAATCCAACATGTCTACGTATAATCGGATCACTCAAGATGGATGTTAGGCTAATGTTCGGTGTGAACAGAGCCAGAGAATCTTCTAAGAATTTGCCTATGGACCTTTTTTGCAGCAAAATTAATTAAAACCTCTTATTTATCAAAAAAAAACCTGTTCAATAGAATGTAGAATCTAGAACAACATTGATGTGTCTATTTGTACTTTTAAAGAATGACTTTGTAAAGTGGATTCAAAAGGGCTACTGTTTCAGTTTTTCTGTCATGGACAATTTTCTGGGAACATTCTAAACCAAAAAATGTCTGATCATCAGTCCAAGATGTGAAGCTCAACTGCAACTTGGTTGTGAAGCAAGGCGATGATAAGAAGCACCTCTGAATGGTTCAAAAGAAACAAAAAGAAGGTTTTGGAGTGGCCTACACTGCTAAAAACCTTAGAAACCATTAAGTATTTTAAGTGTTTATTGGTTCCTGATGGTTTTGTAAGGTGTTTTGGCTTTTTTTAATGGGTTGATATCACAATACAAAGTATCTGAATTGTTTCACAGGTGGCCAATGGCTGATTCTAAATGCATTCAGTGGTTTCCTACAGGGTTCTTAAGGTGTTCTACAGTAACCTAGCGGTTTCTGTTAGAAACCATTTAGCCAATTCCCATTAGAAAGCAAAACTATTAGATTTGAATCCAAACGGATTCTAAAGGTCCTTTTCAGCAGGGTAGTCCTGACCTGAATGTCATCAAGATGCTGTGGCAGGAGCTTAAATGGGTGTTCATGCTTGAAAGCGTCCCAATGTGGCTGAAATAAAGCAATTCTGCAAAGAAGAGTGGGCCAGAATTCCTCCATGTTAATATGAAAGACTGATCTTCTTATATCCTTCAATAAATGAAGTGATCATTCAAAGAATTGTCTTTTGTGTAAAAATTGAGGAAATCAGGAGGGGTGCAAATACTTTTTCACAGCACTGTATGAAAGGATGTGCATAAATAAATTCCGTGTCTGTAATCTGAGGCCTGGCTGTGCCCACATTGCCTCTATGAGCCTTCGCCCTGTGACCGCTGGGCGCTACCTTGTTGCCGAAGACAGGGGTGTAGCCTTCTTTGCCAGCCCATTTCTTCAGGTTCGTGGTTTTGTAGGCTTCGTGAAACGGCCCTCCTTTAAAAGACCCATACAGGTCATTACCAGTGTTGGAGCTGTAGAGAATGAGGAGGGTCGTGATGATGAAGACCGCCCCAAAGATCGCCATCCGCTGGCTGTGGTGCCCCTGGGTGTCAGGAAAAAGAAAGAGTAAGGAGAAGTATGGTAAACTGGAAACCTCTACCACTGTCCACTTTAATAGAAAGCCCTACCTTATAGTTCCACCCTCTGCCCACTTGATGAGCTCAACCTACCTTATAGGTGTGCTATTACAGACTGTATCATTCATCATTGGTCAGATTCTGACTACAGGGCCACTGTTGTCCAGATATTACTATCAGCATAGCAGTGACACTTTCATGTTAGTGTGTTTGGTGCTGGTACAGGAGCAGTGTTGCTGGGGGTTTTACACACGCCAGTGTCACTACTAGGTTGAGATATCTACTCTGTGGTCAGAAACTGAGGATGGCCAATAGCTATCAACAGATGAGCTACAGTCTCTTAACTGCATACAACCCAGGTGGAGTTATAGGGGATAGGTAGGATGCTAAGTAGACTTGCAAGAGTGAAAGCTTTTTCTTTGCATCTGCACAAATCAAATTTCCAGTTTTTTTGCAACATTAATGAAAAGGGGCTTCAGTTCTCAAAGAGCACTGCAGTGAAGTGATCATTTTAATTACTCGGGAGCACATTCAGCATAAGGCTGCCGCAGTTATTTAATTAAAAAATGTAAGGAGTACCTGCAGGTCATTATAAAGCTGTGTTTAGCCTACTCTACACAAGGGGGAGCTATTAGCACTCACACTTGTGAGCATCAGTGAGAGCAAGGAAACCCAGCAGGATCTAATACACATGTAGTTGTAAATTGCATTTGTGTGAAAGAAAATACAACGTTTGCAGTTACAAATTGTGTGTATATGAAGCCAAAGTGGATATTAAGGGTTCTGGTTAACCAGGTCTAGGCTGAACTGCTACCAGTTAACAGGATAACAGGATACTCCAATAACATTCAGAATTAGGTTTTCACTGAAAAACAGCAGCATGCAAAGCAAAGAATATGCCAGTCGAATGTATGTTGCTAGCTTGTCCCTAGCATTTGGGAAGTGTATGTACAACACTGTTAGCTTGGTGCTGACATAATATTGAAATCCCCATTGAAGTGCACAGTCAGAGGCAAGAAGAGTCAAACATTTCTATGCATTTCTGTGCTTTTTTTCCACTAAATGTTACTCAAGGTTTCTTTTTTTCATTTTAAGCATGTAGGCATCTTCAAAAGTATGTGCTCAATTACTCGATTACTGATTTAATCGATAGTGACAGTCGTAGCTTAGCGCTACTAACTATTCTTTGCGCTACAGTGCTTTTCAGAAGCCAAGCCCTGGCTGGAGTTTTTACTTTTCTTTCTAAAATAGTACATTTTAACAAGAAAACAAAACCTCCTCTCACCTTTTCCACCAACCGCAGCCCCATTCTCTTGCTTCTGATCCACTATCACATGATGTAGACTTTATGCCTGAAGAAAGTGAGAGAAACAAAGCGTTCTACAAATTAACTGTGTGGCCTTTTAAAGGAATAGTTTGGTGAAAAATCGAATGAATTTAAAGTTTCCCACTTACCCCAGTTGTAGTTGATCAGCTGTCTGAAATCCAAATTTTGCTTCTTTGGTTTAGAACTAGAGCTACAATGCTAACGTTGCTAACAAACACTAGAACTCAACAGTCACCCTAATAGCCGTGTCGTGTAAAAACACGTCGTGTAAAAATACAACTCCAAGACATCTTTCAGCTCAAATTGCATCCTGATATGGTTTAGTGCATGTTATGACTTACTGTGAGCTATAAAAATGCGTCGTTTTTTTAGACAACACCAACGCTGGAGCTCATAATGCAGGAGTGATCTTGGATCAGATTCCTCAATACAAAACATGATAGCCATTGGTTTAGATTCCTCTATATTTGTGACTGTCATTGTCACAAATGCTCATTTTAGATCAGCACTTCAACTCCTGAAGTGATTTGTAAATAAAAATAAAAAAAATAAAATAAATTAATAGTTCACGTAAAGTCATAATGTATCCTAAACCACACTGACAAGTCTGCGCAACCTTAACGAAGACCTGGATGCGGTTTGAGCGGGGTTTTCATGATGCATTTTTGCAGAAATGATTTGGGTGACTATGGAGTTTTAGTGTTTGTTAGCAATGTTAGCCTTGGCGCTCCACTTCATAACTAAAGAAGCAAAATGCGGACTCCAAAAATATTTTGGCCAATCGACCACATCTGGGGTTAGTGGAAAATTGTGTACCTTTGATTTTTCACCAAACCATTCCTTTAACTTGAGGCAAGCTAGTAGAATTACTGTGTTAATAAAGACGCTAATGTTGATGGTAGCTGTAGCATAAAACCAGTAAATATGTGACCGAGGTCAAATGGTGTAAACCGAACTTCTGAAAGTCGGTGAAAAACTCTTCAGAATGGGTAAAATGTCACAGTTCTGCGTTGTTCTGGAAGGATCAATTCACTTTCTACTAACTGACTACCACATCTGATGTGATCAGGCAGAGCTTAATCCAATCTGAGCTGGATTAATGTTTGAACCGGCTCAAAGGAAGCAAACAGGCCTTATAACACGGCATTAATCTCATAATAGGCTGCTTATTCACAGCCCCCTCAATAACAGCAAAACAAAACAAGACATCAGCAAAAACAGTAATGATATGATCATACGGTTACTGTTAATAATAATGTAATACAATGATAACATTATCAATGATTAATATTACATTAATTATAGTAACTCTAACAACAATATAATATCCTTGTTATAATAATAACCTATAATAATTGTGTGATATTAATATTATAATCAGATTAACTGCATTTTAGGTAAAAAAATGACATCAAGGCCAAAATAAGCAAAATTAAACGCTAAGCATTCAAATTAGGCCTATTATTTTTTATATTATTACTGTTATTATAATCCTTAATTTTAATCAGGATATCATGCAGTGATTCTCTACACTGGTTCAAGGGTTCTTTAGTAACAGGAATGGTTCTGTTTAGAACCATGAACTCTATATAGAACCAATCCATGATTAAATGGTTATCTGCATGGTGAAATGGTGCTTCAGATTGATGGAGAATGTGGGGTATAAGGTTCTATAAAGAACCTTTTTGAAAATGGTTCTTCTATGGTTACAAGCTTGACATGGTCACAATAGAAGAACCCTTTTTGGTGGTATATAGAACCACTTTCCAAAAGGTTCTATATGGAATCATCACATTCTCCAACAGTCTGAAGAACCCTTTCACCGTGCAAAGAAAGCTTTCATCATGCAAATGGTTCTTGGAGTGTTCATGGTTCTGTATAGAACCATGTCCTTTACTAAAGAACCATTGAAGAACCCTAATTTTTGTGAGTGTATATAGCACCAAAATGGGTTCTGCTATTGCTACAATGCCAAACGTGTAACAGTAGCAGAACCCTTTTTGGTGCCATATAGAACCACAACGCATTCTCCATCAGTCTGAAGAAACATTACACCATGCTAAGAACCATTCAAGCATGATATGGTTCTATAAGGAACTCGTGGTTCTGTACAGAACCATTCCCTTTACTAAAGAACCCCTGAAGAGCCATCATATTTACGAGCACCAAAAGGGTTCCGCTATTGCTACGATGCCAGGCTCTTTTTGGTGCTATAAAGAACCATATACAGCACATTCTCCATCAGTCTGAAGAACCATTACACCCTGCGAAGAACCATTCAAGAATAAAAAATGGTTCTGTGCAGAACTGATGGAACCATGTTTTTTTCCGAGAGTAAATAAAACTGACAGTAGGTGAAGCAGAGGCCTCGTGCAGCAGGCGGAGCGGGTGGGAGTCCGCCTGAAATAACGGAACTGCCCTCGCGCTCTTATATAAAATGAAGAGCCCGTCTTTGCTCTCTGCTCGGCCTGAACCGCTCACTGTGCACTAACAAACTGCGCACTTCCCTCGAACATTCGTAGATCTTCGTCTGAACAGCTGTGAGCAGACCCGTCTCTGCTGTAGCCCCTCCGAGCGGCGCCCATCCACACAAAGCCCACCCGCCCAAAGCCCTACAGCAGACACTAATATCCTCCATCCAGCTACAGTCAGGACTATTATGTCGCCCCTCCGCGCTTCCACTCACCGATCCGGCGCTCTGCTGTCGTTTCTTTGGCGGGTCATCGCCGTTCCTGTGCGGCAGACCCTCCTCCATCGTCCTGCGGTGGGTTTTCTATTATACGCACCAGTTTTCATACAAGCCCCGCCTCCGGCGCTGGGACTGGATAGCAGTTCATACAAGTGGGTACGTCAATCCGACTAGCCAATCCTAGCGCAGGGGGCGGGGCTTGGCCGAGGCGGGGAAAAACATAACACTCATATCAGACTGAAAACCAGCTTTCATGTTGCTGTGAACCCACACCGCTTTCCTTTGGAGTCTGTTTTTAGTTCCTATGGAAACCCCCTTTACGCCACTTCAAATAAAAATACCGGCATCTATTTATTCTTTTTTCGTTATTAAGTGAACTGCTATGCCATTATTCTGCGATACTAAGTCATTATTCTGGGATTCTGTCAATATTTTGAGAAACTGTCATTATTCTGAAATGATTCCAAGTCGTTATTTTGAGAAACTACCCTCATGACTCTGAGATGCTATGTCATTATTTTGAGATACTACCCTCATGACTCTGAGATGCTATGTCATTATTTTGAGATACTACCCTCATTATTCTGAGATACTATCTCATTATTCTGAGATACTATCTCATTATTCTGAGTTACTAAGTCATTATTTTGAGATATTACCTCATTAGTCTGAGATGCTAAGTCTTTGTTTTGAGATATTACCTCATTATTCTGAGATGCTAAGGCATTATTTTGAAATATTACCTCATTATTCTGAGATGCTAAGGCATTATGTTGAGATATTACCTCATTATTCTGAATTACTAAGTCATTATTTTGAGATATGACCTCATTATTATGAGTCACTATCTCATTATTCTGAGTTACTAAGTATTTTGAGATATTACCTCATTAGTCTGAGTTACTAAGTCATTATTTTGAGATACTACACTCATGACTCTGAGATGCTGTCATCATTTTGAGATACTACCCTCATGACTCTGAGATGCTGTCATTATTTTGAGATACTACCCTCATGACTCTGAGATGCTGTCATTATTTTGAGATACTACCCTCATGACTCTGAGATGCTGTCATTATTTTGAGATACTACCCTCATGATTCTGAGATGCTATGTCATTATTTTGAGATACTACCCTCATGATTCTGAGATGCTATGCCATTATTTGGAGATACTACCCTCATGACTCTGAGATGCTATGTCATTATTTTGAGATACTACCCTCATGACTCTGAGATGCTGTCATTATTTTGAGATACTACCTCATTATTCTGAGATGCTGTCATTATTTTGAGATACTTTGTTGTTATTTTGAGTAATTGACTTAATAATATCAAAAAAGTGCTGGATATTTTCTTTCATTTTACGTGGTGGAAATGGGCTTCCATAAGTTCCACAAGGAAAGCTGGTTTCATTACAAAAGTTATTCGGAATTGAATGGTGAGATCTGATTGGCTGCGGTGGCTCCCAGGGCTTGTCTGTCAGCAGAAGCTCTGCCCCAGACTCTGAAGTGTAGCAAGCAATGTTAGCCAGCTAGTGCTAAGAAAAAATACATTTCTTAACAAGGATGACTAGAGCTTTAACACCAGTCAACATACTCTGAGCATAAATCTGTAGAACATTAATTGAGAGTATTCCGACATTTAATGTGCTGTGGTGTGGAAACATCAGTCAAACAGAAAAATAACTGTCATGGGTGGTAAAGCAGGCTAGTAAGATAAACTTAAGGACGTATTCCTTCAACATACAAAAAAAAGAAGGCAAAACAAATGTATAGTAATTCAGCTCATCCTCTTCACTCAGCATTTCAGATCCTGCTGTCAGGCCAAAGGAGAAATGGTCATAAAACATCCTTTATTCTATTAGCTGTGCCATTTTTAAATAAATCTTGTTTAAAGAAATTCTTTAGAGAGAGAATTAATTCCCTAATATGCATTTATCTGTCTGTGGATCTGTGGTGGGTTCTACTTATTAGTTCTACATAGCACCAAAAAGCGTTCTGCTATTGTTATGATGTCAAGATTGTAACAAAAGTGGAACCTTTTTTGATGCTATAGAGAACCATTTTCAAAAAGGTTGTTAATGTAGAACCACAGGCAACACATTCATCAATCTGAAGAACACTTTCACCATGCAAAGAACCCTTTAAGCATGAGCCATTGCCTTTACTAAAGAACCCTTGAGGAACCATTTTTTAAGTGTGCATGATGCACTTTGTACCGTGTTTTCACTAAAATCTTGTTCCACTGTGGTTCCATTAGAACAAACATAGTTATCCTTTGAATAGCCATGTATTAAAGGAGAATTCCACTGATTTTTCAAAACATTTCTGAATAATTAAATCAGTAACAAATCAGTCAGTGGTTTGGTGTGAAATTCCCCGTTCCAGAGAAACTTACAGAGTCAGAATTGTTCACAGTGGTGGTGATAGGAACCAGACGTCCACCTCTGAAAGCTCCCTCACCTAAAGCTATTACATGAAATTGTTATAAATATGTTGGAGACAGTGTTTTACTATAGTTTTGAGAGACACCTGCCTAAAACATGTTTTCAAATCTATTTGTAGTGGAGGGGTACATGCAGGGTGCTGTGAGGTAAAATAGTTTTCAGAGGAAACATATTTTTTTCAGATTTATCGCTATTTTACCATCAACATTACAAATAAAAACTCAAAAGACACGTGTAGGTTCACTGCAAGCAGACTGCTAATATGAGCTACTACTACTACTAGTGGACTATTTCTAGCAAATCCCTGCACAAGAGGTGGAGTTTATCCGAATACAGGTGGGGCAAAAAGTACTTTCTTCTCCGGTAGAGGTGGGGTTCCACTGGAGCGCCAACACCAACACTGTTAAATGCTTAGCCGCAAATGAGATTAAAGAGAGATTCTGTGTTAATCTGTAGGTCCCTGACTATTTTAAGCCTGCCTGCAGGAAAAAAACAAAACACAAAATATACTTTATAAACATACGTAATACAAAATACAACGCATGCTTCAGAGTTTACTCAGTTTACTGCTTGGAAATATCAGTTTAGACATGTACATTAAAACAGAGCATCTGCAGATGGCACAATCACAGGTGTTACTGTACAGCAGCCTTCTCTTTATGAAATGGCTTTATAATGCATTATAACTGTGCATGAGATTTGAGAAGGCTGTATCAGATTAGCTGACTGATATCAAACATTAAGATTACAATACATAAAACATTGAAAGTAGAAAGTGTGCATGCATCCATTTAGCTGTGAACAGTTCAGAAAAACATTCACAAAATAGATTCTTTTGGGGACAAGCGCACTCATAAAATACTACTTAAGCACTTAAAAACAACACCATGTAGGCACTAAAACAGCTTATGAATTTTAGCAACTTTAGCCTCTTTAGGTACGTAAAGAGAATAAGGGGAAAGCGGGGCATTAACTAACATGGGTTAAAATGAACATATCGTTTTTGATAAATACTCACACTCTCTTTTTACAGATCATACTTATTTTGGTGCATATATATATATATATATATATATATACTGACTATATATATTGACTTTTTATAAGGACTGGTACAACAAGCCCACTTACCCGAGGTTCACTGATGACATCTGTCCGGGTTTATGAACCAAAACCAGTCATTATTCATCTTTACGTGACCACTTTCCAAGCTCTCTTTAACCCTTAGAATTAAACAGGCTGTTTCTGTTACCTTTAAGGTTGATATATGTAAATGAGCTCCGTTCTGATTGGCTGCCCTGTATTGTGTATCTTTCAACTAACACTCAGAGCTGAAATTCTCCTTATAACTTCAGTGTGAATGGGTGGGGCTGAATTGCTGTATATGCCAATGCAAAGGTTTTTGTGACATCACAAAAACAAATTCAAAACAGGCCATTTTGCGGCCTACTGTCCACATACGGACTGGGGTTTGAACGGTACAATGTTTACATGCCAAATCAAAATCAAAAGAGCAAGAAAAATGAGGTTTTCCATGATTTTTTAAGCAAAAAAAAACAAAAAAAACCCAAAATGTGTTACGTTGTGCCGCGCTCTCCCCTACTTAAAGCACAGTAACTCATACTGGTTTGACAAAACATGCAAATCTGAAAGCGCTGATGCTGATAAATATTAAAAGAATAATCCAGCAGTTTCCAACTTAACGATTATCTGCCACATCCATGCCATTTGTTTCATTACCACAGACAACTAGAAGAGAAAATCTGTAAACAAACTAAGTTGGCTTGACAAAACCAGCTGATAACTCCTTAAAATGTAAAGATGTCACAGCTGTTGATTGTTTTTGATAGTTTAATAAAGGTTATGTAGTAATTGTGTTGCTAAGGTATCCCAGGCGGATGCTAAGGCCGTTACTAGGTTTTTGCAAGGCCCTGGTGTTCAAAAGGTGTTGCTATGCCGTTGCTATGGTATCCCAAAACGTTGCTAAGATGTTCCTAGGCCGTCGCTATAGTATCCCAGATAGCTGATAGGGTGTTGCCAAGCCATTACTAAAGTGTTGCTAGGCCATAGCTATGGTATCCCAGCTGGTTCCTAAGGTGTTGCTAGGCTGTTGCTATCATGCTTGCGTGATGGTGACATAAGAGAAGTGTTCAAAGCAATGTCTAAAGAATGTTAATGGCTGTGGTGGAATAAGAGGTAGAAGTATTACATATTATATAAGTGGAATGACAAACATTGTCGTACAAACACTCCAAGTCAGATCGGTTAAAAAAAAGCATAAGCAACTTATTCAGGTATAGATTCTACCATCCTGCAACGTTTTGTGGTTCTAGATTGAAAGCTGTAGGAAGAGTAGCACCACATGATACAGGCAAGGTAGACAGACATTAGGTTGAAAACTGGTGGAGTATCCCTTTAAACATAAGCAAACAATGGCTGCACTCAAAACATCACTGAAAAGAAAACAGAAGCATATTAATCAGTAGTTGTTGCAGAGCCTCTTGAACAATATCAGAAACAAAATTATATATACACATAAAGTCAAGAGCACCACAGCTTAGCTGACATTCTGTACCAGTGACTACATTGTAAATGGCTTAAACAGCTTTCCTGCAATTAACTGTTTATAACACAACACAGATTCGATATGCGTACGATTAACATGAAAATCAGTGCTTTAAGCAATCTTAGTTAAAAGGGAATTTCACTGATTGTTCAGATTGATAGTTAAGATGTAAACAAAGTTGTTCAGAGTGGTTTGATGTAAAATGCCCCGTTCTGCTGAGTCAGTATTTTTTCACAATGGTGGTGCTAAGAACCAGACGTCTGAAGAGTTTAATGCTTTTCTTTAATGTTGCTAGGCCGTTGCTAGGATATCCCAGGTGGTTGCTAAGGTGTTATTAATCCACTGCTTTAGTATCCCAGGTGGTTGCTAAGGTGTTGCTAGGCTATTGCTATGGTATTCCAGGTGTTATTAATCCACTGTTTTAGTATCCCAGGTGGTTGCTAACATGTTGCTAGGCTGTTGCTCTGTTATCCTCGGTGGTTGCCAAGTTGTTGCTGTGCCGTTGCTATGGTATCGTGGGGGTTTGCTAAGGTGTTATCAATCCATTGCTATACTATCCCAGGTAGTTGCTAAGGTGTTGCTAGGCTATTGCTCTTTTCCTTTGAGTGGTTGCTAAGTTGTTGCTAGCCCAGTGGTATGGTATTGCAGGTGTTTGCTAAGGTGTTGCTATGTAGCCATTCCAGGTGGTAGCTGATGTGTTGCTAGGCCATTGCTATGGTATCACAGGTGTATGCTATGGTGTTGCTATGCAGCCATTCCAGGTGGTAGCTAATGTGTTGCTAGGCCGCTGCTATGCCATCCCAAGTGGTTGCAAAAGTGTTGCTAAGTCATTTTTATGCTATTCTAGTTGGTAAATTTCTCTACACTGAACCATTTCATGTCCAACCACTTTAAATTGCTTTGTTAACATCTCAACCACTAAATTATGCAGAAATAAAAAATAATAATAATAAAAAAAAACAATCAGTGGAATTCCCTTTTAGTGTTTTAATTAAAAAGTTAAAAAAATCTCAATGCCGTTTGGCCTGACATTTGGCCTTGGCAACCAAAGAAATCTCTCTGGCGACATTATGTCATTTCTACAGCAGTTCTCTACAGAAGTATAGTACAATTACTACATTTCGTCACTCCTGAAAATGTGTTCGCACTCCTTTGAAATAGTGGACTGTGAAAATAAAAACCATCATCTGTACAGGTGTGTACACTGATAAATGTCATACTGATAGCTTCATATCTACAGTAGACAAAAACATATACAGGTTAAATAAGTAGCTCTGTGGGCAGGAAATGCTAAGTGCTAATCTGAAGTAATTCCTTTGGTTTTGCTAAAACAAGAGGCAACAGAAGAAGCGTGAGAGCTCATCATTGGCCAGCAGGTAAGATTACACTGAAAATGATCACATTAGCTGCACACAGGTCGAGGCTTCGGAGGCTAACATGATTCGCGAAGGTTTTCAAATTGAATTGGGTCATTTTACTACAGTCTTACATTCACAAACATTAGCAAAGACCAGTCAGAGAGCTTCCATGCAAATGTGTCACGTCGGCAACTATTTGTCCTTCAGTTTGTTTTTCCTCAAAAGAAACTTAGAATGAAGCTAACTTTGTTCACAGCTAGCAGATGAAGCGAACTTAGTTTATAGCTAGCAACTCATAGAATAGAACAGAAACTTGAAACTAATCTGATGTGGCCTCATTTATGCTGCACATAGCCTCTAAACATCGACATGAACATTTTAGCCGATTCGGCCGATTCCAGCCGCTTTTCCACTGCATGGTATGGCAGTGGACTTGACCCGACCCGCTTTTGGTCCACTGCAGATAGAGTACCCTCCCAATGTAGCTAGTCATCATAGCGATGCCACATGAAACTGCTGTGACGTGATGGAGACCAATTTTGTTCAGAAGAGGCTGACGGCAGCCCGACAAAAACTACTGCTGATAAAAAACAGGAGAGTTCAGAAAAAACTATATCTGAGTTCAGAAGACGAGACGATTCTGGTTGCTCAAAGGCGATGCAAGAGGCAGCGTAGCTGGTGTTAGCATATGTGTTAGCGATTCTCTCCGACCAATCAGCAATCTTAAGTGTTTTTACGTCACCTTTTGGTATCGGCTCAGCTCGCTTGGAACCTCAACAGAGGTGATACCAAAAACAGTACCAGGTAGCAGATTTGCCTAAAGGAAAACCAAAACGAAAAAGGCGAGTAGAGTCGAGTCGGTACCATGCAGTGGAAAAGTGGCTATTGATTTTAAGGTGCTAAACATTCTCAGAGTAATAATATTTTATATTATTTTAGATTTCATTTTTTTACTCTAACAGTTTTCGCAAACCATGATATGATATTAATGTTTGTCACCAACTGTAAACTGTGAAGTATGACTGTCATCAAGGGTCACATTTCAGCAGAAATGTACTGTCTTAAATAATATTAATACCATCATACTGGGCAGAGCTACCCAGAATTATTGTGCTTTTTTTTTCTTAACTGCCTCTAATGTGTCATCAGTTCTCTTCATATAAAACTATTTTTGTATGTTATTCTCAGGCTAAGTGCTTCGTTTGGGCACATTCAACATGTTATTTTAACCATTAGTTTAGTGTTCAGATTCACCAGTTCAGTCTGTACTGCTGTGATAGAGTTAAAGAGGGGTGCCTTATACTAGGCCTCCCAGTGGCTTCCAACTATCTGATGGTTCTTCTAATCATCAGGAGAGCATTGGTTTAAATCCCCAAAAAATGTGCAAATTACCAGTGTATTCTCAGCGATAGCTGTGCAGACTGTGAAGGAGATATGAAGTTTCATGAAGCCTTGAAACTTTCCAGCCACCTGTGTTAATAATGGTTAATTTCCTGAGGCTTTGTGTGCCCACTAGAGGCCTCTAGTGGCCAAAGGAATATTAGCCTGTGCAGCAAAACTGTTTTCAATTACATGGATGTGTAATTTGGACTGGTAGAGGCGGATAATTAATAAACAGCTGATCCGAGGTTGGCAGAGATTTGGTGCAGTGTTCTGTCTTTGCGCCTGTATGTTGATAGAGCTTATAATGCTATTGCTGAATGTTTGTACGTGGTCTGATGGTGGTGAAACCTGCCAACTGAACCCATTCTTGAGGCAATCCTCAAACAGTTATTTCAGGAAAACAACATAAGCTTAGATACTGATCTTGATGCAAATTCAAAGCCCCAATACCTGGCATAGCATCACTATATACAGATGAAAGCACATCAAGGTCATCTATATCAGACGACAAAACCTCACGTAGCTTCCATAACTGGAAATAGCCTCATGCTAACCTCACAGAGCTTCACGTAGCACTTGCAATCTCATGGGACCTCACAACATCATGTAACATGACATAAACTTGGCTTATGTAACTTTATGTAGCCATACATAGCATTATGTAGGCCTCTACAATCCTGTGTGGTCTAATCTCACACTACTTCACGTAGCCTCATTTAACCTCACTTATCCTCAACGCGACCTCACAAACTTCCATAACACTATGTAACCTCGGGAAGCTTCACAAGGGCTCACGTAACATGACGTAGCCTCATGAGATCTCACGTAGCCATCTCATATGGCCTCACATGATCTCACGTATCTTCCTGTGGCCTAATATAACCTCACAGTGGTGTAACATCATAGAGATGAATGTAACCCCAAACAGCCTACCACAATGTAACCTAGTATCAAGTAACCCCAGTAACATGGGACTGTGAAATGTAACCTCACGTGACATCACGTGACCTCACGCCATCTCTCAAAGCCTCCTTTTCCATAGGCAGGCCACTGCTAAGCTGCATTCTGACCTTTTGACCTTGGAGGACACAGGTTAATATGTCAGACAAAGGCAGCAGGACTCGGCATGTCCCGAATACATTCAATAAAAAAAAAACACGAACAATGCGATAAAAAAATAACAATGCTATGGTGGAAAATACAAAAACAAATGCAACAGAAGCAGCACTGGACTACGCAAGGCTTTTTAAAGTAAATAAATATATGCAAAAGAAAATAAAATATAAAAAAATGTGCCAAAAACAAAAAAAGGCAGTCACAGCTGAGCACCAGACACAGCCTGCATCTAGTCATGAGCAAGTCAACAGCTTAACAAAGCGACAGATTTCCATTTGAATTCCCAGTAGATAAACCAGTTAGTGTCGGAATACATTCAGACATACAGTTTTGCTCCAGTTCACCTGAATCAAGCAAAGAGGTGAGGCTCTGAGGGTGTTGCCATAGCAACCACTTGGATCCACAGAGCATCAGGTGGTCTAGGGGACCAACCAGTCGGGGTCCGGTGAGATACGTCAGGCTTGCTGCAGAGGCGACCAGGTGGGGTATTTAAAGCTCAGTTTTCCCTGCGAGGCCCAGCGTTTATAGATGTTCTTCTCCGTAATGAAGCGATGGCCGCCTCTCTTGGCTCGTTCGTGCACCCTGTACATCCCGCACTCATCCAGACGATAGTTCTCGTAATAGTGATATGGCACCGAGGTGTGGTTGGCAACACTACATGTGCATACAAATATGGGAGGTTACAATCAGGTGACATGCCTAAAGGCGCAGTCCCACTAGACATTTGCAGTTGGTGTGGCCGTGAAGAAGGCTGGGCCGGAAGACGGCTCGCTAACTTACTAACCATAAACAATAATGACACAGAAGTGAACATATCTATATACTCACAAAAGCATAATGCTGATCTAGGAAAAACCTGTAGATAACTGCTGTGGTCAGAGATGTGGGAAGGTGGGTGCTGAGGGTGCGGCAGCACCCCCCAGAGTTCAGTTTGGTTAACTGCAACTGCTAAAAATAACTAAAAAAGATCTGAACTTGAAACTCATTTGAACATAGTAAAGACCTGCAGTAGCTGCTCTTTAAGACTGGGGTTTGGATTCTTATGTGTTACTCATACATTTCAATAACCTACAGTAGCTGCACTGTTTACGTTAATGTATTTTCATTACAGCGAGCCGAATCCCTTCCCTGCCAACTGCTGACCGCTTTGGAGGCGTGGTGCTAAAGCACATGAAGGTTGAAGCGCAAAGAGGGAAAGTGTGTGCAGAGCTACATTTCTGAGCCCAAAAGTGACCTTAATGTTGTTTTTTAAACTTAAAAAAAGTTCTGATGTCCAGCGCTTTGAAAACCACTTGGAACCTTTTTATTTCAATCAACTGTTTTAGTTTTTTAATCAAATGTTATATCTTCCGCTCGGTGTGCATTCAAGTGTGTGACTGTGGGCGTGACAACGCGCTAATTGGTGGGGTATCATTTTCCATTACTTCTCAGCTACATTAGCCTAGTAGCTCCAGTACAAAAGAAGCAAACTTTATATACCAAACATGTCTTGGCTGACTGAAGACATTTGGTCATCTTGACAAATAAAATTCATCTCAAATTCAGTCAATATCTAATAATTCTCATTATGGTATTATGGTAAGAGTTTTATACGATTACTTAATTTATTTCTAGACAGTCTTTTATTAGCTTGTTCCAAACATTATTTCTTAAAGCTGCACCATTTAAGATTTTTTGTTAAAAATGATAAAAGAAACATTTCAGTAAAGTCAGTAAAATAAAAACCAAAATATGGTGTATGTGCGCTGCTGCAAATCGCCCTGTATAATGATTTAAATGTCAGAGGCGTCGGGTCGAGTTTTTCGGATCACGTCATACGTCTTTACATATTAACGTCATGCACGGCCTCAAAAAGAAGGTCCGGCTCGATGTTTAGGTTTCAAATGATCTGAAAATCAACATTACACTGATGGAGATATGATGACAATAGCAGATAATAGGGCTGAGCGATTTGCGGTAAATATCGAATTGCGATTTTTTCATGCAATGAAATTTAAATTGCAATTATTATCTGTAAGGTATAAAGTTCAGGCCTGTTTTTTTGGCCAAGAAGTTCAGAATATCCACCTTTTCTGGCTTAAAGATTGACCCCTGAATGTAGTGTGCCAAACTGCCAGTAAGCTGTGGTTGTGATGTCACAACACATGAAGGTTTGGCTGCCTCTGACTGGTCTAACTCATCTACAGGCAGCTCACAAGCTCTGTGTTATTAGGTTTAATTACCACTCTTAAAACTTAAGACAACGTTTTTGATAACGCAGGCTTTAAAAGGCTCTGAAGCACAACCCATGTTACAAAATCTTCTTCCACATGTTATGCGCAATTACACATTTCTACCAGAGAGGTCCAAATCCCCAAATCTTACATAGTGTAGCTTTAAACAAGCAAATGATCTGCCAACAGAATACAGCAATATATCTTCAGCTTTTTTTACTTCACTCACCTGCAATAAGAACCATCTATCATCCCATAAACATCAATGCTGTCACACACCTCCATCGCCAAAATCATGGTGAAAAACCCAGTACTGAGAAATGCACCTGACTTCATCCTGAGAGAGAGAGAGAGAGAGAGAGAGAGAGAGAGGATTAACTATCCACAGCTTTCATATCCAACAAATGGATATGGTATTATAGTCTATGAACTTTTAAAGTTTATATTTATGTGCTCTATAAGCATACATACAAACTTTTTATAATTATTCATTTTCATTTTGATCTACAGTACTGCGCAAAAGTCAGAGACCACCATTTATTCTCCAGTAAAAATTGTCATTAATTACAAATTATGAATTTTTAAAAGTCAGAAAAAAATATTTAACAGACGCCTCAACAACTAAATATTTAATTTTACAGTGTTTAGTGTGTCCACTTTTTGCCTTTATTACAGCTTCCATTCTTTTCAGGAGACTTTTCTGTACCACCTTAAATGGAGAGGCATTTACATTCTGGCACCTATACAGGCATCTGAATGTAGCTGCTGCAGCATTTAAGGTGGAACGGGAAATCTGAATAAGAAGCCAATTTCACAAAATCATTTGTCATTAACAGTCCTTGGGCTAGACTCCTAATGCTACATTCACCTACATCTGTAACATGACTAAACAGTAAGTCGCTCTGGATAAGAGCATCTGCCAAATGCATGAAATATAAATATAAAATTAACTTCTTCAGAACTTATAAACTGGGCTGGATCAGATGCTGTTAGACGCTGGTTGGAATTAAACTGTGCAGAACTGGTTGAGAACAGTACCTGTTCTTGCCCGTCTCGTCCTGGAACACGCGGTCGCAGTACAGCACCTTCTCCCTGCTGACTGTATAGATGTGAGTGTGTGGGTATTTCCTGGCCAGTTTGACCAGTGCGTTAAACACCCTGCCCTTTCCATCCTGCCTCATGTTCCTGTCAGGACCCCACACCACGTACAGGGTGTCCGCCTCGTGCCTGAAGAACACGTCCTCGTGCCGCAGCAGGTGGGGAACACTGGTGTGCGAGACGACGCGAGCGCTCGTCCGGTTCCCCACGTCGGCCTGAAAGCCCCGCGTGGGCGCCGCGTTCATGCGGATCACACAGTCATGTCCATCAATCTCACTGCCCCGCCCACTGCCACGCATATGGCCCGAACTGGACACCACGGCACATCGGCCGCAGTGGAGCGCCAAGTACTGAACACAACACAGTATAAACATGATTTCATCAGCCACATTAACTACAAAAGCTTCGTAGTTACATAACTAAAGAAACAAACTTCAGACACCAAACATGTCTGACGACATTTGGGGTAGGAGAGAAAAGCTGTGTAAATTTGACAACATTATAATGTGCAATATGTACCATAACAGTCAAAAGTTTGGACCCACCCAACTGAATGCATCTTTTATAACAGTAAAGACATTTTGATCTAAAAACAGAGGCTTCCATGCTTAAATATACACCAATCAGGCATAACATTATGACCACCTCCTTGTTTCTACACTCATTGTCCATTTTATCAGCTCCACTTACTGTATAGGTGCACTTTGTAGTTCTACAGTTACAGAGTGTAGTCCATCTGTTTCTCTGCATACTTTGTTAGCCCCCTTTTACCCTGTTCTTCAGTGGTCAGGACCCCCATGGACCCTCACAGAGCAGGTACTATTTGGGTGGTGGATCATTCTCAGCACTGCAGTAACACTGACGTGGTGATGGTGTGTTAGTGTGTGTTGCGCTGGTCTGAGTGGATCAGACACAGCAGTGCTGCTGGAGTTTTTAAACACCTCAGTGTCACTGCTGGACTGAGAATAGTCCACCAACCAAAAATATCCAGCCAACAGCGTCCTGTGGGCAGCGTCCTGTGACCACTGATGAAGGACCAAAGGATGACCGACAAAAACTGTGCAGCAGCAGATGAGCTATCGTCTCTGACTTTACATCTACAAGGTGGACTGACAAGGTAGGAGTGTCTAACAGAGTGGACAATGAATGGACATAGTGTTTAAAAACTCCAGCAGCACTGCTGTGTCTGATCCACTAAGACCAGCACAACGTCAGTGTCACTGCAGTGCTGAGAATGAGTTTTTAGTGTAGCTCTAAGAACAAGGACACAGAGTGAAGCACTGCTTTTATAAAGCATCATAAGCTATTTGACTGCTAATCGGCGCCTCATTGTGGAGAATCTTCAGCCTGCTAAACGTGAGTTCCCTCACTACAATACCCAGCATTCAGATACATCACACAGCTATCAGGGAGCATAGCCACTGATGTAGAGGCTAATAAATATAGATGTGATATTCGTCTTCTTAGCATTAATTCCAGTATCCAAATAGCAGAAAAAGCAACAAAACAGCCCGCCTTCTAGTATTCGCCCCAAATCAGCTGCAATTTTTCAAAAGCTCCTCCCACCTTCAAGATACATCATGAATGAAGAAGCTTTTCTAGAACTAATAAAAAAGACACTAAAAGAACAACTTACGGGCAAATCAGATGTATCGGAAGGTGGAATCCTCTCATAGCCACGGAGGCCCAAGTCAACAACACTGTCTCCTGTTCTGGTTACATGACTGTACCACAGCACGAGAAAGAGGGTGATGAGGAGGAGGCAGAGCCAGCGGTTTTTCTGCATGGAGACAGAGCAGATGTTTCAGCTGGAAGTCAACACATTTACTTATTGCAGCCAATCTGCCATGGAAACGTATGCAAAAGTCAGAAACCACCGTTTCCTTAATTAAATTTCTAGTCAAATAGATGAAAAGAAGAGAGTTTCCAAACTGGAGTTTATTGTGAATTAAGTGGATTAAGAGCTACAGAGAAAATGTGACTCCTAACAACCACCTGGAAGACCTGGTAGACAAAAAACTGCCCCCATCAGATAAACAGCACTTAAAGCTTGAGAGAGAGGAGAAAATCAAGCTGCTTCAGATCTGAAAACATCCACAGGTGTTTCTGTCCATCCTTCCACTGATGCTGTAAATGAATAATTTGTACTTAATGGCCATTTTGACTGGAAATTAAATAAATGAAGGGTGGTCTCTGACTTTTTCACAGTAGTGTACACATTTTTCAATCTATTTTAACACATTATTTGGTATATTCTGGCTCCCAAGGGCTTAGCTATGCGCTCCTAATGATGTGCAGTGATGTAAGTAAAGAAAAGTTCCAATATAGTCATGGGTAAAAACATTTAAATCACGCCTGACAACACAACATTTCCTGGGCATTTTAATGACATATAGGGATGCATACATACAGTGCATAAAGTGCAGTGAAAAAAAAGTGTTTGCCTCCTCTTGATTCTTTCTGTGTTTGCATATTTGTCAGATTAGTTTCAGATCTTCAGACAAAATTTAAGGCAAAAGCAACCTGAGTAAACACAAAATACAAATTTGTAAATGATCATGTCATTTATTGAAGGGAAAAACATATCCAATGTCAACTGGGCCTCTGTGAAAAAGTATTATTACTCCATCAACCAACTGACCAAATTTAGTTAACAACTGGGGATCAATTAAACTAGACACAACCAGGCTTGATTATTGCTAGTCCTCTTGAGTCTAGCAATGTTAAGTCGGCTAAAAGGTCTCAACAAGCAGAACACTAAGCCACAATCAAAAGAAATTCCGGAACAGATGAGAAAGAAAGCTATATCTGTAGAAATATATGAGTATAAAAGGGGTTACAAAGCCATTTCTAAAACTCTGGTATTCCAGTGAACCACAGTGAAAACCATTATCTCCAAGTGGAGAAAACCTGGGACAGTGGAAAATATTCCCAGAAGTGGCTGGTTCCCTCAAGAGTACAGCAACTCATTCAGGAAGTGACAAAAGAACCCAGACAAACATCTGAGGAACTGTAGGTCTTGCCCGCCTCAGATAATGTCAGCATTCAGGATTCCACCATTAGAAAGATACTGGTAAAAAATGGTATCCATGGGACAGTTGCAAAGCGAAAACCACAGTTAACCAAAAGGAATATAAAGGTTTGTCTCACATCAAACAAAAAACATATTTGTCTCTCGGAATAATGTTCTGTGGATTGACAAGTTGAAAGTGTGTCCAGTTACATCCAATGTAAAGTTACACAGCATTCCACAACAAGAACATCATAACAGTGAAACATGGTGGAGGTAGTGTGATGGTGTGGGGACGCTTTGCTGCTTCAGGGTCTGGACGACTTGCCATGAATGACAGAACCTTGAATTCTGCTCTCTACCAGGAAATCCTGCAGGAGAAAGTCTGGTCATCAGTCCGTGATATGAAGCTCAAGCGCATTTCGGTGAGGCAGCAAGACGACAATTCTAAGCACAAGAGCTAAATTCCAACTCTGAATGGCTCAGAAGAGATAAACTGAAGTTTTTGGAGTAGCATAGTCAAAGTACTGTCTTGAACCCCACTGTGATACTGCAGCAGAACCTTAAATGGGCAGTTCATGCTTGAACGTGGTTGAATTAAAGCAATTATGCAGAGTGGGCCAAAATTCCTCCACAGCAATGTGAAAGACCGATCTCTGTTATAGAAAGAATTTGGCTGCAGTTGTTGCTGCTAAAGGTGGCACAACCAGTTATTAGGCTCAGGGCAGCAAGTATATTTTCAGTAATTCACCAAGTGTTGCAGAAGGTTTTACCTTCAATAAATGAAATGGCTGTGTTTTTGGGTTTCCTCACGTTCTCCTGACATATTTATTACATTTCGTATGAAGATCTGAAACCATTTAATGTGAGAAATATGCAAAAATAGAGGAAATTCATAGTCAGCCTGTTCATTAATAAGGCTCAGCCAAAAGGAGATCAGTTCAGGGAGCTGGTTGGTCTGAAACTGGCAACATCTGTCGAGATCCAGCTGTTTCTGTTCTGCATTTTATTACACTTTTATAACACTTTTAAAACTCCAGAGTTTTGATCACAGCAGATGTTTTTAGGAGTAAAAGAATCATCCTACCAGATACTTCATGTCCTGTTGAAACCTGCTGCACAGTCATGGCTCCCACCTACACATGAACAATGCAAGATAAGGCAATGGTACGGAGGCCAAAGGTCACATGGTGAATATTTTTTAATAATGCGTGGTCACAAATTACTATACTGAAGCCATGAACTACTATATTGAGGCCACACATTACTATATTGAGACTACAATTTATTATATTGAAGCCACAAATTACTATACTGAAGCCACAAACTATTACATTAAGGCCACAAGTTACTACACTGATGTCAAAAAATACTATACTGAGGCCACAAATTACTATACTGAAGCCATGAACTACGATATTGAGGCCACAAATTACTATATTGAGACTATAATTTATTATATTGAGGCCACAAATTACTATACTGAAGCCATCAACTACTATATTGAGGCCACGAATTACTATACTGAAGCCATCAACTACTATATTGAGGCCATAAATTACTATACTGAAGCCATCAACTACTATATTGAGGCCACGAATTACTATACTGAAGCCATCAACTACTATATTGAGGCCATAAATTACTATACTGAAGCCATCAACTACTATATTGAGGCCACAAATTAATATACTGAAGCCATCAACTACTATATTGAGGCCACGAATTACTTTACTGAAGCCATCAGCTACTTTATTGAGGCCAGAAATTGCTATACTGAAGCCATTAACTACTATATTGAGGCCACAAATTACTATATTGAGACTATAATTTATTATATTGAGCCACAAATTACTATACTGAAGCCATATACTGCTATACTGATGCTACATTTTACTTTATTAAGGCCACAGATTAATATATTGAGGCCACGAGTTCTGAGAAAATTACCTTGTGACCTCGATCTATTAATTCATGGCCACTACTTATTAAAATAATCACCATGTCCATACAAAAGCAGCACAGAGCCAGATGAAACAGTCGTTCACCACAGGTCAGTCTGTTTACAGGTCAGTAATTTACAGGTCAGTCTGTTTACATTCAGCAGGTCAGTAATTTACAGGTCAGTCTGTTTACATTCAGCAGGTCAGTAATTTACAGGTCAGTCTGTTTACATTCAGCGGGTCAGTAATTTACAGGTCAGTCTGTTTACATTCAGCTGGTCAGTAACTTACAGGTCAGTCTGTTTACATTCAGCGGGTCAGTAATTTACAGGTCAGTCTGTTTACGTTCAGCAGGTCAGTAACTTACAGGTCAGTCTGTTTACATTCAGCAGGTCAGTAACTTACAGGTCAGTCTGTTTACGTTCAGCAGGTCAGTAATTTACAGGTCAGTCTGTTTACATTCAGCAGGTCAGTAATTCACAGGTCAGTCTGTTTACATTCAGCAGGTCAGTAACTTACAGGTCAGTCTGTTTACACTCAGCAGGTCAGTAATTTACAGGTCAGTAATTCACAGGTCAGTAATTCACAGGTCAGTCTGTTTACGTTCAGCAGGTCAGTAATTCACTGAGAGTCAGTTATGAAATGTGTTGCTAATACAAAACAGGCAAAATAATAAACCAGCAACGCTCTCAAACAATACATACACCAGCCGCGATAACACTGCGATACACAGTGTATTCATTTTCACTAAACTTCACAAAAATTAACAATGAACATTTTTAAAACACAGATATAATTAGGTAACGAAATTAGCGTCCTTACATAGCCTGGGCACGCTGATGTTTATGTTCCGTGGTAAAATACGGTTCCGACGTTTTAGTTCCGGCGTCATTTTCATAAAAAAAAGGAATAAAACATTTATGTGATTATTTATGTTCTACTTACGTGGAAGAAGCTGTGTTTAGACAAATGTGGAGAAAATAGCTGTAAAAATAAGACACTTTCTAATTATAACAAACATCACGACTCGAAAGTCCTGATGTCCGACTCGTGAACGAATCAGTTCTTGAGACTCGGTTCTTGGTCGGACCGATTCATTTATAGTTTCCATGTCAACATTGTGTCCTTGCTGTGAGCTAAAGCAGGGCAGGGTCAGAACCTTTAGGGGCCATTCTAGCGGCCCCCACCTTGATTTTTTGGAAGCAAAGTCATAAGAAATTTGCCAGTTTCACAGCGGAAACAGCACAAACGATGTTTAAATAAATAAATAAATAAACAAATGAATACTTGTGGGGCCCCTTGTAACTTACAGCAGGAAACAGCCCTGAGATTAAGACTTCAAATAAAATGTGAATAATAACCACAAATCACAACATGCAATACCACACTGTGACATATTTCTAAGACTGTTTCCTTTTCTGTAATGTGTATCCGGCCCTCTACTAGAGTGTAGACATCTGGCATGTATTTTGGCTTTGTGACCAAACTTGAAGACTGTGGCAAAATATTTGTGGCTTTATCTTGGACTTATTTATAGTGATTTTTCATTTAGACTAAGTTATTTACATTTAAATTCTGGAATTCATTCATTCATCTTAAGCTGCTCATCCTCCTGAGGAGTGGTGTTGGAGCCTATCCCAGCGCTCACTGGGGGGACAGCAGGAAACACCCTGGACAGACCGCCAGTCCATCACAAGGCAGAAACACAGACATACGTATTCCCACCTTGGGAATTTAGCATTTTTAAATCACCTGACTGCACATCTTTGGACATGCAGACAGGGGAGAACATGCAAAGTCCATACAGAAAGGACCCTGGTTGCCCGGCTGGGGAATCGAACCCAGGCCCTTCTTGCTGTGCCACCTTAAATCACGGTATTTATTTTAAAAAATGTATATTTTCATGCAATCTCATTATTTTGTTTGCAGTCGACCCCTATTGTATACGCAGTAGACCCCCACTGTATATGCCATACAATTCTAAATAAAATACAGCCAGGGGAGAGAAAGAGAATAATAATAATAAAAATAAATAAATAAATAAATAGAAGCAAACAGTAAACAGAACCAAAGAAATAAACCGACAGTGAGAAACATGAAGAAGAGAAAGGAAATAAGAGAATCTAGGTGTGAATTCAAATATGCTGAAATTAGAACTCAGACTTCAGGTTTTCACAGCTTTCTAATTGAAAGAGGTGGATAAAGATTTCAAATGACACTCCACATCTTTGACAAAGTGACAAAATAGGGGTCTACTGCAAACCAAATAATGAGACTGTGTGAAAATATTCATTTTTTAAAATTAAATTCCATGATTTAAGGTGGCACAGCAAGAAGGGCCTGGGTTCGATTCCCCGGCCGGGCAACCGGTGTTCTTTCTGTGTGGAGTTTGCATGTTCTCACCCTGTCTGCGTGGGTTTCCTCCGGTTTCCTCCCACAGTCCAAAGACTGTGTATCCGGCCGATTGGAGATGTTAAATTGCCCCTAGGTGTGAGTGTGGGTGTGAATGTATATGTCTGTCTGCCCTGCGATGGACTGGTGACCTGTCCAGGGTGTATCCTGCCTTCCGCCTAATGACTGCTGGGATAGGTTCCAGCTCCCCCCATGACCCAGGAGGATAAGTGGCTTAGAAGGTGTGTGTGTGTGTGCGTGTGTGTGTAAATATTTAATATATACAAAAGTGAAAATTAAACAATTTCTCAATCAAAAAAGACATCTGACACATTCAAAGCATCTTTATAGACACAGTATTATTATTTTTGAATAATCATTGTGGACACGACTTCACTCGCAAATGAGAAAATGAAGCTTACTGAATCAATGAATCGGTCGTTGGATTTGATGAAAAAGACAGCGAGAAAGAATCGATTCTGAAAACTGAATCGGATCTCCCGTCCCTGTCGAAAGTCGTTATGGTCCATGTCATTGGAGGGTCGATGTAACGCGCCCGTCCGTTCTGCGACTCGATTGGTCCAGTTTTACGGAGAGAGCGCTGCTATTGGTCAGCCCGGTTGTCGGTCAAGCGTCGCCCCGCCCACAGCGAAAGTGATGTTCGTGCGTGAAATGCGGCGTCGTTGGGAACGTCCTTCTGCAGCAGCAGTGCGAGGGGGAGTGAGTATGTCCGCTTGGTTTTCAGCTCTGTTTCTCTCGGTGGTCGATTCGTGAATATTTCAGCGGTTTTTAATGGATCACTACCTACAAGACGGTCATTAATTCGGCTCAAAACGGCCACGGGACGATGGACTGTCTTGGCTGCTGCTAGCGAGTAGCTAGCTGGCTAACTGGCTCTGGTGTGCTGCCTGTAGAGACATTGGGTCCGTCCCAATATTCACTGAACTGACCTGCCTCCTTATGGAGCTGACTAGTATATTAAAGGGAAGCTCCACCGATTTATCAAAAATTCTACATAACTAGGTAAATTATAGCGTCAGAATTGTTCACAGTGGTGGTGATAGGAACCAGACGTCCACCTCTAAAAGCTCCCTCACAGAAAGATATTGCAGGAAATGGCCATGAATACGCTGAGACGTTGTTTTATGGTAATATTGTGCTAAAGTTTTGGCTTACAGTATATTTTAATCCATTCATTCATCCGTTCATGGCGGAGGGATATGTATGCAGGGCACTACACAGCAAAATAGTCCCAAAAGAAATCGTATTGTTTCGTGTTATTGACTAATTTATCATCGTGATTTCATATACAAAGCTCAGAAGGCTCGTGTAGGTTCACTAGTGGTTCTGAATAGTAAATAAAATGGCTGTATTCCTGTTGGTCATGGTTCCCCTGGTTCCTGTCACCACCACTGTAAAGAAATCTGAGTCTCTACAATGAACTGTTTCACATCAGACTTCTCTGATGACTGTTTACATATCAAGGACTGAATATTGAGAAATTTTGAAGCATTGGTGGAATTCTCCTTTAAGTTAAATGGAAGCTTATAAGTCACAGTTTGTCAGTCTTGCTTCCTTTGTAGCGCACGTTTTCGTGTTTTATCTGCTCCAGAACCCACAGTTTAATCCCATGAAGGGCTTTATAATGTGCTTGTGAGTTGAATCAGGCCTGGAAAATATCATTTTTCAGATTTTTTTTAGTGCAGATGGAATGCAGGAGCGCTATTTACTGAGATGGGAAGCCGTTGGAAAGGCTGCCTATATAGACAGACCATTGAGTATTGGGACACAGCCACTGACAGCAGGACCAAGTGCAGAGGGAAATGTTATGTTTACTGGTTTTACTGCCTCCATGGTGAGTCAAACAGAAGAGCTGCCTCTTGTATAAAACCAGCAAGGTCCTCAAAAGGCTTTAGCACAGCTCAGCCAGCTTGTCAGTCTGCATTCCTGTATGTGACTTCACTGCTCACCACTTAGAATCATTCACTACCAACTCCAGGTCTAATAACCTGCATGTTTGTTTCAGTGATAAGAGACATGTGAACTCTAATTTGGTCAATCTGACACTGTCACAAGGGTAGGTTCACTGAAGCTCCACCGATTTATATCCCACATTTTTCTAATTTTATTTTTTCCTGTGAGGTATTTTTGGACCAAAAACAGTCATCATTCATTTGTACATAACCCTTTTCCAATCTCTCCTTATCTCTTAGAATTGAACAGACTGTTTTCATTACTGCGTCTATAAAGGGTCAACATCCTACGTTTTTCTGGTGTTTTATTTTTTCCCCTTGAAGTCCACTTACAACATATTTGCGCTTGTGTGGTCACAGTTTATTTTTCATGAGCACTGGCTGCTTTTTATCCTTGAGAATGTTTTTGTTACTCGGCCTTTAAGACTGCTATATGTAAACGAGCTTTGTTCTGATTGGCCGTCCTGTATTGTGCCTCATTAAAAAAAACATGCAAAGCTGAAACACTCCCCTTACTTTCATATTAATGAGCAGGCTGAACTGCTGAAGGCCAAATAGGTGGATATATGTAAATGAGTTCTTGTGACATCACAAAAACAATTAAAAATGGGCTGTTTTGGCAGCACAGTTTTCATATAAGGACACTATGGTGTTTGGAGTGAATGGCATGTTTAGAAACTTTGACAGTGCTTCACACTGCAAACTTTTATTTTGGAAAAAGAGCTTTGAGGAAGATGTAATTTTCCATGATATGGGCCTTTTAAGAATGATATATGTAAATGAGCTCAATTCTGATTCGAAAAGCAGTAGCTGAAAGTAGTTGAAACATGACGGAGGTAGACTTATGTAGGCTAAATAGGAGGTTATGTGCAAATAAATTTTGTATCATCATAGAAATAACGACTTCAGAATGGACAGCATGGACTGAGGAGTGAATGGTACATTTTGTAACAGTGCCTACAGACTTTTATTTTGGATAAAAGAGCTTTGAGGAAGATTTCCATGATATGGGCCCTTTAAATTAGGTTTGCTAGGTTTGGGGACTGTACCAGAACAGGCTGAGTATACAGTACATTGAAGGCACAGCTTTTTCTTCATGTGTGCGTTCAGGAAATAGAGTCACGCCAAGTGCCGACGTCTTTGTCCTTTGGTGTCAGTTTCAAATCATGTTGAGAAATATCAGAGTAACTCGACGACCTCGCGTTGGATTCCGCTCTTGCCAAGCAACGTCCACTGTGTGTTGAAATGTGAGCTTGTTATGCTGTTTATTTAAGCAAAGGCACTAAAGGCAGCCAATCAGTCTGATAAGTACCTTTCTGTTGTTTCCAGGCAACCGTGATGATCAGCCATGGAACAGTGAGAAGCCAAAGGCCTGGATCCGTTTTAACCCCGAGTTCATAGGACAAGGCCAGTGACCGCCACCCTGTTCGGACTGATCTGTGGTCAGCGTGAAGGCCGGAGGGCAGGACTGTGGATGTGAAGGCCGCGCGTGGAGTGGTGGGAGGGGTGGAGCAGTGTGGCGATGTCTATCAGAAGGGCAGAGGGCATGTCCATCATGCAGGCCTTAGCCATGACCGTGGCTGAGATACCTGTGTTTCTCTACTCCACCTTCGGCCAGGTGTGGACACCTTACCATACATACAGTAGCCCACCTGGGCACAAAGGTCCCCTCCGTTCAACATTTTTTAACCCCTTAAAGAAATAGGTTGGGGGAAATGTACATGATACTATACTTGCTCTGAATGCAGTTTTGCTTTTTTAAATACAGAACTAGAGCTGCTAGGCTAACAGTGCTAACAAACACTGGAAGTCACAAATACTTGCCAAAATCCTTATGTACTATCCACAAATGATGTCAGTAAGTTATGTAATCAAATGGCATGGACATTATTTACAATTAAATGGAACTACATTCATTTGCATAATGTCTTGCTTTCTAATACTATTCCATCTTCAAGCTCTAGGATGAGGGTCGGCAACATGTGGCTCTTTTACTGTCCTGTTGTGGCTCCACAGCTGAATTAGATTTGTAGGTAAAAATAAAATAATCCTCCTTTACAGTAAAATAAAGCTCTGCTGGTCGTTCAACACAGTTTAACAATAAATGGTCTTAAACTCTGGAGTTAATGTAGAACTGCTAATTCACCCTTTAACCCTGAAGATCAGCGCAGACTGCTGGTCACCATAGCAACACAGACAACAGTCTCGCCTAGCTAGGAGCTAACGAAAAGGCAAAGAGAAAGATTTAAGACGAACATCGATAATTTGGAGACGAATGGACTAATTAGTGTTTATAGTCACTCCAGCTGGTTTCCTGATACGTTTAATCTGCAATGAGAAACTCAAACACTAAAATGTTGTGAAGTCTCGTTCTCCAGCCTCTTGTTTGAATTCTCCTGTTCCACCTTAAATGGTGCAGCAGTTACATTCTGGCACCTCAGGCACCATTTAAGGTGGAGCGGGAAAATTTGAGCAAGAAGCTGGTGAATGAGAAGCGACTTCAGCCTCGTAAAAAGTCGAATGCTGAGAGACATTTTAGAAGAAACTGTTCTACATTTGAGGAAAAGTTTCCTGCCGGAGATGCAAGAAAAGCGGCTGTAGCTAAGCTAAAGCTTAAAGCAGAGCAAAGTAAGATAACAAAATGTTGTGACCTAGACTGATTAAAGGGTCTAGACTGACCCTTTCAGTCAGTTTCAGTCTTTGAGAATGTAAAAATGACCCCTAAAGGCCCCTAAAGACGATTATTTGCTACTCTGACCGCCATCGTGGTCTGCCTGCAGTGCACATACACTCGAATGGCTGATCTTACCTTTGCCTCACCTATTCGAGTCTTATCTTACCGTGACCTGAGTTTGCCCCAGCATTAGCACTCTGGGCAACTTCCACTGCAAACAGATAAACATCAGTTGTAGGTTATTGATTGTTAACTTGCCCAATTTTCTGTAAACAGTTCAGAAACTGAACTGAAACTGAAGTTCTAAGTCGCTTAGGATGGTAAGGCTGAATATTTTCTGAATATTTTCAGCCACTGTGTTCCCAACATGCGAAACCGATCAGGTCTTATCTGCTTCAGCTCTATTGTTCACCCTCCAGTCATAGTTTAAACTTCAGTCCAGGAGTCTGATCACTGTCTGTGTCTCCATCTCCAGTGTGAAAAGCAGTTTTCCTTTCACTTCCAGATGTTCTGAAGGCGTCTGAGTCTCTGCTTTCTCTCTGTTTATCTCCCTCTTTGTTTGTTTTCCTTTAAACTAACTGTCCTTCCCTTTGTGTCCTCAGGAAGGAGCTGTGAGCTCATTTTCACTTTCTCTTAGACGGTTTATCAAATTTCACGGCTTAGTTTGGTTTCATGAAGTGTGCACGTGTCTAATCGGGTCAAAGTTCAGGTTGAAAAAAGAATAGAATGATTTTAGACGGCTGGCTGTGTTTCAACCAGCATGACTTCTCGAAACACTTCTGGATCTGGAGTGAAATTTACCTGCTTTTTCAGCAGAATCATTCATAAAAGTAGACCTGAAACTCATGGTGGCCGACATACAAACATCTATATCCATATATATATATATATATATATATATATATATATATATATATATATATATATATATATATATAATTCCAAATTTCAGTGCATAAAGATATTAATTAATTTATTTTGTATTATTTATTATTTATTTTTTATATTTATCAAAAAACTAAAAATATTTCTAAAATAGTGGCTTTACATGAGAGGGAAAAAAGTTCTTAATTTCTAATGTAAGTTAAAGTATTATGTATTTAAATGTATTTGTTCATATAAAAATATTGTTTTATCTATTATATATTTATAAATAGTTACTCTGTATACTATTAGTCTGTTGATCATAAAGTTTTCATACAGAGTAAAGGATTGCTGAAGAAAAATAATGATGGAGATACGTGTTTTTTAATTTGCACACTTGAAGATGTGAATGATAGTGTAACAGGTAGGCGCATAATTTATTTTTTCTGTTTTTTTTATTTTTATTTAAGTTTTAAGTACTATTTTAGTACAAAACTGTTATACCGTTATTATTGTATTATTACAATAATAGTAGTATCATCATTGCTTCTGTGGGACGGCTACTACTATTATCATACTAGTTATATCCAAAACATTGTGTGTTAAGGTCATGAAGATGCATTTAGAGCTACATCTAAAGAGGGTAATATCTATTATTTGTGTACGGATATTGTCATTATCTTCAGAAAACTTCATTATAGGGGAAGGTAAATAATTGCTAAACTTTTAATGTACATTAATAGACAAGATTTAATTTATTGTCACTTTGGACCGTTTCCATCAGTCCATTCATGTTGAAATGTTCATACAATGTAAAGGGCAAAAAAGATTTTACGGTTTTGATTGACTGTTATAGTTTATATTATAGCGCCCCCTGCCCCATCTCCCTGATTCTGATTTTCCTCTCTGTTTCACATTTCTCCTCCTTTTCTCTCTCTCTTCCTCTCCTCTTCCTTCCCCCCATTTTTTAATTTTATTAATTAATTTATTTTTTTGCTCCTACTTCCTCTCTCAGTCTATTTTCTCTCAGCTGCGGTTGACTCCCAGCCTGAAGAAGGTATTGTTTGCGACGGCTCTGGGCAGCGTCGCCCTGGCGCTGACTGCGCATCACCTGAAGCGGCGGGGCAGAAAGAGGAAGCAGGCAGCGGAGAAATCGGCAGTGAAGCCAGTGGGCATTCCTGAACAGCTGCTCCGCTCCGGCAGACCTGCTTCACTAAAGAGGGGTGAGGATGCACATCTGCCTTCATCACTGCCTCCTTCACACTGTTTACAGAGTCCTCTTACTCCCAAGTTCATCAGCTAAGACCTGTTTGCTTCATTAGTTCTGGGCTGGAGCTACGAGGCTACTGTCACACACATGTCTGAAGGAGCCCTCCACTACAACTGGTGTAAACGTGCTTGCTTGCTTCCTACGGTGGTCCTGCAGTAGCCTTGAGTGAGATTTTCTTCCTCTTCCTTGTAGTGATCTACGCTATATGGCCAAAAGTATGCGGACACCTGACCGTCACACTTATCTGAGCTTGTTGATCATCCCATTCCAAAACTATGGGCAATTACATGGATTGATTGACGTCACAGGGATTCCCATTGGTTGTATGATGTGTAATGCATGCTGGGTATTGTAGTTAGAGAACACTGAAGAATGAAAAGTTGAAAATTGTATAAAATAGTGAATTTTGTCAAGCTGATGAAGCATGCAGTGTTGTATTATAGAATACTATATAATGCACCTAATAATGTATTTAACCCTAATGTTGGGCCCGAATGGCACGTTAAGTGATCTCAAATAGGCTTGTATTGGGTTTTTGACACTGAATGACCTTCTGCTTTCTATAAAAAAGGAGAAGCACGTCTGTTTGAGATTACTTAGCAATGCCGTGCTGTTTGAGGCTAATTTTAGGCATACAGTTTGCATGGTAAGTGGTGAAGTATAAGTTTCCATTTCTTTTTCCTTTAAACTATTTGTTTAAGGTGGACTTTCCCTTGAGGGCTGAGGGCTGGGGATCATGTCCTGTAATACTTGATTGGAACACTTTATTGTTTACTGTCCATAATCAGTTTTATAAATTGTTTTAATGAACGTTTTTTAGTTTTATTAATGTAACATTAGGTTTTTAATGTGGCTTTGCTTGTTTTCAGGTCCATTTCCAGGACGGCAGATGATGAGCCCTAGCACTCGCAGCAATGACACAATGAGTGGAATCTCGTCGCTCGCTGCCAGCAAACACTCCAGTTCATCACACAGCATCGCTTCGGTATGATAATAATAATAAAAGTTACATTTTATATACACCTTTTTCAAACCCCAGGACGCTTTACAACAGCACTACAAATCGGCAACAAACAAAACACTTACTGTTCCCCTGCTGGCATGGAGAAACCCCTTGACCCCGATGTACAGTCTTGCAGCTTGCATCCCAGTCAGACTGTGCTACCAACTGGCCTGTGGCCCAGTCAAACTCTGCTTCCATAGTTAAGAGTCTCCCAGCTTGTGGCCCAGACAAACTACCCTTCAGGGGTGAAAAGTTTTCCAGGCTGAGGCCCAGTCAGGGTCTCTGCTGCAGCAGTGAAGAGTGTTCTGGCTCACGGCACAGTTAAACTCCACTTCCATGGTAAAAAGTCTCCCGGCTTGCAGCCAAACCAAATTCTGCCATCATGGTGCAAAGTCACCCGGCTTGAGGCCCAGTCATACTTTTTTCCTCCCAGATTTATGGCTCACGGCCCAGTACTGCGGTGATAATCCTGGGTGAGAAGTCTCCCAGCCTGTGGCCAGGACAAACTCTGCCTTTGTGGTGAAAATCCGTTTACCTCAGTGAGTCACCCGGCCTGTGGCCCAGTCAAACTCCACTACAGTGGTGACAAGTGTCCCTGATCAAGACCTAGTTAAACTCCGCTCCCGGCCTGTGGCCCAATCAAACTTCACTAACATGGTGAAAAGTCTCTTGGCTCATGGCCCAGTCAGACCCCACTATGGCAGTAAAGAATCTCCAGGCTAGCTCACGACCCAGTTAAACTCCGCTCCTGGCCTGTGGCTCAATCAAACTTTGCTTCCACAATGAAAAATCTCCCAGCTATTGGCCCAGTCACACTCTGCTGTGGCAGTGAAAAGTCTTCAAGTCTGCGGCCCAGTCATACTCTGCTACCATTGTGAAAAGCCTCCTAGTTTGTGGGCCACTCAGACTCCGCTACAGCAGGGAAAAGTGTCTTAGCACACAGCCCAGTCACATTCCACTAATGTGTAGAAAAATCACCTGCCTCACGGCCCAGTCAGACTCCACTACCATGGTGAAAGTCTCCCATCTCATGGCCCAGTCAGACTCAACTTGCGCTGTAAAAGCCTCCTGGCTTGCACACCAAACAAATCACAAATATAATATTCCAGTTCATCACACAGCATCACTTTAGCATGATACACACACCACTTCTTTCTTTTTCTTTTTTTAATTTCGGCAGGACTCACTGGCCGTGTTTGTGTTTTGCAGGCACGACTCCCTTCTTCTCCAAACCAGCCAGCTGCTGCAGCCACACCATGGGAGGCGGAGCCAGTGGCAGAGGAGCCTGGAGCGATAGAAGATGCGAACGCAGAAAACCTGTACATCATGGGTAATTTAGCCTGGCAAAGTTTACAGTAACATTAAAAGACAGCTCTTTGGTGGATTTTGTAAATGGTTGAGATGCAGCCTCTACTTCTTTCAAATAATAGGCTTTTAGGGGTAATTTTTAAATGTTTGTAGATTTGATAGTTTGGTAAAAGACATCCCTTCTTTAGTTCTGTAAATGAGATCTTTTTGCTGAACTTCTGCATTAAAGAGTTTATTTAATTGCGTTATGCCTGCTGTAGTTAGAGCCGCTTGTATAATAATGCTGTAATTCTAATCTGTAGGTATGGAGCTGTTTGAAGAGGCGCTTCAAAAATGGGAGCAGGCTCTTAACGTCAGGCACAGAACCCAGTCTGAAGCCTCTGCCAGTAACAGCCTTGCCCTGCAGGGGGCAGTGCTCACGGTAAAACACACACTGAGGAATAAAAATACTCAACATGAGGTGTTTTCACACATACAGCCTTATAAAGGTCTTTAGGTTTAGGTTTTCACGTGTGAATAGGAGTTTACAGAAGGCCAGCAGATCATCTTTGGCAACTTGATTGAAGAAATGGTGCTGCAGCGTTTTAAAAAGCACCTTTAAATCATTGGACATGATGGTATAAAGCTTCAGCTGTCCATTCACAACAAGCTTTAAGTGAAAGTAAGGCCTGTGCACTTTGATTCCCGCAGCCGGAATCACATCATCGGAAGTTTGCAGAAAAACTGGAGTCCCTCCTGCACCGTGCTTATCATCTGCAGGAAGACTTCGGCAGCACTATACCTCCTGACAGCCTGCTGGCTGACCTGGGTGAGTTCACACACACAGGCAAAAGCACCTACATTCATACAGTAACCATCCTACTGAGTATTTAACATCCACTGTATATTTGGTGTGTTGTTTGTTTTGACAGAAAGTGAAGGCACATTGATTCTGCCCACAGTGGAGAGCTCCCATCGGGTGCAGGACGACGACACCACAACCATCACGTCCGACGATTCTTTCTTCTCTGCAGCCGAGGTCAGGACCCACACTCTCGACGCTCTGAGAGCTGCACCTTTTGGTTTTTACCTGTGGTGTAATTGTTCTTGTTAATCTCTCTCTCTGTCTCTCTCTCTCCCTCTCTCTCCCTCTCCCTCTATCTCCCTCTTTCTCCCTCTCTCTCCCTACAGCTGTTTGATGCATTCTCCCTAGATGAGGTGTATCAGCCATTGAGGCCTGCGGCTCTGTATGAAGAGGCTCTGAGTTTGGTGACGGAAGGAACAGTATCCTGCAGATCATTCAGGTAGTGTACAATACTTAGCTCACACTAATATTAGGCCTGGCCCAAACAGCATTTTACAAGTTTCTGAACAAGTGCTCGCATATTTGTTCTCACATAACCCTTTAAAATGATAATATTTACTTTTCATAATTAACAATAATTTAAACGTTTGTTGCTGCAGGTCAAAATACATCCAGTAGGCATATTAATAATCAGGCTGAAGCCCAGCTGCTGGCGCGCTGTGTGTGGCTATGATAGAATCCGTAGTTGATGCCCTCTCATTGAAGTACCGCTTTTATTAGTCACTTATATTTGACATAATAAGTGCGTTTACATGCACTTAATAATCCGATAACTGAAGAAAATCAGATTTTGTCAGTAATCTGATCAATGTTTTTATGTGCACTTCGGTAATCAGATGATGTAAAAAAAACTCAGGTCTACGTGAGTCGGACAGTAATCAGATTTCTGCTTTGCAACCAGCCAGTAAACTCACAGAAGAAGACGTGATGTAAACGTAATGTTAAACTCAAACTTCATGCCACAGCTTTTTAAAAAAAATATTGCACCACTTTACCTGAAAATATGAACATATATCATCTAGAATATTTAAATCCTTCATTTCGTCGAGAATGTATTTGGTTTCAGCGTCGCTCTAAAAGTGTGTTGCTGCGTCTCGCAGTGACGCTGCTCGCTTGTTTCTGGTACCGCAGTCTGTTTTCACACATGCTCAGACTGAGAAATCTGAAAGAAATCAGAGTAAGAGAAATCTGATTACTGAGCTAAAATCCAGCCTCGTTATCAGATTTCTAAACCTCACTCCGATCTAAGGAATCAGAGTGTGCTGTTTACATGACAGTTTGAATAATCAAGTTTTTATTTTCTTTTGTATATTATTTTATTTGACCAGCTTGCCATTTTTTAATCATGGAAATCAGAATTGAGGGCTACACCGCGGGCTAAATTGGGCTCAGAATTGAGCTCAGTGAAAACGCAGCAGACCCTCGATCATCTCCTGTCTAGTTCACTGCATCTAAAGTGTCATGTTGGGCAGTGGACACAAGGGAATGCCTGACCTTTTTAGGTTCCTCTTAGCCCAGCACGGACACTAAAGCAACTGCTGCGCTTCTGTTCTCTCGTACCACCCGAGAAGCCGTCTGACTCATTCAGCTGCATCAGACGAGGCTGTAAGCTTTAAATATATGGGACGCATGTTTGAGACAAATGACTTGAGAAATTAGATAAACCTAAAGGTTGAAGCTCAAAGTTTGAAGCTTGGTTTCTTATTTGAATTTTCCATTCCACCTTAAATAATGCTATAGTTACATTCAGATGCCTGTACAGGTGCCAGAGTGTAACTGCTGCTCCATTTAAGGTGGAATGGAAAATTCAAATAAGAAGCCAAATTCAGCCTTGTGGACATTCAGAGGTGAAAAACAACATTTAGCAGCGTTGTTGTCTGGCCTGCAGGGCTAGAGTTAAAAAGCAGTATTGACAGGTTTATCTACATTGTCCGGATTTGCTTTTACTTTTTTTGCACACTTAAAATATTTTCAGATTAACTTTTAATGTTTCCTACTAAATAGTGAATAATAAGCCACAATTAACATACAGAAATTGCTTTACTTCAGCATCTAAAAGGGTTTTGTTTGAAAATATATAAATACAGTGATACCGAAACTGACATAAATGTAATTATACCGTGATGTCAATTATTTGGCCATACCGCTTTCGGGACCAACGGCTATCCCCTTCAACTCCAGGCCTCCAACATAATATTATTAATTAACACCCCTTATCTGGGGTGTTGTGATGTCACCTTAAACTCCATTAGTCCCCTTTCAAAACTTCCCCTTCACTTGGCCTCTCTGCATACAACACTTATTTATTTATTTATTTATTTATTTATTTTTTAAAGCTGATTTCAGCCAGTTTGTACCAGTCTATCTCATCCTACAAGGCCATACTGAACCATATATCATATGGGCTTATATGGGTTCATGAGAGTTCACTTTTAAGTACCTGCAAGTAAGGTCATCTAAGTTCATCTGCTTTTGGAAAGCCCCCGAACTGGCAGACTATAGCCTGATACTTCCTATATTACCTCTTAGTGAGAAATTAACATTCCCTTTTAGTCGATGCTTGACTATTTGATTATTGATTACATGTCTAATCTATTTACTTGTTGATTAAGGGTGTATTTATTCAAAATCTTCCATCACCGCCCACTGTTACCCCCTTATACACGATCCATCTGTCAGAGTAGTTTAATAATCATTCTCTTCCATAAATTTGATCTCATTGCTAAACTTAATGTTAAATACGCCTGTTTGCTCTGAGTACAGAGAGAGTGAGTAGGTAGGTGTGGTGTAGAGATCAGAGATCTGTCAGGTTCTGTGCTCCCCTCAGTGCAGCAACACACAGCTGAAGCACTGTTTATTTTTGTGCTCTACAGGACGGAGATGCTGGAGTGTTACAGTGATCAGGACTTCCTGGCCAAGCTACACTGCGTTCGACAGGCTTTCCACGTCAGTACACACACACACACACACACACACACACACACAGTAGTGCTGTCAGATGGAATCAGAAATCCAATTTGAATTTTAAATATTTTCATATATTTTAGTTTTCAATTCATTATGAAACCAAAAAAATTGTAAATGCTAAGTCAGCGTTATGTCACATAAATCCACTACAGGGTGGTCAGCATAGCAAGCCCCCCCCCTAAAAGCACACAGTGTTCAAACCATTTAATCTCAATCTGGGGTTGTGACATGGTTGTGCACAAAGGTGCAGAGGCCTGTTCTGACTTATCTTTGAGAATGACTTGTCCATAAAATCCCAGTGCCAGTGGTGTCTTATCACTTTGTTCAAACTGTCACATTTGAATGTGCATTTTCTGAGAGTTTGATGAATATTTGAATGTCGAGTTTTATTTTGACAGCCCCCGACACACAGATATAAAGATTTACTTCTTTAAGTGGGGGATCTCACAGTCAGGCTGCCATTTATCCCTAGTAATGTTTACATAGAAAGAAAGAATGAATAAGAGGACTTTTCTTCCTCCTGTGATCTTGAGGAAATTTTGGATGATACAGCGTCTTGTTGAATGTGTGACTTGTGGAATAGAGATGTAATAGACGTGAATGTGTGGTATTTAATGATTGTATTTCAATGCAGAGTGTAGTTGTACTGGGCTGGTACAGGCAAAGACGCTGTTTTCTTAGATAGATAGGTTTTTATTAATGTTTAAGTTCTTTATCTTAAATTTGCACACAGGTTGATGAGAAGGACATTTTACCTGTGTTTGAAATGTATTTATCTTAACATTACCTACGGATTTATAAATGCTATGCCAGGGCTCGGCAACCCAAATGTTACGAAGAGCTATTTTGTCCTTTCAATATAAATCAAACCACAACATTTTATATCCATTTTACCATCTTGGCTGTTAACGTGTCTCAGTATGTGCTGATGTACTAGTATAGGATGACAAATATAATATAAACGAAAATGCAGACTTACTTTGCTCTGCTTTAAGCTTTAGCTCAGCTATAGCTGCTTTTTTTGGCATCGCCAGCAGGAAACTTTTCCTCAAATGTGGAACAGTTTCTTCTAAAATGTCTCTCAGCGTTCGTCTTTTTTACGGGGCTGAAGTCGTTTTTCATTCACCAGCTTCTTGCTCAAATTTTCCCGCTCCACCTTAAATGGTGCCTGAGATGCCGGTACTGCTGTACCTTTTAAGGTGGAACGGGAGAATTCAAACAAGGAGCTGGTGAATGAGAAGCAACTACACCTTCTCGACTTTTTAGTGTTTTTTAGTGTCAGTTTTGCATTGCAGATTAAACGTATCAGGAAACCAGCAGGAGGAATTATAAATGCAAATAAGTCCATTCGTCTCTAAATTATCGATGTTCGTCTTAAATCTTTCTCTTTGCCATTTCGTTAGCTACTAGCTAGGCGAGATCGTTGTCTACGTTGCTAAGGTGACCAGCAGTCTGCGCTGATCTTCAGGGTTAAAGGGTGAATCAGCAGTTCTACATTAACTGCAGTGTTTAAGATCATTTATTGTTAAACTGTGTTGAACGATCAGCAGAGCTTTATTTTACTGTAAAGGAGGATTATTTTATTTTTACCTACAAATCTGATTCTGCTGTGGAGCCACAACAGGGCAGTAAAAGAGCTGCATGCGGCTCTAGAGCCTCATGTTGCCGACCCCTATGCTATACAAGTGCGACACAAATGGCAGCCCACGTATATTCACATACACACTGTAACCGTCTCTTGCTTTACTGATGTGTGCTCTCTTTGTGGTAGTCGGTAGGTTCTGATGTGTGTGTGTGTGTATGTATGTATGTGTGTGTGTGTGTGTGTATGTATGTATGTGTGTGTGTGTGTGTATGTATGTATGTGTGTGTGTGTGTGTGTATGTATGTATGTGTGTGTGTGTGTGTGTATGTATGTATGTGTGTGTGTGGGGGTGTGTGTGTATGTATGTATGTATGTATGTATGTATGTGTGGGTGTGTGTGTAGGTGCTGCTGTTGGATGAAACTCACAGGACCTTCTTCATGGAGACGGGCAAACAGATGATCACTGGACTCATGATCAAAGCCAACAAGGTACCAAAACACATGTACATCTTGTAGTGGGTGGTATAGTAAAGGAGAATTACATTGGTTTTTCCTCAAATTTTCAGCATTATCTAATGGTTAATATGTAAACAAAGTCGTTCAGAGTGGTTTGGTGTGAAAGGCTTTGTTCTAGAGAAACTTACTGAATCAGAACTGTTCACAGTGGTGGTGATAGGAACCAGACGTCCACCTCTAAAAGCTCCCTCACTGAAAGTTACTACATGAAATGGTTATGAATTCACTGCCTGATGGCTGAGACACTGTTTTATGGTAGTTTTACAAGTAAAGTTTTGGCCTAAAATTAATTTTTTGAATGGAGGAACGGTACATGCAGGATGCTGAAAGGCTAAATAGTACACAAAGAAGAAATACTCTTTTTGGATTTTGGCCATCATTTTATCTTTTTCAGCATTACAAATAAAACGGTTTGTGTTGCAGGCATGGCGACTCCTGGTTCCTATCAATACCACTGTAACAACATCTTAGAAACATTAATGCACCATTTCACATCAAAACCACACACACGCACAACGGAGTCCAAAAGTCTGAGACCACAATGAAAATCTGGTATTTTTTCATTTAAACCTGGAAATAAACAACAGAAAGATTTAGAATCTTAAATTTTAAAGCAAAGAAAAGCTATGAAATGAAATAACAATTAAAATGAAGAAGAAACATATAAAAATAAAATAATGTACTGTTTCTAGGTTGCTATTCAAATAGTAGCAAATTTGAGAAATTGTTAAGGTCTTTTTTTATATGTCTTAATTATTTATATACATCTTAATTATACCGCCCACCAATAATTACATATAAATGTAGTGTTTTTTTTGCATTAAAACGTCGTCTCATTTTTGGTTGCATCACTGAGCACCAGCAGGTGGGGCAAAATAATATCGACCAATAAAATATTACCTCCCCCTCCCAGCTTTCATGGAGAGAAAACACTCAGCTAGTTTAGAGACCCTCCCTGATACCCTGTTTCACCCACAATCACATCACAGTATGGAAGAAGAAACCTTATAATTTCTCATTTTCTCGAGTGTCATTGCAGTTTTCATTATGAATTGTGGAACAGAAATATAATCGTTTTATTTCCCCATGTGGCTTTTCCTCCGTTCATTCACTCTCTCTGTCTGTGTGTGTTTAGAGTCCAAAGGCATTTTTGGAGAGTTATCAGGACATGCTGCTCTACACTCAGCGAGAGGAGACCTGGCCCACCACCAAAATGGAGCTGGAGGGACGAGGGGTCTGTCTGTCTGCATTTTCTTAACCACTTTGTCCTTCTTTTAGAGGAGAATTCCCTTATTTTTAAATGTCTGCATGGTCCAGTGGTTGAGATGTAAACAAAGTGGTAAACGTCTGTGAATAATTCTCACTCTAAGTTTCTCTAGAACAGAGCGTTTCACATCTTTACACTGTTATTATGCAGAAAGTTCGAAAAATGGGTGGAATTCCCCTTTAGGTTTTTAACTCTACACAAGATGATCTGTAAGGAGACAACTGTGTTTTTTGAGCTAATTTATATCATTTTAATACAACATTTTAGTTGACCTCTGAACAGATGTTAGTCAAATGGTTGCCATGGTAACAGAATAAGAATCATTTTAGCAGGACATGAGCTGCAGTGTGCTTTTATTTTGGCTCTTGGCACATTTCTTACCTCTTATGATTTTTGCTGTTTATTAGAAACAAAACAACAGAATTAATATTTTAGAAAAATATTGATATTATTTTTTTTTATAGAAAATTATGAATTATTTCTCTTATTTGTTTTTTTTTATCTAATTTTAACAGATGAGCTGACTATCATTTATTAGCCCCTCAAACAGTTGTTAATGCTTTATGTGTGATTTCATATAAATATCTGGTGGTGTGTTTGACCCTTTGACCTTCGGCCTGTGCGTAGGTGGTGTGTATGAACTTCTTTGACATTGTTCTGGACTTCATTCTCATGGATGCGTTTGAGGACCTGGAGAACCCGCCCACCTCTGTGGTTGCTGTTTTACGGAACCGATGGCTCTCTGATAGTTTTAAAGAGACGGTACGCAAAAAAACATAATATATCATATATTTAAACAATATTAGTTCAGTGGATCTCAGGCTTTGAGATTGTCAGACTCAAGTTTTGTGGTTTTCTGAAAAACACTCTGGGCTGAAACACTCTTTAGAACTTCAGTGTGACTGGGCAGGGCTAAACGGCTATAGGCTTAATACCAATACCATCGTCATGACGGTGATGTCATGACGATGGTATTGATAGGAACCAGGAGTTGCAATGTCTGCAATATGTAAATGTGTGAATGGGCAGGGCTAAACGGCTATGGGCTTAATGGGTAATCAAACACCCATTAAGCCTACAAATGTTGTCATTACAATGGTATTGATAGGAACCGGCACTAAGTAAATATGTTGTTTTCACAGCATCACAAGAACAGTGAATTGGAAATGGGCAGTTTTTGTAGCTTAGTGTCCGTATGTGGACTATATGGCTCTTCCCCTGCTTACCATACCCTTAAACACTACACCTCCACCTGACCCTCATGAAAGGCTTAGTAAGTAAGCAGTTGAGTCAAGTGTAGAGCATGGGTTCCTCAAGACCAGAATTGGGAACCACTGCATTACAGTTCCAGAAATAAATAAATAGTAATAGCTGTGTACATTATTATATTTAAATAGTTATAACTATGTACACTATTTTGTCTGCTAAAAATACTACTGTCATTTATTTATTTATTAATTTAATGATCTTTGTTCAACCCCCCCTCAGGCTTTAGCCACGGCATGTTGGTCGGTGCTGAAAGCTAAGAGAAGATTACTGTTGGTAAGTTTTTATATATTTGAAAATAAACAAATCACCCTCTGCCATCATGGCATTCACATACATGAACCTAGTTGCTTTCCCTTATTTATTCATTCTGATCCTGCAGAAGTCAGCAAGATTCAGCAAGTACACTATTTGGCCAAAAGTAATTGAGTTCGTTCAGGTGTTTCAGCCACACCCACTGCTAACAGGTGTATAAAATCAAGCACGTAGCCATGCAATCTCCATAGACACTGGCAGTAGATAATACTACTAGTAATACTGAAGAGCTCAATGACTTTAAACATGGCACTGTCATAGGATGTCACCTTTGCTGCAAGTGTATTGTGACATTTTTGCCCTGCTAGATCTGCCCCAGACAACCGTAAGTGCTATTATTGTGAAATGGAAGCATCTAGGAGCAACAACAGCTGAGCCACGAAGCGACAGACCATGCAAACTCACAGAGCGGGGCTGCCGAGTGCTGAAGCGCATAGTATGAAAAAATCCCCTCTCCTCTGTAGCATCACTCACTATAGAATTCCAGACTAGACGAAGAATAAACGCTGACACAGGCAGCTGTGTAAACAGCTGTTAGCGTTTGCTGGCTAGTTAATGCAGCTGACTTCAGAATCTTTAGCTTTGAGAAGCTTGTTTGTTGTAGTTTGTTGTAGTTTGTTGTTGTCTTCTGCTTCTGTTTGTTTTCTGTACTTTTTTCTGATTGATCCGCTTAAATCCATGGTTTTAAAGTATGTTGTTCAGCGTGATCACGTGATGTGTTACTGCCGCTGATATTAGTTGCACAACGCTTTACATTGTTGCAACTCAAGTGCAATTTAGTTTCATGTAGGTTTCAAGCAACTGACGTTGCAAGAAAGTTTCAGTATATGAAACCAGCGTTATTTCGACGTCTGTTTCAGGTTCCGGATGGCTTTATTTCTCATTTCTATGCCATTTCGGAACACGTGAGCCCAGTTCTGGCGTTTGGTTTTCTGGGTCCCAGGCAGTACTTGAGCGAGGTGTGCACCATTTTCAAGGTAAGAAACAATCCTTTTGGTCAGAGCACACGTCTGCAGTGTAGTTCCATGCATTGAGAGCATTTGAAGGGTGAATTATTCCTTATGATGTGGCTGATATTATCATACTTTCTGTACATTGTTTGAAACAAGTTTCAAAATACACTGTTCCCGCCAAACTCTACACAATGCATATATGAAAACTAAGCTGCCAGTATAGCCTGGTTCAACGTGATGTTTGTAACGTCACATGCAGTTTTAAAGGTACAGTAACAAACGCAGCCTGCTTAGTTATAATTGGTGTAGAGATGTTGGAAATTGGTAATGTAAAAATGAATATAAAGTATATACGAATATAAAGTAGTTTCGTATTAAGAACTAAAAATGTGCAAATATGGCAAAACCATTTTGTTGTTATTTTTGATGACTTTTAGTATTTGAGTTTGACCTGCAGCCCAGCAGCACACCTGAGATTATAACTCCTGTAATCTGAGTGGAAACTTAATCCAAATCACCCTGCAATCCATCTCATCCCTTAATCTCTCTCAGATGTGTAATCTCTCTTCATCTTTCCTCTGTCCTTGTTTCGCAAATAGAAGTAAATTGATTTGATTTGCAGTCATTCAACCAGCTATTAATTATTCAGTTAAATAACAATAATAATAATAATAATAATTATTACATGAAAACTACACATTTCTTGAAACTAGAGATAAAAATGGTTTGTAGAAATGAATAAATGCACAGATCTGTACATTCAGAATGAATATACACTGCTGTTTAAAAGTTTGGATTCACTTAATGTCAATAATTGTCACTTTTATTTCAGTAATAACTAACGACTAACAAGATTTTAGTAAATGATAAATGATTCAATTTACAGTAATGCCAAATTATTAGCCCAGAGACTTTAACAGTTCTAATATATAAAGTTTATAATCACTTAAAAATACTTTTATAATTTATGTTAATTCTGTATAGTTTTATATTATTATTTTATAATAACCCCCTTTCACAGCAGTCATAAAGTGCCATTTCTGTCTGTTTTTGTAGCTCTTTCAGTTTATCCTCTAGATTAAAAAATGCATATAAGCAAAAAAGTCAACATGTATAAAAGTGCTTTTATTGTATTGTATTGCATTATATTGTTTAGACAACATTATATTATATAGACAACAGTGCCTTATTCATCTGATAACAGAGTTAAAGGAAAAATATTTAATTTGATCATATTAATTTGAAGTATCGAGAACAGGGGTCTTTAATTAAAATTCAGTAAGGTCCAGTTAGAGAAAATATCCTCAAGCAAAGGTCCAGAACATCATAATGTCTAACTTACATCATGAGTCAGTAGCCACATTTACATGCAGCCTGATAATCCATTAATAATCCGACTAATAGCTCAATCGGAATAGAACACGTCCATGTAAACACCTCAAACGGAATAGTCTAGTCCGATTGAGGCCATTCGGAATACAGTTTCTATCCGACTGATCGAGGTGGGTAAACCTGTAAATAATCCATTAAATAGAAGAATAATATCCGTGTAAACGCCTGAATCCGATTACATTCCCTATCGGAAAGTTTAAGTCCGTTCTGATCATGTTCGTCGTGTCATAGTGAAAGTTTATACCGTTCAACGTGGCGGAGCAGAAACTGGTCTGTAGAGGAGACGAAGTTTATGCTCTGATCTTTAAAAGACGGCGGTGGGACGGACGTCCAGCTTATGTGTCTCAGAACACGACGTCTTCCTCTCGGCCTTCTTTAATAAGGACATGTGAAGGACGTTTTCCTGAGTCTGACATCATTATAAAGCAATTAAAAACACAAGCGCGCCAACTGGAAACTCATCTCACGCGGACTGGACCTCACGTGATGTTCACTGTCATGGTAACGTTTACTCTAAGCGCTACTTCACGCATGCGCATCATTTTGCATCGGATTACTTGTAGTGAGCATGTAAACGAAGATTTTCCATCAAATTGTTGAATAGAGTGTGTATATAAACACCTCAGTCTGAATCCGTAATCAGATTGTATTCAATCGGATTGGCAAAAATCTTTGCATGTAAACTTCGCCAGTGCCATATACTGTTTACTGAAGTAGCCTAGTAGGTATATCAACATCTTATACAGTCAACAACTGAATGTCAAATCAAATAAAGTACAGTTCAGTCATATTTCAATATTTATTATCAGTTTTCTCTTTTTAGATCACGCCATGTGAAATAACTTCTGACTCACTTTCTTCTCCGACTGCTGTTTCTCGCCTCGTCCCTCCCCTGTGTGTGCGCGTCACTCACTCGAGTCTCAGTGCTCATCGTAATGCACAGATCTGATTGGCTGAGTATCGTCACGTGTGATATATACAACGCATGCGATTGGTCTGTGAGTCTCCCGGGCCGCTAAATCTACTGTAAAGGCTAGAAAAGATTAAAATAGGACCACCCCGTCGAAATTAAATAATTCTCCATAGTTTATCAGTTAAAGGTCCAGTTCCGCATAGGACAGCATCTGGGTCCAGACTTGGTTGCTCCTGAGTAGTGCAACTGTCTAAGCGTTGACCCTGTCATCAGGAGATTGCACATTCAATCCCTGGTGATGCTACAGCCGTCCGTGGCCAGGAGTCCAAGAGAGCACAACTGGCCTTGCTCTCCCTCCATCACTCAGTGCGATGCCAGCCAGCGCAGACATCTGTTAGCTGACGTAACAGGTCTGGCAGTTGGCGCTTTCCTCCGGGTGCGTTCGTCTGTCCAGTGCGTTTGAAAAGTTGCGGTGGCACTTCACAGGTCTTGGAGGAAGCCTGTTTTAGCCTTTGCCCTCCAAGTGCTGGTGGTTTCATCTGATTAAAGGGAGTCCTAACTAGTGGGTGGAGTTTAAATTGGGAGAAATTTAGGGAAAAATCCTCTCCCCTCACCTCAATTTCGATTCCGCTGGCAGAATGACCAGTAGGGGGCCTGCAGAAAGAGGTTAAAAGGATGGTTTAATGCTGTTCTGACCTATAGTGATTGCGCAGAGTGAGTCTCAGGTACTGAAAAACAGCAGCACATGTTTGTTTGCACTATTAATAATATTGAACTGTTTACGAAACAGTGCGATTATCGCCGTTATCTATCAAGTGACTAATTAATTAAAACCAATGAAGTTGTAGATTAGCATCATATTATCATCTAATCATTTTGAAACCAAAAACAGGGTTTCATAGTATAGAAAATGCTGATTCCAAGCTTTAGTAAATGTTCGCTAGACTTGTATTTGTGAATATTATCTGATTAACGCTTCTCTCTTCTGATTCAACAGCAACAGATAGTGCAGTACCTGAAGGACATGTTTGACCACGATAAGGTGCGCTACACCTCCATGCAGTCATTGGCTGAGGACATCCTGAGTCTGTCCCACAGGCGAACAGACATCCTGCTGGGCTATCTGGGCATCGGCAGTCTCCCCGAGGCCAACGGAGCGCTGCCCGTTAGTCCGTCCCATGCAGACGACGACCATCCGCTTCTGGGTGACCAGAAGGACTAACGCACAGCTGGAGTTAAGCTGGAGTTTGGAGGTCTGCTTGAAAGAAGAAGTCGGAATTGTACGCTTGGAATTCTCCAAATCTAGAACCCATTCTTTAGCAGCTTTCAGGGTGTTTGCCACTGAAGCTAAGACACATGAACAGCCAAATATCGCCAGCACCAATAAATCCATCAGTTATTATTAGAGGATGGAAATGTAGACCATCTGAGAGAAAACCTTTCAGTCTGAAATGGCGAGATCACCGGAACACACGACTGATTGATCACTTGGGCCTGCAGATTCTGCTGATTGAGATTCCACTGAGATTATTACAGTATCCAGCCTGGCTCGTGCGAAAGGCTGGAGAACATTGCTGCTTTCGGAATTTATCCTCAAATCACAGTAGAAGCTGTCTGGACAGGTTCAGAAGCTAAAGGGAATAACAAGGATTTATGTAGATCCCAAAATAACGCTCGCTAGCCCAGTTTTGCATCCGCTGCTCAGCCCTATTTCTGTCGCTTTGTCTTCTTTCTCTCGTTCTCACAACCAAGCACACAAAGATTTGACATAATCATGTCTCTCGTTTAGGGACCGCCACACTTCTGCAGCCATAAGCTGTTTGCATATCAGTTGTGCGTATCGGCGAGAAGTGAAAGTCTCAGTATGTGTAAGAGCCAGTAAGTTGTGTTATGTTATGTTACTCCAGAAAGGCAAGATTAGACTGCTGTGTTGGCCAAATGAAGAAGTAGGTAATGTCATTTGAATATCTGCAGCAGGTCAGGGCACATGAGGTAGGGTTTTTGCATAGTTCTTCTGAGTAACACTAGGCTGGAAGGGCAAACTGCTCTTTTGGGGCAGCAGTTCTCAAACTGGGGGCCTGCAGGTGGTCGCTAAGGGGGCTGCAGAAAAATCTAAGGAGCTTAATAACTTTTCATTTTGTCAAAGTGTTAAATTTGCTTTGGCTACATATAAAAGTGCTAGTTGTGGAAATATAGATGAAGTTAAATACATGCCAACCAGTCACGACTAAGTGTCACAGAACAGTGGCATGTCTCTTTTATGTGCAGGTCAGTGATGGTTGTGGAGAAAGCTAGCAAAATGGACAAGGTTCTGGTAAGACAAGGTCCTTGTTCGTTAAAAAAAATGCTTAAATAAGGTATCACGTCCTCTCAATCCTTAAATGATGTAAAGGTCAGAGACTTTGGGTTGGAACCACGTCATGCATCTTTATATGTTCATGTCAGGCTCAAAAAGAAGGTCAGTCTCCATGTTTAGGAGCCGATATAAGTTTTCTTTTAATTCTCTTTCAATGCGCTCGCAATTGTCAGATCCATCCGCTCGGGGAAGGGCTTCAAAGCACAGCCGACGTTACTCACATCCTGTGCAGTTGCTCATTTTCACCAGAGAGGTCGCCAAATTCCCACACTTACATAGTGTAGATTAACACTAAGTGGAAGTAATCACTGGGGGCACAAAGGGGGATTAAAAACCTTTGGGAACTGCTGCTTTAGGGCATCATTTGCACACAGAGAATCTGAAAATTGTTCATAAAAGGCTGTTTCACAAGTTAGCTAGTGTTAAAGTAGCGCTGAGTTGAGTTGCAAGTTGGCTGAACCAGTTAGATTCCAACCCTGAGTCCAGTTTTTTCGACCACCCTTTTTGTCATGTTATGCTAAGACCTGATCCTGAAGTCCCCCTGAAAAGATTTTCGACACAGTTAATAATTTTAAAGTATACATTTCTTTAAAGCTTAAAGGCTGGCGTGCACCTCTGTATGCCACCAAATCCAGAGCAGATGTTTGTGGCTTGAAATTTTTAAGTTGAATCATTGCTAATCATCTGTAACTAGCCTGGCCATGTCATATTTCACCTCGATTAAACTTGAAATCAGGGAACTTGTGAAGAGTTAGTTAGCAGATAATTTCACTAAAAGATATTGGAAGTTTTATTTCATTAAATCTATATGAGGAGAGTGTAGAATGAGCTTGAGCTTGATGTTTATCTGAGCTTTTTTGCAAGGCTTTCTATGTGCTACAGCTGCGCTATCTGATACCCGGCACCTCTGGTGGTGCTGCGCTTGTCGTCCACTGTGCAGTAGCCTTTTGCTGGCTGCAGTAGTCTTTCTAAGCTTCTTAGATTAACCCCCATTTTAATTCCGGTTTTAACAAGCCCTCATCCACTTGACCTCATCGTTTCTCCACAGGAGACTCCCCATTGCCACCTAAAGGCCCGTTCCATTACTGCATTAGTGCTTCTAAATGAGAAGTCATGCTTTCCCAAATAGGTGTCCATGATTAGGAAAGCTAACCGTAATAGAAAAATCTCCTGCACTCATTATCAGTGATACTCAGTAGCAGCAGGGCATTTAGGTTGGTGGAATTCCACCAAACTATTTGCTTTAGTAAATGGTTAAGATGTAAACGGTCATTCAGGGTGGTTTGATGTGAAATGCTCCGTTCAGAGACGTTTAATGCCTCTAAATGTTGTCTCATGAAATGGTTATGAATACCTTGCCTGATGTCGGAAACACTGAGTGTGTTTACATGCAATTAATAATCTGATAACTGCAGAAAATCAGATTTTGTCAGTAATGTGATCAATGCACTTACATGCACTTGAGTAATCAGATAATGGGGAAACTCAGGGTCTACATGAGTCAGACAGTAATCGGACTTCTGCTTTGCAACCAGCCAATAAACTCACAGAAGAAGGCGTGACGTAAACGTAATGTAAAACCTAAACTTCATGCCGCGGCTTTTTTTTAAGCATCGCGCCGCTTTACCTGAAAATATTAACGTACATCATCTAGAAGATGAAGAATATTTAAATCCTTAATTTCGTCAAGCATGTAGTTGTTTTCAGTGTAACTTCAAAAGTGTTTTGCTGTGTTTTCACATATACTCAGGCTGAGAAATCCGAAAGAAATCAGAGTAAGAGTTCACATGCACTGAGAAATCTAATTACTGAGCTAAAATCCAGCCTCTTTATCAGATTCTTAATCAGATTTCTAGACCTTACTCTGACCTAAGAAATCAGAGTGTGCTGTTTACATGACCATTTGAATAATCAGATCACTGCAGAAATCCGATTATGATCTGATTATTAAGGGCATGTAAACACACTCGTTGTTTTACGATAATTTTGAGAATTTTGACCTACAAAGTATTTTTAAAATCCATTCATGTTGGAGGGGCACATGCAGGACGTTATAGGGTAAATAGTGCCCAAAGGAAACATACTTTTCTGAATTATCACCACTTTACCATCATCAATATTGAAGACGACACATGTAGGTTCACTGATAGTGGCTATATCGGTGTTGTTCTATATCACTGTAAACAAACCTTGAGTCGTTTTTCTACAATGAGCCACTCTGAATGACTTCTACATCTCACTCACTGAATTCTACAGACGTTTCGTTAGAATTATTTTTTAATCAGTAATCGAGTGCTAAATTTCACTGCTGTAATTTGCATTGGAAATATCTGAAGTTGCTGTAGCTTCAAAAAAATCTCCATCTAGCTATTGCTCTTAAGTAGTAAGACATAAATTCGCAAGATAACGCTGAGTTGTACCGTTTCAAGTCCTTCAATCTAGAAAACCGCCTTTGTTTTTTGCTACTTTTGCACTTTATCGTGAAAAAAAGAGACAATGAAAACAAACAGTCTTTTAATCTGTTTTTATGGACAGTCAAATAGCTAAATTAATCTAAAGCCGTGTTTGTGTTTTACTTTTTCGGGAGAAGCACTGAAATGGGGAAGTGTGTTTAAACCAGTGTCCGTTCTAAATGGACCTGATTTATCTGTAAAGTAAAAGAGGTTAGTAGTTTATTTAACTGTGGTCTGTAAAACGTACATCTTAATCAAAACCAGACGAATTCCTTCGGCGTAGTCGTGTCTGTTGTGCTTGTGGTGTCTCATATTAATCTATGATCTTCCCTTTTGTTATTGCATTAAAGGCTACAGTCAGTATGTTAGAGTGAATTGACCAGTGTCAGTGGTCAGGGCTTGTGTAAAATAGCATTTTACTGTAAATTAACTGTAGATCAGAGTCAGCTTTTTGGCGAATGGTTGGTTGAACTGGCTTAAGCAGATTACATATAGGAAAAAAATCACAAACAGTAACCAATACAGGCGAATACACTAGTTGATTTGACTATGACTGGACCATAATTCTGAAATTGATAACCTTTTCTATTATATTTTTAGATTTATTTGTTTATTCTTTGAACGCTCCCCAGAGCGCACCTACGTGTTGATGCTCACTATCAACTGTGTGCACAGAATTTCATGCATCTATCTATTACGAGCAGCTCTACATCTTAACCAACTTCCTAAAGTATGCTGGCGTCAGCTTTAAAGGGAAAAAAAATATTTTCCTCACTTTTTCACAAAAAAAACGGTGTATGAACATTGTTACAAAGTTTTAAAAGCTACCTTTTTTAAATTTGTTGTTTCTGTCCAAATAATTTACATATATCTGCCTATTCCACCATCAGCAGTTTAGCTCCGCCTACTCACGCTGAAGTTATAAGGAGTGTTTCAGCATGGACTGCTTTTTGAATGAGGCACGGCAATCGGAAAATGAGGCAACCAATCAGAAAAGGGATTGGTCTTAAAGGCACGGTAACAAAAACAGCTTTCTAGTACATGAAACCACACTGACATTTATAAGTGGACCTAAAGGGGTAAAAATGAATATAGGATATGGGCCCTTTAAGGTTGGGAAAGCTTTTCAAAATGGCTTAAAATGTTCTATTTGGTATCATTCCAAGATTTATGTTCATTTATTAATAACCATTAAATGAATTGCAATTAGCATAATCTTCAAACTAGGGATGCACTGACTTGGGAGTTGTGGGCTGATGCTAATATCTGTTTTTTTTATGTATGTATTTGCCGAAGCTGATACATAAACATTTATAAAATGCTGACTTTGGGGCAAAATTCACCTGGATTAGCATTAAATGTAATGTTTGTTTCCAGAAGATTACAAATGCAGCAAAATGAATGAAATACAGATATTTTGTTTCAGTAACACGGCGCCGTCTAAACATTCTGCTCTTACATGAGTACAATAAATACAGGCATATGCAAAAGTTTAAACCCAAGCCAAGATACATGTTGATTTCTCTAAGTGAATATAAGTTAAAGCGTCCTCTACACAGGGAACAAACACAAGTATGGTATTTTCTGACAGTTTTAGTGAACGATTTCTATTTCTTTGCCAAGTTTAACATATTGGGGGAAAAAACCAGAATGCAAAATTGTTTTATTTTGGTCCTAATATGTTATTATATAGATATGGTACATAAACACTAATTCAGTGTCAAAATGTACGGAAGTGTTGTCTCTGTAGAGGATGTGTCACTTATTTTCACTGAGAAAGTCAACAAAACGTGTCGTTTGAATGCAGACTTTTGCATACGACTGTATCATGGAATATCTAAACCCTTATATGATCTAATACCTTCATGCTTCCTGTATCCTCATGCGTTCCTATCACAGGCCGTGCAAAGCATAGTTTGTGCGTCCGCCGTCAGGTTTTTGATCGTTTTCTGCTTCTGTAAAATAAGAAACCGTTTCAGTTTTCAGTTTAATGGAAATATGATCACTATCAGAAGTCACTTTGTCCTTTGATGCTCTGCCCTTGTCCAGCAGCGTTCAGTGTCTTGTGTATGGAGTGCCTGTGGATGTTGTACCTTAAACCGAACTGCATTTACTCTAATCCTATATTGTTAACGTCATTAAGAAATCACCAGCTTTGTGTCAGCTGACGCGAGTTCCCATCACAGCTGCTGTAGAATCAGAATTCAGTGCAGTTCAGACCTGAATCTGGGCATTTTTTGTTGTATGTGTGCTGCAATGTATGTCCAAAAAGTTTGTACACACAGCGTTTCTTCTGAAACGAAGGGTGTTAACAGGAACTTTACTGCAGTAACAGCCTCTACTCTACTGGTAGGGCTTTACACTAGATGTTGGAACATTGCTTTGAGGATGTGATTGAGCATTAGTGAGGTCAGGTACTGATGATGGATGGTCAGTTCTGGATCCTAACTCATCCCAAAGGTACTGGGTGGAGCTCCATCACTCCAGAGAACACAGTTCCAGTGCACCACAGGTTTTCCGCATGTGGTGACTTTAGGCTCATGTGCTGCTGCTCCATTAATCCCATTCTACCAGCCAGTGCTTCTTCATGGAGATTATACAAACTCTATGTACAATGGAAAGCCTGTGTCTGTATACTTTTGGACATACAGTGTATTTCTGACTATTACTGAGTCGTATACACTATGGCCCACTTTCTGTCTCGCGTACAAAAACCTCAAATGCTCCTAAAATGGTTTACGTGTTCAACTAGATCACCAACGGGTAGGAATTTACACGCTTATGAAGTGCACTGTATTATCTGTATAAAGGGAATGACTGACTCTGGCCCTTTTCCATGATCCGCGAATGGATTGTGGACACTAGCTTGGCATGGAAAGAATGAATCAGGTTTATAAGCATGGCCAAAGTGGAAGAATCAGGGGTGAAGCTTGAGATACAGTTTTGTTTTTTCTGTTATTTCTTTTGCCTTCATTGTACGTTTCATTTTGTTAAAGAGACGAATAGCAAATGCCAGCACAACCTATCGGTTTTAATCTTTGTATTTTGTTTTCTTATTAAAAAAAACTATGATGCCTTTTTCCCAGCCAACCATAAACAACCTTAATTTTTGATGTCTGTTTTATTTCTTGTCAGATTTAGCCGCATCACTGAGTGGATACATTTTACTCATCATTTTGATTCAGAGATATACGGTTGTATGCAAAGGTTTGAACAAGTATGTGAAAGTCAACCATCATCTACAGAGAATAAACTTAAAATCACCATTTTTTTAGCAAATGTCTCTTTATTTGGTGAGCTAAGAAAAAAATATGCACCATAACTTTTGCACAGGCTACTTTTTCATGTCTTTTCATGTTCATTTAAGCTGACCAGGGTGCCCAAACCTTTGCATAGAACTGTATGTACAATTATATTTACATTTATTTACATATATTTACATTATTCTAAAAAATATGTTCTAAATCTGGTCCAGTTGTCCTAGGTCAGGGGTCGGCAACATGCAGCTCTTTTACTGCCCTGTTGTGGCTCCACAGCTGAATTAGATTTGTAGGTAAAAATAAAATAATCCTCCTTTACAGTAAAATAAAGCTCTGCTGATCGTTCAACACAGTTTAACAATAAATGGTCTTAAACTCTGGAGTTAATGTAGAACTGCTAATTCACCCTTTAACCCTGAAGGTTGGTGCGCAGACGGCTGGTCACCATAAAAACACAGACAATCTCACCTAGCTAGCTAACAAAACGACAAAGAGAAAAACAAAAGTCAATAATTTAGAGGCGAATGGACTTATTTACATTTATAATCACTCCAGCTGGTTTCCTGATACGTTTAATCTGCAACGAGAAACTGTCAAACACTAAAAAGTCGTGAAGCTTAAGTCAGTTTCTCATTCTCCAGCTTCTCGTTAAAATTTTCCCGTTAAGCCTTAAACGGTGCAACAGTTACATTCTGGCACCTCAGGAACCATTTAAGGTGGAACAGGAAAATTCGAACAAGAAGCTGGCGAATGAGAAGCGACTTCAGCTTTGTAGTAAGTTGGATGTTGAGAGGCATTTTAGAAGAAACTGTTCTACTTTTGTGGAAAAGTTTCCTGCTGGAGATGCGAGAAAAGCAGCTATAGCTGAGCTAAAGCTTAAAGCAGAGCAAAGTGAGTCTGTGTTTTCATTTATATTATATTTTTATCCCACACTAGTACATTAGCACGTACTGAGACATCTTTACAGCCAAGATGGTGAAACGTTACTTCAATAAAATGGACATGAAATGTGGCTCTGAAGGTGGTTTGAATTTTGTTGAAACTCCTCTTCACATTTGGATTGCCGACCCCTGTTGCCCTGTTATAGGACATCTGACTCTCCAAATGCTAAAACGGTAATAGTGGTTTCTGAAACAGACCCAAACTGGAAAGACTGATCATAATTCAACTTTGAAAACAGTTTAGCTTAATTTATCGACCCAATATTACAATCTGAAAGCAAAATTCTTGTTAAATCTTTCATATAACTGACCACATTTATTCAGTTTTATTAGAAATTCCTAATGCAGCTTGTAAAGAAGATGAAACGGCACAACCACAGCCTGTTTTATAACTTTATCAGAATAGTTATGACTAAAGTGTTCTTTGTATCGTGACAAGGTTCTTCAGATTGATGGAAAATGTGCATAAGTGTGCTATCGATGGTTCTATATAGCACCCAAATGGGTTCTCCTGTTGTTATAAGCTTGACACCATAACAATAGAAGAACCCTCCTGGGTGCTATATAGAACCATCTACATCACATTCTCCGTCAATCAGAAGAACCTTTTCATGATGCAAACAACTGTTTAATCATGCAAAAGGTTGATGTTCTCTTATTTACATTGGGAATGTCTGTGGTGCCAACCAATCGGGCTGCTAGCCTAGCGACTGCGCTACAGGCTAATAAACACAACCAAGCCAGCATTAATGTGACTTTTACCTCAAACGTCGAAGAAAAACGTAAAGAAAACAGTGATTCTGTCTTCATTCAATACAAAATGGACTCCAGGGTTTTACTCTTTTAGCCAGAGGAACAAAGCCACACTGAGGTAAGACATCTACATAGCCAGTTAGCTATCTTGCTAACTGTAGCATCCAGCTCGTCCTCCTCACTTGATACGTCATTTCTCTCGTTTGAGTAATGAATTCTCTTCATTGTAAGGATGATTTGAAGACGGTTACTACTGTTATCACTAAAAAAACATTTCAAATGGCCTGTCTTTAAAATCCATATGTATAATATGGAAAGGATTTGCTGAATAACTGTTTATAAGGACCAGTCTTAATGTAATCCAAACCTTTATACGCATACATTTCAAAAACATTGCTAAGTTAGGAGTCTGAACTTTGCATAACATCAGCAAACCAGTAAAATTCAGGCTGTACTTCAAATCATCCTTACAATTTATTACTTAAACGACAGAAATGACTCATTTCATAGGGAAGATTTCAACCACTACCCATTGTAGCTCAGTTCTAAGGGGCAAGATGACACTCAAAAACAAGGTGTAGAGGTAAAAATAAGAAATGGGACTGGGCCTAATTACCTCCCTGGGGGCAGCTGCTTATCACATTGTTGCTTATTATGTAGAGTCAACTCTGGTTGTATGTGTAATCAATTTCATTACATGCGATACTGGAAGTGATCTCTGTGTTCTGCCAGACACATGAAGGGGTACAGGGGTCTGCAGCCAAAAGTTGCAAATGGAGGTTAAACATCGTGACGACTGTCCGGTGCCCACCACCTTGTTCGAAGCTCCATATGCTGAGGAGCTCATTGTTTCGTTCAGATTGCTTCGTCCTAGAGAGAGTTATTACAGAATATTTGGGGCCTCTTTCGAGTGAATCTCCCTGTGATGGTGACTAATGGCCACACACAAAAAGTACCACACTCCCTGTACTGTGATACACACACACACACTGTCTAAGCCGCTTATCCTCCTATCCTCCTAAATCGTGGTGGGGAGGTGGGGGGGGGATGCTGGAGCCTATTCCTTTTACATTGATGTACATTAAAAATAAAGCGTGTTTTTTCCTGCTCCTGTAAAGATACCATTTTGCAGATATGAGGTTTTGTTCTGAGAGAGAGAGAGAGATGTTTCAGCCACACTTATTGCTGTAGGATGGTCATTGGCAGTAGACTGGGTCACACTGAAGAGTTCAGTGACCTTAAATGTGGCTCTGTTATAGGATGCCACCTTTACCACAAGTCTGTTCATGAAATTTCTTCCCTGTTAGATCTGCCCCTGTCAACTGTAAGTGCAACGGGAGCATCTCGGAGCAACAACGGCTCAGCCTCAAAGCGGTAGACACAGAGCAGGACTGCTGAGTGTGTAAAAATCACCTATCCTGGGTTACATTACTCACTACACTGCAAGCAACATCAGCACAAGAACTGTGCATCAAGAGATTCATGATATAGGTTGCCAAGGCCAAGCATCTGCACACAAGCCTAAGATCACTATGTGTAATGCCAAGCGTCGGCTGGAGTGGTGTAAAGCGCCAGCACTGGACTCTGGAGCAGTGGAAACACATTCTCTGGAGTGATGAGTCAGCTTCACTATCTTATAGTAAAGCTTGGTGGAGGAGGAATGATGAGCTGGGGCTGTTTTTCAGGTAGTTCTAACTTTGGGGCAGCAGTTTCCTATTTCAGCATGACTGAACATCTGTGCACAAATTGAACTCCATAAAGACATGGTTTGATGAGTTTGGGGTGGAGGAACTCCAGTGGCCCTCACAGAGCCCTGACCTCAACCCCACTGAACACCTTTGGGATGAACTGGAACACTGGTTGCGAGCCAGGCCCTCTCGTCCAACATCAGTGTCTGACCTCACAGGTGCTTTTTGGACTAAATGGACACAAAATGTCTGTATAGACAGACAGTGAAGTTATTAAATATTACAAAATAAAAGTTCACATCAAAACCTTACCATGCTCAAATGTACCGTATACATGTATATTTAACATAAACACAAAATAAACACACTTTATGTGTTTAAGAAAAAATAATTATTTTGTCTGTATCCTTGATTATTTTTACTTTCCCCATCACAACTTATTTAGCCATACAAATAATATACTGTCAAAAAATATTTATTATTATTATTTTATTCAACACTTGTAGTTTGTGTAACATTGATAACAGAAGGTGTGACAGCCAGTTTTTGGTGAAAACTATCTCATTGAAACTATGAAGAAAAAAATATTGCTGACTTTTGTTGATTTACTGACATGAAAAAAAAAATTAAATCATGTCCATCTCGCTGAATGATTCAGAATAAACCCCAAATATGCTTGTTATCATGTGTCAAGTATTTAATTTATTAAGAAATAAACAAAAAATAAAAGCTTCACAGCACAGTTGATGTCAATTGAAAAAGGACTGAACCTGATCTCCCCATTCACTCGCTTTCATTTGAATAAACCCAATTTTCATACGTCCAGCAGGGCGCCCGCTGATTGGCCGGCCTCCTGCCGCCGCCCGCCTCTGATTGGACTCCTGTTCCCGTGCAGATTTTTTTCTTTCCCTCCTTTTGAGCCTCGACGCCGTGAATGGACGAGTGTGGCGGCAGCGCCCGGTCGCGCTGATTGGCTGGCCGCAGCTGGGCGGTCCGCCCTGGTTGGCTGGCCGCCGCTGGGCGGGCCGTCCTGATTCGACGAGCCCTGCTGCCCGGTGTCCGGGTAAGATGGCGTCGGAGGAGCAGTGCTCGGCGCCGCCACCGCGATGGCAGTCGGTCTCCTTAACCCACGTAGAGTATCCGGCCGGTGAGTGCCCGTTTCGAGTCTTCGTTTTCCCCGCTGAGAGCCACCCGCGTCGCCGCACGGCGCTCTGGCTCTCGCCGGGAACGTTTACAACTGAATGGACGCGCGGACAGGAGGAGGGAGCGGGGTGGGGGGTGTGCTACCAAATAGTGTTACCGTAAGAAATCGTGCATCCGCAGAGAACTTAAAACACCAACAACTGCCAAATCGTGCGTGTTTAACCCGCATGCGTCTTCTCCGCTCACACTCTCCTCTCTCTTCTGTCCTGTAACCGCTCTTTCCTTTGTTTTTTCCTTCCGTGAAAACATGTTTATGGTTTTAACTGCACGAAAGCTGAAGTCAGTTTCGTGTTCGCCAGCTTCTGGTTCGAATTTCCCCGTTCCACCTTAAATAGTGCAGCAATTACATTCTGGCGCCTCAGGCTCAGAATGTAACTAATGCTTCATTTAAGGTGGAACGGGGGAATTCGAAAAACAACTGGCGAATAGGAAGCCAGCTTCAGTCCTCGTCAAAAGCAAACTCTGAACTCTCTCCTTAAAGCCGGTTCTTGATTTTGTTTACATGTTTGTTTTGAAGAACGTCAGTCAGCTTTGTCGCCTAGGTTAGCTAGCTGGCTAACTAGCTGGCTAACTTCATTATTGTTATGGGCTGCCTTGCTAGCCTTCTTGGTTAACCTTATGTTGCATCACCTCCACGTTTTTTGAAGCAGTTGTAATCTTTTCTGACCCCTTAGGAGCCGAAACGACTCTGTGAATTATATTGTGCTTAATTTTAAATAAGACAGAAAGCTATAACGCTACTTGTACAGTCAGTAAGTTAGCCCAGTAGCTGTCAGTGCTTTTGAGTACCCTGCTCACTATTAAAGGGGAATTCGAGAGAATTTTCAAAATGTCTGAATAATTCAGTCTTTGAGATGTAAACAAAGTCATGCGGAGTGGTTTGATGTGAAATGGTTCATTCTCGAGAAACTTAAAGACTCAGATTTCTCATGCAGTGGTGGTGATAGGAACCGGGGGTCACCATGTGTAGAACACAAATGTATGCATTTTATTTACTATCCAAAACCTGGTCTTTGGGGACAGTTCTGCTTCCCTACATGTACCTTCTGCCATGAATAGATTAAAATAAATGTATTCAAATACGTTTTAAGACTTTAAAACTTTAAAACGTAGTCTCCGACATCAGGCAGGGCATATCTAACCACTTCAAGTCGTGGAGCTTTTAGAGGTGGACGTCTGGTTCCTGTCGCCACTTATTATAGTTCTTCTCTTGTATTATTATTTATGAATGATTCTCCGTATTCGTGATGTTTCTTTAGCTGGGGTTAGTTGATGTTCTTAGTTGTACCGAGCGAGACCTTGAAGGAGTGGTTTACTGGAAAAGCTAATGTACATAATGTTTTTTCCTCTTCTCCCAAATGTTCATCAGCCTAAACACGATTGGCACCTAAAGTTTGTTTATTTAGCTTTGCAGTGGCTGTTGTTGCTACAAGCTAGTGGAAGTCTACACACTTAAAAAGGGTACTTTAGTAAAGAAAATGGTTCTGTATAGAACCATGAACACTCAAAACCCCTTTGAATGATTAAAGAGTTCTTTGCATCATGAAAGCGTTCTTCAGATTGATGGAGAAAGTGTTGTAGATGGCTCTATGAAGAACCTTTTTGAGAAGGGTTACAGGCTTGACAATTGAAACAATAGAAGAACTCTTTTTGGTGCTCCATAGGAAAAAAAAAAAGGGTCTATGTAGAACCGTCTACACTATTTTCTCTATCAATCTGAAGAACGTTTTTTACAATCCAAAGGATTGTTTAATCATGCAAAGTGTCCTTTGTGTGTTCATGGTTCCTTACAGTACTATTTTCTTGACTAAAGAACCGTTGAAGAACCATCCTTTTGAAGAGTGAATGTCACTCAGAATCTTTTTGGCTGGCATAGAAGCTGTATTTGGTTTTGTAATCAATCGACGCACAGTTACGAAGTGATGTCACGTTCAGCATCTTTTATTTTTAGCTTTTTCAACAATTCCAATTTTCATTCCAAAATTTGTTGGAACTCGTGAATAATAATTCTTTTGAACTGGTTCTTTTGCCAAGTTAGTCGAACCGATCGAGATTTAACACAATGTAATGTTTACATCTGTTTTACAAGCTGAAGAATTATAATAATACACATTTTTAGTTTGATCTCATTAAATCACAGCATAAACAATCACAGTTCAGCATATTTTCTGTTTTTCTGAGGGCGCGTCCAGCTTAGAGAGCTTGGAGAGGGTCCTCGTTAGTGAGTAAAGGTAGTGGTCATTGAAATTGATTTTACACTGAGGATGTGAGAGTAAAGGAGTGTCGCTTTGCTTTGATAATCCGAGTCTTCCCATCCTCCCTGCTAGTTGCTAGTGCCATTTTACAGGTGAGCTGCCCTATTAATGTGCACCAAGACGGCCAGCGGGATTCCCTCACCTTGTGGGCAGTGGATTCTTCATAGCGGAGTCTACTACTTGGCTGCGTTGGAGTGAAAATATCCATCCAAGACAAGGCGGTTGTGTCCTAATTATTTTCAGGATGGCTATATTAAGCCACACTTCTCCCTCACTGAAATAGAAAAGAGAGAAAAAAATCCTCCCACTCTCTGTGAAGACTGAATATCATGGGACGGAGAATCAGGACACTAAGCACAGCGCTTACTCAGATCCACTACCGCTAGTTTTGTTTGTCCTCGCTCTGAGAACGGAGTTTTGGAGCCTCTGCGTCCAGATCGGTCTGTTTTGCTGTACCCATCATTTTATCGTTCCTGTTTCCACCAGCTGACTAGCGTGTAGCGTCAGACGCGGTGCTCGAGTCAGCCTTTTGCAGGGCACTCTCAGGAAACCCACACGCAGACGTACACAACACAGCAGGGATTCAGGTGTGAGGCCCAGCTGTGCCGTTTGCCAATCCAGGGGTCCCTAAGGGCGCACTTGGCAGCCGAGAGAGGAATATGACAGAGCCCGTCTTTCCTAGGCTTCCGCAGCTGTGCCAAAACCATTCAGGGTGCCTTAAGTATGTGACGTAGAAACTAAAGCAAACTAGGTGAATGCAGAACATCTTAAGTCATTCATATCTGTCCAAAATGTCCAGACTCACTTCTGACCTACTTGAGTATTCGTTCATCATGTTGGTATTCGTTTCCTTACTTAGTATTTGGAGGCTTCGTCTTCTGTGAACCCATTAGGCTGGCTTTACATGGTGAATCTTCCATGCAACTAGTTGCATGTTGTGAGTTGCCTGCAACATATTTTTATTTTTACCCCTACCCCTTGATTTCGATGTCACTTTGCCCCTTGGAACTGAGTTACCTGCCAGTCTGTGATATGAAGCTGAAGTCAGATATTCGCCAGCTTCTTCTTCGAATGATTCTTTTGCAGAGGCAATATCGTAGCGCGTGAAGTTAATCTGAGGCACGATCATTGATGGTTTTTGTTTGTTTGTTTTGTGGACAGTCACAGGCTGGAGGTCAGGGATCCGGCCTTGTGACTGGAGGGTCGCCGTTCGATCCCCCAAGCCGACAGTATGCGACTGAAGTGCCCCTGAGCAAAGCACCTAACCCCCAACTGCTCCCCGAGGGCTGCGGATAGGGCTGCCCACCGCTCTGGGCAAGTGTGCTCACTTTTACACTTGTTATGAAGAAAAGGATCGTAATACATGGAAGCGACATTTAACTAAGATAATACAGTGATTATTGTTTTTTAACGTGGAAAAAACGTACATTTGTGGGTTTCTTTGGTCGCTTGCGCAGCCATACATCTTGACGTTTTTTTTTCCTCATATCTCTCTGTTTGGAGTCTCTGAAAAACCTCCGTTTGGGGGGCCGTGTAGCCCCAACACTTCACCCTCCCCCTCTATCTCAACAAGAATCGGGTCGTCCTACCCCTAGACATGAACATGCAAACCCAAGGGATAGGACTAAGTGGTAGGGGCGAGGGGTGAAATGGGACTGGACCCAACTCAAAAACAATCTCACAACACATTCAGTTACTCCACTAGTCAAATTCGCTGCTCATAGTTTTGATGCATCGTGACGTTCTCGCTGTGTTGTTACCTGCAAGGTGCTGTTCGCATATTTGCGGCAGCTTTATCGTTGTATTTTTTTCAGCTGTTATTGTTATTCTCTTTTTCTTTATACATCTTTAATCTGTCTATCTGGGGTTCTTTACTGTGTATTTGAGTTTTAATCTCAATATATAGTGTGTATGTTGTGTGCCTTTGAATACAAATGTTTAAGTATCCAGTATGGTTACAGTTACAGCCTCTTTGATGTTCCACTCATCTAGACTTAGACACACAAGAAGTTCATTGAGGAGTGAATCTTTGCTCTTCTGTAATGATTTTTATCCTTTGGATTCTAAATTAATCTGAGCTCTGTGTAAAACTATGAGCCATCAAAAGAGGAGAAAATTAATTTATACACGTAAATCACAATAACAGCAGGCTGGAGGAATAAACGACAGCACAAGCAGCCGTTTAAACTGCTGTTAGCGTTAGCTGGCTAGTTAACGCAGCTGATTACAGAGCCATTATGTTAGTCGTCATGGCTCAGAAAGCTGACACAGTAAAAATCCCAACCTTGAGTCAGTTGGAGGGGGCGTCTCCTTAACCATCTTCTGTTTGTTCTTGTGCATCGGTCAAGTACGATCAGTGATCTTGTTACACCTTACGGACGTTTTGATTGGCTGTTGTTCCGTGAAGTTCCAATGCCTGCAACTGTTGCGGCTGAGTTTCAAATGAGATGCAACCGTGCACTTAACAGCACTATCTGCTGTTGTCTTCTACCAGCGCTGCAGAAACGGAGTGATTCCCGCTTCTGATCTAAAGCAGGGGTATGGCTGGACGATAAAACGATAAGGATAATTATCATGATATAACTTTTTCCTCAGTAGAGCTACAAGAAATGTTCGGGTAAGTGTTCGATATAATAGAGTATTCTCACAGTTCTGCGTTCTAGCGACAGCCGTGGCGTTTTCTACTGCAAGGAAAGCGACACTACGACGAGTTAAAGAAGTCGCCAAATATACTTTAGCAACATCTGAAACGTGGAATTATACATTCCCTTTTTGAGTGGAGCGACCGGCGATCTGTTCTCCTGTGACCGAGTGTGAGTGACGAGACGTGGTAAATCACGTCTGCTCCTCACAACTACAGCGCTGTTACAGCGCTCAGTCATATTTAAGTATAAGTGCATTCACCAGCAACGAAAGTGAAAGAAAGAAGTGGGTTCATGTAAATTACAGCCCTGATATAAACGAAAGTAAACTGAGGAAGCTGTGAGGCTTTGGAGAGTGAGAGAGCGCTAGCTTTCCAGGCTAACTGTTTTTAGCAGCTGGCTAACTAGAAGCAGCGCTCTGTCACTCCACAACACGGAGAATTGATGATACTGTAGATCAAACAAGACAAAAAGAGCTGATTTCAGTTCACACATACTAAAAACATATATACTAATGCAGGTTGCTTGTGGTCCCACTCATCCTCATGTTGCATCTCTGTTTAACAACTGCACCTTGTATTAGACCTGTGATGAAGATGTAGACAAAATACTATTACTGTGATTATATTACTCTATGTTGTGATCGTGGTACTCCATAATTAACATGATTAACATAATTAACCGATGATACTCTGGAGTCCTGCTGAGGATGCTTGTTTGGTAACCATGTGTCTGTGTTTGTGTGTGTGTACAGGTGATCTGACTGGACAGATGCTGGCCTACACCAGTCTGCTGCCCATGGCGATCCTGGTCGGCTTCGTCACGCTCATCATCTTTAAGAGGGAGCTGCACACGGTGAGTTGCATGACCTCTGACCCCTGAACTGGGATCGGTGCCCTGAGTGTCTCAAATATTCTCGACACTCTAGAGCCTTCCAACCAGAGATCTGCTGCCCTGTAGAGTTAATTCCAGCCTTAATGTAACACTCCCGGCCTGGTTAATCAGTCTTCAGGAGTAACTGGGTATTAGATCCAGGTGTGTAGGATTACAGTTGGAACTTAACTCTGGTGGTGGTGCTTTCTATGTCTGCCATGCTTTTAGGAAAAAATGGTGTCACTCTGGTGATGTTGTGAGAAACAGTATGTTTTTCTGAGTATATCATGGATCTTGTCAGACAGCTACATATTTAACTAAAAAAAAAGGCCTAATTGGTCTCGTTTACTTGGATTAAGTACACTATGTGTAACATAGAATAAACATTATTTGACGGTGGTCGGTGTGTCAAAATAGCGTGGTACGTGTTGTGTATCTTGACATGACATTTAAGCAATAGAACCTGAGAGGGAGTGTGTTATTACGAAATAACATCACGGCTGTGATGATCTACGGCGACCAAATCACAGCCGTGATGTTATTGGTGATAACACACTCCTCGAGTGTTCTACTGCTGATATACAACAGTTAAATAAATAAAGTAATAAATTAATAAACTGGGCCGTGAACGCAGCGTTTAATATGTTTTAATGTTCGCAGTTCCTTCACCAAATTATGGTTCCTTAACGAGCAGCTTGTTGCTACGTCAGAGTAATGAGCTCCGCCCACTCGCTGCACAGCCGGCAGTTCGTTCTCCAGCTCCTTACGCTAAATTTCCAAACTGTCATCACCACTGAGCAGCTTTTCAGTCGGCAGCTGTGACAGAGGAACAGCTAAACAACCTGGAATCAGCCAGAAATGAACCCAATACCATTCGCCAAACGTGTAGTCTGATCTTCAGAGTCTGACCAAGTCGGACTGAGCCATAAAACTGCCGCAATATCAAGTTCAGCTCAGTTTGGTCAGTTTTTGCCAGATCAGTATTAATGTTGTTTTGTTCCAGCCAGTCTGTAAAGCATCTTACAGCCCATTTAGTTTGGCGAATGGTGTTGGGTTCATTTCTGGCTGATTCCAGGTTGTTTAGCTGTTCTTCTGTCACAGCTGCCGACTGAAAAGCTGCTCAGTGGTGATGACAGTTTGGGAATTTAGTGTCGTCTCATCTTTGGAGTCTGACCAAATCGGCTGTCGGTCAAATGTGATCTTAAAAGTGTCCATTTTCTGTTTGTGGCAAAGTAAGAAGTAAAAACGTTCAGATGGCTTGAGCGTCTCCTACAGCTGTCAAAGTCGTTGCATAGCAACAGCGTCTCAGCGGAGTGATACAGCGTTTGTGAAAAAACCTGTGATGTTATGGTGAAATAACAGCTCAGTTAGAACGCTTCTCAACCAATCAGCTTGCGTGGCCGGAACTAACTGTTGTATAATATTGCCATATCGCCCAGCCCCACCCTCAAGGGTGCATCTTCAGTATCTTTAGCTACACTCTAAAAAACGATGATTCTTTATGGGTACTTTAGTAAAGAAAAGGGTTCTCTAAAGAACCATGAACACTCAAAGAACGCTTCGCATGATTAAAAGGTTCTTTTTCATTTTCTCCACAGATCACTTGAGAATGTGCTGTAGATTGGGTTCTATATAGTACCCAAAAGGGTTCTTCTATCATTATAAGCTTGATATCGTAATGATAGAAGAACCTGTTCCGGTGCTATATAGAGCTGTTTTCAAAAATCTCCAGCACATTCTGAAGAACCCTTTCATGATGCAGAGAACCCTTTAATCATCCTTGAGAGTTTATGGTTCTTTATAGAACTGTTTTCTTTACTAAAGAACCACTTAAAAAAGAGCCGTCTTCTTTAAGAGTGTAGGGAACGTAATTTATACCTTATACTGTTGCAAATTTTTTGATTTTTGTAAAAATGTTCTTTATATTTTTATATATTTTTAAGTCGCATTAACTCCTTACTCCCTATCTTGACTCCAGACTTCTTACTTTATTTTTCTACTCACAGACATTATGGATGCTCTCACGCTGTACAAGCTGTCTTGTACCGTGCCTGAGCAGGATTTCCCCCACTCCCCACTCCTGTTGGTCTTCGCTGAAATGACACTTAACGTTCTGGGCCTGAGCGTTCGTACATCATCACGGGGCAGTTTTTTGAGTTGAAGGAAAGCGCTCTCACACAGCACAGTGTAGTTCATGGTTGTACTTCCTTTGTGGCTCATTTGAGACACAGCACAGACACACAGCGGCACAGTGATTTTCTGTTGATCGTGCTGTGGCTGACGTTGAGGGAGGAATTTGCAGCTTTACTCGCCAACCACAGTTCATGTTCCTCAATAAGTTGAGAACCAGACCTGTTATTAACCTAAATATTCTCAGACGAATTGAAAACTGGAGCAGTCGCGTCGTTGATGTCAAGTTCTAGTATCACGTTCGAGTTAGCAGTGACACTAGATGCATTCTGTGCCCAGGTCCTGCTGAACCTCTCTTCACGGGCTCGGTTCAGCGATCACACCAGTCAAAGGAACTGGACTTTGGGGGTCAAACGTGCTCAGGCGCGGTGCGGATCGTTACGAAAGCCCCTTTACTCTGTCGTGTACTTTTAAACTTCATTTACGTTACACGGTTTGTCCTTAAGGCTGTCATTGTACCTTTGAGGGTACATTTACTATGTTTACCATTGGGGAGCTAAAGGTTTTCAAGATGGCACTCGTTTTTCTGACAGTGTATGGGTGAAAAAACGTCAATAAGGATTTTTATAGTTGATGTGTTGTTTACTTAAAAACAAAAGCACTCCTTGCTGTAGGGGTGTAACAGTGTATACACTGAGGAAAAAGGTGCTATAGTGTCACTGAGCTGGTACCCCTCTTGTCACCGGGGTGGTATGTCTTCAGTACCTTTAGTTAGGTAATTGTACCATAACTTGTATCGACTATACGTGCCTTGTCTTCACTCCAGCCTTTTTAGTTTGTTTTCCTATTATACTTTGTTGTAAATAAAGGTTCTGTTCTGGTACATTTTTCGTTCATCAAGGTACAAACAGTGTAAATGTTCCCTCAAAGGTACAACAGTGGTTTTAAGGTCGAATAGTGAACCTTAAGTTTTTCCAGGCGAAAAGTTTGTATTTGTACCTTTTCATAACCGAATGATTTAAAACAGAACAGTAAAATAAAAGCCTGGAGACGAGACGGGGTGTGTGGAGTCAGTACAGCTCAGAACATATCATTTCAGTGGATTATGGTTCAGTTATGTTCCCTGACTAAAGGTACTCAGATGGACCCTTGAGGGTTCCACCCCAGTGACAAGAGGGGAACTGATCCAGTGACAGTTTACTACCTTTATTTCTTAAAGTGTAAAATATTAGGTTAAGATGAAAAGGTACGAATATGTACCTTTCTCTGTGGAAAAGGGTACCTGACCCTCGGCCCTGACGGGACAAAACATGCGATTTTTCACATACAAAAAATAAAGCTAGTGCTGGGTTTCCTAATGTGTGAATTTTTCTTTTTTTTTTTTTAACGTAATAGATTTGTTTTTGCTTGAAGGAGAACGCCTATGAAATTTCACACACACTTTTTGCCTTGTGCACTTTCTCTCTCTCGCACCTACATGTACAACAAAGCCAGTCTTACTGTTCGCTATGGACGAAATAAAAAGAAATCTCACTAAAGGAGAACTGTTTAATGATTCAAGTGATTGAAGGTCGTCTTCATTGTGGAAACACGGTGACCTGGTTGTTACGTGAGATAAAAGCACACTGGTCACGTACTGCGTACAGCAGTGGTTACCAGCCCTTCTCCTCCTGAAGTCATTTATTTGCTGGAGCAGGTGTGGCAGATTCTGGTTGGAACTAGAACTAGACTCTGCAGGATGGTAGGTCTTCAGGGCCAGGGTTGTGACCCCTTCGGTAGAGTTTATGGTAGTATTTTGAGCTTTGATGGCAGCAACACGTTTACTGTGGATGCAGTTGTTCCACAGCAGCTTCTAGCCAGAAACAAAGTAGTGTCAGGGCACATCGGCCTTTAGATTTCTCTGGGATTTCTTTAGTAACTTGATCGCTTAGTAACAAAGTAAAGCTCTGTAAAACGTTTTTGCGATGGGGTTTCAAATTTAGCAGTACCAGACGGGCCTGGTTGGGTTGGGTCTCAAAGTCGCAGATATGGATTAAGTTCTGGCTCCAATTTCATGCCTGTGCGGTCATCCTGACAGACTCAGTGTGCTACAGGAAGCACAGGGGATCTGTTGGTTCACTCATCATAAATAAGAAACTTGCCACAGAGACGGTACTTTGAGTGATGCTGGCTGCACAGGAACCGAAGAAGTTCTAATAGTTAAACAGTTGAGGTCATTAATTTATAGAAATAATTGCTGTTTGTATTCCTGGTGCTACATTTCTGATACGCTGCCAAGGATATCTGGGATTGATCTGCTTTAAAACAGTAGCTCGCAAAGCGTTCCAGTGTCTGTAGCGTATATCTGATGAACACATGACATGAATTGAGTGCAGTGTACTTGCTGTAAACACTGTAACACAAAATGTTAGTGTTTTATATGATAACAGAGCCCAAGACTGTACACTTATGATCAGATTTCCCAGATCAGATCTGATTTAGGCCAAATGTGGGCTTTAGAGGCAAACTATCAAACCTTGACTTTGGGCTGAAATTATCCAGCTTACTAGGGCTGCGTTCACATTACCAGGTTGAAGTGGCACAAATCTGATTTTTTACCCTAATGTGACTCAGATCTGATGTTTTCAGGGCTGTGTGGACACGCAAATCTGATCTTTTCAAATCTACCCTGAGACAATTTCATATGTAGTCCTAGATCGGATTCGTATCTGATTCGTGGCCATGCGGCCTTAATGTCACCATCATTCAGTTACTCTGGCAGCAGCATCGAATAGATGTTAAAGCCTGTAAACAGTGCAAAAGCAGCTCATCTCACCTTTTTCTCCTTCGTCTCGCTCTAATAATGAAGCTGAGAGCTGATCAGAGTTAATGATCTTCTCAGCGAAGCTCGTTCTGCTCGTTAGTTTGTGCTGATGATGAACGTGATTCATTCACGTGACGTTACTGAGTAGGATGAGCTCATGAGGGTCATTTCAGGACGCCGGTTCGTCACATTAATGACAGATTTGAATCACTTATTTGAGCAATGAGGCTTGTAATGTGAACCTAGCTAAAGTGGCTCAGGTCGGATTTGAAAAGATCAGATTTGTGTGTCCACACAGCCCTGAAAACGTCAGATCTGAGTCACATTAGGGCAAAAAATTAGCTGTGAGGCCTCCTCATGCATTTCAGAACAGACTGACTCGTGAATTTAAGTTTTGACTGACGTTATGCCTTAATGTTTTGAACCATATAGGCTGTTAAATAATCTGTCTCTCCCTCATAGATCTCATTCTTTGGTGGTTTGGTGATGAATGAAGGGCTAAACTGGCTACTGAAGCACATCCTGCAGGAGCCCCGCCCATGTGGGGGTAAGATCACACCCAAACACTGCATGACTGCTGTGTGTTTTCATCCATGTTTATAGATCAGTGCTACAAACCACTTAAGCAAGTCTATTAGAGATTACAGAACCGAAAAAAAGTGGCTTTTAGCTCCAGTGCAAAACTAAAGACGTAAACTTACCGAACATGTCTTGACTGATCAGCTACCTTTGGCGTAAGGAGAGATACTGTGTAGATTATATTTTTTGCCAAAATATCCCTTTAAAGGGGAGCAAAACTACAAATAAAATTATTCAGATAAAAAGATAAAAACATTTACTTTTAACATGTTTCATATACTAAAAACACAGCTGAGAGTGTTTTATAATGTAAAGGAAACTTAGAAAAAGAAAAGAAACAAAATGTAGTAATAATAGTACTAATAATAGCAGTTAAATGAAGAATAGATTAAAAGTGCAACAATTAAAATAATCTAAAGGTAACATGAATGTAATGTGCCAGTAAAAGTAAGTCAAATAATAAAAGCTAGTTAAATGCTGCTGTGAAAATAGTTTTAGGTGTCTTTAGAGCAGAGCATCTCGCATCAAACCACTCCAAATTATTTTGTTTACATCTTAATGATGTAATTAATATTGAAAAATTGGAGGAATTCCCCTTTATCCCTTGTGTGGTGTTGGGGTCTGTGGGACCCATTTTCAGTGTTTAGAAAAAGAAAAAAAGATGTGATTTATTATTATTTCAACCTCAGATTCTTGGTCTTTGCTCGTTTCTGTGAAGAACATATAAAGTAACCCATTTTCAGTGTCTTCACTCTGTTCACCCCCCACACATTTATATTACACATGTGGTGTTGGGTGAACCAGCGGGGAGTAAAAGTGTGGAGGTGCTGTGTCCTTCACTCTGTTCTCCTCCTACATGGCCTGCTGTTAGTGTGTGTGTGTGTGTGTACAACATGGACAGGCTGCTGACTGGCTACAGCTGCTAAAGGAGAACCTTTCATTGGACACTTGTGATATTTTAAACATCTGATATTTTTACTTTAACTGTTATGGCTGTGTTGATTTTAAAAACAAAAAAAAAACAATAATGTGGTGGGTCCACCAGACCACTGAGTCACAAACACATCAGCATCACACAAGGGTTAAGTTTCAGGCTAATTACCAAACCTTGCATGAGCTATATACACCGATCAGGCGTAACATTATGACCACCTCCTTGTTTCTACACTCATTGTCCATTTTATCAGCTCCACTTACTATATAGGTGCACTTTGTAGTTCTACAGTTACAGACTGTAGTCCATCTGTTTCTCTGATACTTTGTTAGCCCCCTTTTACCCTGTTCTTCAGTGGTCAGGACCCCCATGGACCCTCACAGAGCAGGTACTATTTGAGTGGTGGATCATTCTCAGCACTGCAGTAACACTGATGTGGTGGTGGTGGTGGTGTGTTAGTGTGTGTTGTGCTGGTATGAGTGGATCAGACACAGCAGTGCTGCTGGAGTTTTTAAACACTGTGTCCACTCAGTGTCCACTCTATTAGACACTCCTACCTTGTCAGTCCACCTTGTAGATGTAGAGTCAGAGACGATAGCTCATCTGCTGCTGCACAGTTTGTGTTGGTCATCCTCTAGTCCTTCATCAGTGGTCACAGGACGCTGCCCACAGGACGCTGTTGGCTGGATATTTTTGGTTCTCAGTCCAGCAGTGACACTGAGGTGCCCAGCACTGCTGTGTCTGATCCACTCAGACCAGCACAACACACACTAACACACCACCACCACCACGTCAGTGTTACTGCAGTGCTGAGAATGATCCAACACCCAAATAGGTCCTGCTCTGTGAGGGTCCGTGGGGGTCCTGACCACTGAAGAACAGGGTAAAAGGGGGCTAACAAAGTATCAGAGAAACAGATGGACTACAGTCTGTAACTGTAGAACTACAAAGTGCACCTATATAGTAAGTGGAGCTGATAAAATGGACAGTGAGTGTAGAAACAAAGAGGTGGTCATAATGTTATGCCTGGTCCGTGTATATGAGGGAAGGTAAACTGCTAAACGGGCAAGTGCAGCGAGTCTTTGGGACTCTGAGCTGTGGTCATTAGTGGCTCAGATGTTGGTAGGATATTTCTCGAGCTGCTGAAACAGAGACTTTGGAACGTTCTGCAGTGTTTTGAATACGTGTGTGTTGGGTTGTATGTGACTTTGCAGGAGGCCACAGCACTGTAACAACAGAGTACGGCATGCCTTCCAGCCACTCGCAGTTCATCTGGTTCTTCGTTGTTTACTTTTTCCTTTTTCTTTATTTAAGGTGAGTCATCATGCGCTTCACTACTTTTGAATTCTACTCAGATGCTCTGAACGTCTGTGAGAATGTCTACAAATAGATGTTTGACATGAAATTGAGAGAACAAGTCATTTTCTAAAAGTAATTTATTCACTCCACAGAATGCATCAGACAAACAATGCTAGGTGCGTGGAGTTGTTATGGAGACATGTGCTCTCAATCATCCTACTGGGTGTGGCTTTGGCTGTATCGTACAGCAGGTACAGTAAACAGTGTTTAGTTGTGGGTTTGTTTAAATAAAATTGTGTTTTAGTAATGTTACCCTGAATTATTGATTAAAAATGCTGTGTTTGTGTTTACAGAGTTTACCTTCTGTACCACACCTGGAGTCAGGTGATCTATGGGGGCGTGGCTGGAACGGTGGTAGGGGGTGGTGTGGTTTTTCATCACGCAGGAGTTGTTGACACCCATCTTCCCCAAAATAGCAGCCTGGTAATGCACAAACGCACACATTATGTACTTTATTAATCCTATAAGGATGTTTTTTTGCTGTCTAACTAAGCCTGGTCACCAGTGGAGCAGCGCCGCCTGGGGCAGTGGGAGGTCTTAAGTTTCTTTGCCCAAAAGCACACCCAGGTACACCTAGTCAGTCCTGCCAGTTGCTAGATCACCTTTCCTGGGCTACTGGCCACCCCATGTATACCAGTGTGCATTGCTAGACCCTTTTTCTTTACAGTGGTGGTGATAGGGACCAGGGGTCTTGATAACACCAATGTGGCCATTTTATTTACCCTTCAAAACATCCAGTGAATGTACACGTCTGAGTTTTTATATCATTTTAAGCTGTAAATCTGATGAAGTAAGTTTGCTTTGGGGACTATTTGCCCTTTATAACACCTTGCATGCACCTCTCTGCTATGAATGGCTTTCTAAAAATATGTTTACAACCAAAACCTTCTCGCAAAACTATAATAAAACACTGAGTGTGTTTACATGCACTTAATAGTCCAATAACTGCAGAAAATCAGATTTTGTCAGTAATCTGATCAACGTGTTTATATGTACTTGAGTAATCAGATAATGGGGAAACACCAGGTCTACATGAGTCAGACAGTAATCAGATTTCTGCTTTACAACCAGCCAATAAACTCACAGAAGACAACGTGACAAAAACATAATGTAAAACTCAAACTTCATGCCGTGGCTTTTTTTTTTAAACATTGCGCCACTTTACCTGAAAATATGAACAAACATCATTTAGAAGATGAAGAATATTTAAATCCTTCATTTCGTCAAGCATGTAGTTGGTTTCCGCATCGCTCCAACAGTGTTTTGCGGCGTCCCGCAGCAGGGCTGCTCGCTTATTTTCGGTACTGGGGTCTGTACATGCGTTGGCTGAGAAATCTGAAAGAAATCAGAGTAAGAGTTCACGTGCACTGAGAAATCTGATTACTGAGCTAAATCCAGCCTCTTTATCAGATTTCTTAATCAGATTTCTAGACTTTACTCCAATCTAAGAAATCAGAGTGTGCTTTTTACACGACTATTTGAATAATCATGTAACTGCACAAATCTGATTATTGAGTGCATGTAAACTCACTCTGTCTCTGACATCAGGCAGTGTATTCATAACCATGGAATAACTTTGTGTTGGGAAGCTTTTAGAGTCATTATGCTTAGGGTGTCTGGTTCCTATCACAGTTCTGAGTCGGTAGGGTTGGGCCAATGTACCGATGTGTTAAAAATCAGTGACCAATCAGAGCTTCGTTGTCATGGTTGCAGCCCAAACAAATGTGTATCAGGATACCGGCAGAACAGCTAATCTTGTAGAGCACAAAAGTTTTAACTTTTTCAAAAAAAAATAAAAAAATCTGGTGGACCACACTTATGAATGTCAATGAGTACATTATAGCAGCTGTATATAACTAGTTAATTTGCTCCTTTTTAACGAGAGGAGCAGCAAGCAGAAGCAGAGCCTTGAACTCCCCCATTGACATACAGAAATACCTGCAGAACTGTTTCTAAAGTAGCTTTAGCTCACTCTTTTAAGAGGCGGTGGAACTTCCCGCGCTGTTTTCTTTTTTTTTTTTTGTATGGGCAGTAACGTTACCCAGCATATGCATTGTTTAGTTGCAGTGCTTAAAAGAAAAAAAAAAGTTTTCAGAGTGTTTAGACAGAAAACTGCTTCAGACTTGGTGTGAAGGTCCCACTGCGTTAAAAATCGCATCCATTTTTTTCGTCCGAAAAAAATGTATTTGATGTGAATGGGCCTTCAGCCTCGCTCAAGCAGCTATAGCAGTTTGTTTATGTGACTGGTGAATGCTGATGCATGCTGATAATTAGTGAGTGTTCGTATTCGTTTATTTATTCATGTTTTACTGCTTTTTAGTAAACTAAATAGTCCCTCTTAAATAGCACAGTACTGCTTGGGGTTAGGGATCCATTTCAGTCACAGCATAGAGCTGCAAATCTATCTTTTGTTATTCTTTATCCGCTATCCTATTAGTCTTTGTGATAATGAAATCGCTGAAGGCTGCAACGTGCAAATTAGCCCTGTAACCAGTCACAGTGACTTTTGCTGAGTGTTTTGTGAGCAACCTGACCAATCACAGCTCCAGATGAGTTTCTGTGGGATCAAGATTTTTATGTAATCCAATTAAAAACAAATTATTTTGCTCAAAATGCAGGCCAATCTTTAACCATTATACTATTTATCCATTATACTATTGCTCGGTGTATTGCAATTTCAATGTGCAGCAATATGATTGCAATACTAGTATTTTGTTTATACTGTGCAACTTTAAGACCATCTCAGTATATTACGATCATTTTATGATTTTCTCTCTCCCTTTCTCTCATACAGGCCCATAGCAGAGTTTTTCCTGGTGAGGGATACAAGTCTCATTCCTAATATTTTATGGTTTGAGTACACGGTCACCAGATCAGAAGCCAGGTAATGCTCACGCTGTACCTGTCTGTCTATTAAACTTACAAATTGTTACTGTTTCAGTGCAGTTAAAGTTTTGTTCTGTACACGCAAAGTCTGTAGACTCTAAATTATCATAAAGAATACAAAAAATCTGTTACCTGTGTTGCGTACAGACATTCAACATCATTAACGAGGTATTGCACAACTTTCGACACACAGTATTGTTATTGTGGACACTTCAAACAACTATGATAGCATTTAATCAAATAAGTCGCACTTAAGAGCCAATATCTTTAACCACCAGCACATACTTGCTATTAAAAATGACATTAAGAACACCGCTAATGCATTATATACAGGTATTATATCAAAACTAGAAACTTTGTTTTTTCACAAAAACCTATCAGTATTCTGCTGAGCAGGAACAGCTTTATGTAATTTGTAATATACTATGTTTTTAGTTTTTACTTTACTACATACATTTATGACGTGCCAAGTTCTATTTCACGTCTGAATTGTTAAATTAACACATTCCACCCATTAAAATTTTAGAAGGTTCACTGATTTGTGCTGTGGGAGCTCACTGATAGGTGGCACTGAAAGAAAGAGAGGAAAAATTAGAGGCAGGAAAAACTAGGCATGACAGCGGCTCAGCGATGGCTAAGAGCTTCACTCACCACAGAACATGTTCAGCTTTCTCTCCAACACCGGTCACTCAACTCTTCACTCTCAGATATCCTCTAAATGGGCATCATTTTAAAGTCAATTAGCTGGAATCAAGCTTGTGCTGTGGTGTGTGGCACATTTGGCCTGCTAACTATGCTATCATTAGCTTAGCCAAAATGCTAAAGTCCCAAACGCCACAAAAACCAGTCATTTTGACTGGTTTAATCTCACTTTTCTGTCTCTTCAGCTCCAGCTGCTCGACTTCACTCCCTCAGATTTGACTCACTATGATCTAAATTCATGTTTGTGCTTTAGTTAACCAGAATTAGACATGTTCTGTGGTGAGCAGAGCTGTTAGCCTGCTAGCTAAGGTAATGCTAACAGCTCCTCTCTCCTAGTCAGCAGCTCTGTTTCACTTTTTCTGTTCCATTGTTTGGGCATTTATTGAATGAGGGCTTGCAAAAACACTTATTGCAGTATGATTATCATTTATATCGGCACATGACTAACTGTGGATGAAAGGTTTTCATTTAATGACCCATTAACACTTGACCTCTTTTCCCCTCTGTGCAGAAACAGACAACGAAAGCTGGGAACAAAGCTTCAGTGATCTTCTCTCCACTGGTTCAAACTGACAAAAAGGAACACACAGATTCTCTCACAAGCACACACACACACACATGTGCACACACATTCCCACACACACACACACACACACACACGTGCACACACATTCCCACACACACACACACACACAGACGCTCCTACATCCTCGTACACACTGGAGATTTATCGTCTGGACTGTTCTGGTCGAGATTCGAGGGCAGGACCATTTTCAGGTGGACCAAAAGGGGGAGAGGTCAGCCACGACTGTTAATATCCAAGTGACCAGAGTGTGTGGCGGACCGCATCTCTCCTCTCCACCCCCCAACCACCCCCCCAACACCACACCTCCCTTCCCACCAAGACCGGCCCTGTGTTTCTAATGCATGCTGACCGTGCAAGAGGCAAAGCTATTTAATGAGAAATGTAATATATATTTTAACCATTAACGCACGCGGGCGAAATCAAAATACCCTGAACTGAACTGTGTCCGGCGTAAAGGAGAGAGAGAGAGAGAGAGCGCGTGTGAGAGAGAGAGTGAGAGAGAGAGAGAGAGAGTGAATGAGGATTTCTTTAGTGTGTAACCTTTTGGCAGGCATTGCTACAGCATGACATAGTGGACCCTTTTTTTTTTTAATAACTGTGTAAGGGGTTAAATGTTTTCGGATTTGGATTAGGGTTTTGGGGTTTATAGCAGAAGGGAAGAATAGATGTTTCGGGTGGGTGTTGTATTTGTTTTGCCTGTTTTGTTCGTTTTTTGTTTGTTTTTTTTCCCCCTCCATTCTTATATTTCAGTAAAGAGAAGAGTTTCTGTACTCTGGTAACATGTAATATCAAGTAAGATAATTTGCACTTTGTGAATTTGAAAGAGAAAAAAAAACTTTTCTTTTTTTTCCCCTTTTTTTTTATTAACACTAGTTACCATCAGAGAAAATGAACATCTTTCATTCTCTACTTTGTTTGTCCCTTTATTGTTAATCGACAGACAATCAGTTGCAGTTGGTGTGAGGGATTTCCCACTCTGAGCTGTGATTGGTCAGAATACTATCCCAGTCTCATTATTTGTTTACCACGTTGCCCTGTGCGTGGGTTTGATTTGGTGGGTTCGCATCAATAGCAGTGCTTGGGCCCCTGGCATTGCCACAGCACGTTGGTCATTAGGTGCATTGACGGGAAAGTGCTGCAGTTTTGTTACAGTTGTCGGGACAGTTTCTCTTAGCTCGGCTAACAGCTTTTACACCAGTGTTACACTCTCAAAACAGATGTGTTTAAAAAAGATAGCACCTGTTGTTTTCAAAGGGGAATTCCACCGATATTTCAAAATTTGTACATAATGCAGTTGTTGAGATGTGAACTCATTCAGAGTGGTTTGGTGTGAAAAGGTTTGTTGTAGAGACTCAGATTTGTTTACAGTGGTGGTAATAGGAACCAGGGGTCGCCATGACTGCAACACAAATATAGCCATTTTATTTACTACCCAAAACCACCAGTGAACCTACATGAGTTTATATATGCAGTGTTAATAATAGAAGGTAATGGTACATCTCAAAACATGAGCTTTCTTTGGGCACTATTTTGCCTCAAAACTATCTTAATGTCTCACACATAAGGAAAAGTATTCGGACCTTGTTTCATTTAATAACTTTCTGTGAGGGACCTTCTACAGACCTTTTCGGACGTCTGGTTCCTATCACCACCACTGTGAAGAATTCTGACTCAGTAAGTTTCTCTACAATGGTGCATTTCACATCAAACCAGCCTGAATGACTTTGTCGGCATCTTAACTATTTAATTATGCAGACATTTTGACAAATCTGTGGAATTTCCCTTAAACGTATACACGTGACAATATGCTTGTACCTGCCTACTTGAGCGATTACATTGTAAGGACCTGTACAGCAGTTCCTGCTGCAAAACCTTCAGCACATTGCAAAGAAGGGCATTCAAGGAATGGTTTAATGAAAAGTCAGATTTAGCCAGTTTTACACTTACCACAGACGTAGCTGATCAACCAAGTCCAAATATAGCTTCTTTTGTTTAGAATTGGAGCAGTGAGGTAAACATTGCTAGTAAACACTAGAACTCAATAGTCACCCAAATTGTTTCAGTAAAAATACAGTACTAAAACTTTTCTCAACCCACACAAACTGCGTCCACATCTTTATACAGGTTGCACAGAACTCTCTGTGTGGTTTAGGACACAATATGACTTACTTTGAATTATAAAATGAACAAAACTGGAGACAGCCACTTTACACAACATTGTTTGTATTCACAAACCACCTCAGGAGATCTAGAATCAGTATTTGTGATGATTATAAATACAGAGCAATCTGCAGTCCTGCATTGTGAACACTAGCCCTTGGTGTCTGAAACGGTTGCCTGTAGCAGCAAAGTTTTGTTAACTATTATAGCTCACAGTGAGTCATACTGTGTCCTAAACCACATCGACAAGTCTGTGCTAAACCCTAATGAAGACCTGGATGTGGTTTGAGGAGGTTGACATTTTGGTGATATATTTTTACAAAAGAAAGTATTTGAGCTGTTTGGATGGCTATTAAGTTTTAGTGTTTGTTAGCAAGGTTAGCCTCATTGCTCCAGTTCTAAACTGAAGAAGCAAGATCAGAACACCAAACTTGTGTCTTGGCTGATCAACTGCACCTGGAGTGAGTGAATAATTGTAAATTGTGATTTTTTTTTCACACTGAAATATTCCTTTAAGACCCAGTCAGTCGTGAAGTCTGTTCACGCCATCTCTTACTGTAAACCCTATTTTATAATTAATCTACATAAAATAAGTGACACTTGAAGGAAGACTCACTAGGAGTAAGTGGCAGAAATGAAATGAGTAAAAATAGAGCTGAGTTAGCAACAGAGCAGACAGCGTTGCAGGGTGATGACTAAAGTGGTAGTTGGTGAAAAATCAAGTTTGCCCGATCTCTTCACCTCAGTAGTCGATCAGCCAAGACGTTTTCAGTGTCTGAAGTTCGCTTCTTAAGTTTGGCAATGTAGCTAACGGGTAATGCAAGCCTATACCTCAGCAGTTAGCATTGTGCTGCGTGCCTAAATCATCTTAAACTGTGTCAGGTTGTTCAGTAATCTCTAAAAGACTTATGTGGTTTTCGACACTGTATGACACACGATTATAGACCTCTAAAGTCATTCTCTAATCTGCATCATGGGCATATTAGCAACTTCGAGTCTTAGCTGGTTTTCTCTGTGAGGGAACTGACTGGCGCCGCTGTCGCACCCTGTGGTAAACGGTTCCAAACATGATACGTTTCGTTCTACGTACATCCCCAGAATGTCACTGGATCAGCTGAATTACGAAGAGGTTTTGCAGTCAAAATACAAATAACATACATAACTACAAACATGTTACAAGCACTCCTGCGTATTGAAATGACACAAAAGTAGGCCTACAAATAAATTTTAATATTAGTTACCAACATAAGCTACTCAGACTGTAGGCCAAAAGCTGCCAGAGCAACTTAACCACCACAGTTAACTTAGCTTGCTGTGTGTGTGGTGTATTTTGGTGAGGTTGCCTGTCTTATGTCGGTTCAGTGCGCAGCTTTGTTAGCATGCAGCTAGCAAAGGTCATGTTTCTGCTCTATAATGAGCTGACAGTGATATTCAGAGGAAAATGTACGTGTGGAAAAACAGATCAGGTATGGAACATGTTCATTTACCACAGTTTTGTCTCAAAAACGCCATTAATTTTCCTCATAGGGAAAACTAGCTTAGCCTCAGACTTCCTCGTACGACACTTACAGAAAGATTTTTAGCTTATTTAGCTGTGGTTTTATCCATGTTTATAGGTAACAGTGTGTCATACAGTGTCAGAAACCACATCAGTGAGTCTATTAGTGATTACTGAACAACTCCACCCAGTTTGAAGCGAGTGCATGCAGTTAGCGCAGTGCTAATTGATGAGGTTTCGAGTTCTGGTGTTAGCGACAAAAAAACTGCTTTAAAGGGGAATTCCACCAATTTTGACACTCTTTACAGCACCATCTCTTTATAATATCATTGTAGAGATTTTTTTTTACAGTGGTGTTAATGTAAACCATGTCTACAACACAAAAACAGCCATTTTATTTACTATCCAAAACCACCAGTGAACCTACACGAGTCTTCTGAGTCTTATATGGAATGTTGATAGTAAAATAATGCTAAATCTGAGCGAATACGCTTTCTTTGGAGACTATTTTTTCCATAATCTTAGCAAAACTGTAATAAAGCGGTGTCTTTGTCTTTCATAACCAGTGAGAGAGCTTTTAGAGGCATTAAATGCATCTAGACGTCTGGTTCCTATCACCGCCACTGTGCACAACTGTGACTGGGCACGTTTCTCTGGAACGGAGCGTTTCATGTCAAAACAAAGTTGTCAAATCTTGGACAACTGGTGGAGGTCCCCTTTAAGTGAGTAGCCGGTAGTGGGAGCAGGGAACAAATACAGGGTGTCCTGAGAAAATTGACGTCATTTGAGATGTCCTGGCAAACGAAATTAAATAGGCTTCGTGTTGAACAATACAAGAGTTATTCGAACAAGAAATTCAGAGGGATGTAGATTTTATAACCGATTTCACAAAGCTTTACAAATGTAATATCTTCCGATACTGGTGGTCGTCCAGATCCCTTTGTCCTGCACAGACAGCCTTCCTCTTTGAATTTTCTGTGCAGTGTCCAAATCTGCTTTCCAGTTGGTGCATTTTTATTGAATTTTCTGGAAAATGCACGCTGCACACTCTCGTTTGACTGTGTTCGAGCATATTCTAACACAAAATGCCTTTTCATTTCTAGTGAACGCCGTTCTTCAACCTGACATTACAAATTAAACAGTTAATTAAACAGTTTTTACACATTTTGTTAAAATTTGAGATCATTTGAGGGAGAATCGGCTGTTCTTAGACTACGAAATAGTTTTTTTGGGACACCCTGTAGAACAAACGGGGCCCAAATCTTGTTATCCAGACGCTGTCTTAGGACAAATGTGAGGACAGTGACCGGACAGCGACTTGATCTCAAGGGGACAGAAGAACTATTCACCTGTTTTTTGCTTTTTCTCTGTCTTATTGGTCTGTTCTGTTATCATGTCCCTGATCATACTATGGCACGGACTGTCTCTTTAAACCTTGCTAAACTTCTGCTCCTCACCATCCCAGTTCATCTAAGGAGTGGACGCACAAGCGGATAATACAAACACTGAACCCAAACCTCAGGTGAACATTTAGCATGCGCTGACGACGACCTTGACGAAGACGATGCTGTTCTCCTGTTACCATGCCTACAGAGAGAGTGCTCATGGGATGGGATGTCCTCAAAGGGAAGGGACGTTCTAGCTTGGCTCTCTTTTAAGAGATTTATTTTCTTTTTTTTTATTTTATTGTGTAATTAATATCAGGCTGAATAAAAAAAGATGAATAAGGTTGTTTGTGTCTCGGTTTGGGATGCTTATGTGGAACATGCAAAGTGGTGTATTCATGTTTAAGAGCCAAGGCCCACATTTGTAATGGAATAAACATTGCACAGTTGCCTATAAACCTTTTATTACACATCCTCATTATTAGGTAGAGATAGAGATATCAGAACACATCTGACTTTAATAGACAACCTTGATTAGTTGACACAAGTGAGTTGGGGTCAGAACTAAAAGGGCAGGAAGGTACACCAACCAGGGTTGTTCCAGCTTAAAACTTTGGGGGCTGCCAGATCTAATCTGCTGCTATTTACATGTAGTCCAGAAGGGGGCGCGGTTTTGCACGTTCTTTCCTCCAGCAAGCCTTGTTCAACTCTTGGATAACTCCAGAGGGCGCCCGCAAGCGAGTCTTCAATGAATGGGGTGAATAGAGTTAAACGGCTGAAAATGAAAGGTTAGAATGGTTTTTAACCACTTGTCCGGAACTTTCCTTTAATTTTAGAAAGTAAAAGGATGTATTTCACTAAAAAAGCTGAGAAAACTCACCTGTATGTTTCCTTTTTTCTACAGCAAACAGGTTTAGGGCAGCAGGACGCTAACGTTACTGCTACCGAGAGCTGATTGGTTGGCGAGTGGAGCAGCTCATTGGCTGTTCGCACTCATTGACGTCATGAACGTACATGAGGCGCCGTTTTAAACTCCTATAACTCGAGTTTAAAAGCTCTTAAAATATAACAGCAGTGTTAAAATGGTTTATACTGTTCTGTGTTCAAGAAATGAATGTATTCTTTTACATTAAAAATGTTTGAGCATTTATAAACTTTGATTTTGCTCAAATGCTCCATTTTAACCCATTCATTTTGGATTCACTCGGGAGCGCCCTCTAGTGTTTGAGAAACCTGGAAGACAGTATAGAGTGTTAATTCAGCCAAACCAATCAGCACTCAGTAGCAGTGATGTCAACCAATCAGCGCTCAGTAGCAGTAATGCTAACCAATCAGCACTCAGTAGCAGTAATACCAACCAATCAGCACTCAGTAGCAGTAATGCTAAACAATCAGCACTCAGTAGCAGTGATGTCAACCAATCAGCACGCAGTAGCAGTAATGCTAAACAATCAGCACTCAGTAGCAGTGATGCTAACCAATCAGCACTCAGTAGCAGTAATACCAACCAATCAGCACTCAGTAGCATTAATACCAACCAATCAGATAAACATTAAAGAGGAAATCCACTGATTTTGTCTATATAATTACATCTTGATTATGTAATTAAAGCCATCTGAGTGATTTGATATCTCAGTTCTAGAGAAACCTACTGAGTCAGAACTGTTCACAGTGGTGGTGATAGGAACCAGACGTCCACCTCTAAAAGCTCCCTCACCGTTACTACATGAAACGGTTATGAATACATGACACTGATCAATTAATCAGTTTATTGTAATCCACTCATGGTGAAGGGATAGTGAAGAGTGTTCTGAGGCAAAACAGTCCCCAAAGAAAACATATTATATTTAAGATTTATGACTAATTCACCATCATCAGCGTTCCGTATAGAAACTCAGGACGCGCTGGACAGTGAATAAAATGTCTTTATAAAAAGTACAGATATTAAAAAGGTGCGAAATCCTCCGCAGTTCCCCTTTAAGTAGACGCTAATTAGGCGCCCACGCGCGCTTAAACGCAGTGCTCGGCTGCTTGTGCGCAGCGGCGGATGTCGTCGTGACGTCACTCAGCCCGCGACCGCCGTGCTGTTTGGTGGGCTGAACCAACCGCGGAGGGAAAAGGGGGCGATAAGTCGACAATAAACTGCACACAACGTTTTAATTTTTGGCCTTTCGCTCGGCAGCGGGAGCTCCTGCCGAAGAGGAGCGATGAGGTGCCTCTGAGACTCGGTGAGAGAGCGGCTGTTAACGTTCCTGCCTGTCGGGTTTGTTTTTGTTTGACGGCGCGTCCGCAGCGACGCGCTTAGCTGAAAAATGCCCGTTTCTCCTCTTACTACAGGAGTGTCACTGTGGGGTAGAAGTTCAAAATAACCGCCCGGAGACAGAATAAAACGCTTTTAAGGTATATTTATGTCCTTAAATATTGTATACGTCTCTGTCTTCTCGCCTAAGTTCGTCCCCATGTTGGCTAAGCTAACGGAGCTGCTGTTACTTTTTCGAATTTTCCCGTTCCACCTTAAATCGTGCTGCAGGTACGGTCTGGCGGCTGCATTTAAGGTGGAACGAGAAGTTCGAACAAGAAGCTGCCTTTAGCTTCGAGCTGGCCGAGTTAAAGCAAAGTCTGTCGCCTTCGCCATTCAGTCTAACACGACTGACGTTTAAAAATGCGGTTAAACCGGCCCGTTTAGGTCGGTACTTTTGCTTATTTTTTGGTGAGTTGCAAGAGATTTATTAAACAGTAAGTTAAGTCCGCAAGTTTCTTTTTCATTTTTGTGTAATTCAGTCATTCAGATGTAAACAAAGTCATTCAGAGTGGGTTGGTGTGAAATGGTTCACTTTAGAGGCTCAGATTTCACAAATATAGCCGTTGTATTTACCATCTAAAACCACTAGTGAACCTACACGTGTCTTCTGAGTGTTTATAAGTAATGTTGATAGTAAGTAGTGTTTTGTTTTCCCCCAGACTATTTTGTCTCTCAAAGTCTTGCATGTACCTCTTCACTATGAATAGATTTTTTTCATCTCATAAAACAGTGCCTCAGGTGGTGAATTCATAACCATTCCATGCAGTGTCTTACTGTGAGGGAGCTTTTCAAGGTGGACGTCTGGTTCCTATCACCACCACTGTGAACTCTGACTTGGTAAGTTTCTTTAGAATGAAGCATTTCACACAGTTAACTCCTTGTTTATATGCAGAAATGTATAAAAATCATTGGATTTACTCTTTAAAAAGTGGGAAACGCAGATTTGTAGCTGCAGTATGCCCAGCTTGGTCTGTAGTTTGGACACTGGTTGCATGCGTGTGCTGCTCAACCTCTGTTTTCCAGCTCAGTTTAATTGAACAATGCTTTCATTCTTCTGAGATGTATCCTCACGTTTTTTAGTCTTGCATCCTGTATTGACAATTGGGAAGGATTTATAAGAACTACATACAGGGCATGGACTAATCAGCTGTAACATTAAAATCTCCTCCTTGTTTTTACCCTCATTGTCCAGTTTATCAGCTCCACTGACCATATAGGAGCACTTTGTAGTTCTGCAATTACAGACTGTAGTCCATCTGTTTCTCTGCATACTTTGTTACCCTGTTCTTCAGTGGTCAGGACCCCCACAGAGCAGGTGTTATTGTGGTGGTGGATCATTCTCAGCAGTGACACTGACGTGGTGGTGGTGAGTTCGTGTGTGTGTGTTGTGCTGGTGCGAGTGGATCAGACACAGCAGTGCTGCTGGAGTTTTTAAGCACCTTAGCGTCGCTGCTGGACTGAAAACCAAAAACATCCAGCCAACAGCGTCCTGTGACCACTGATGAAGCACTAGAGGATGACCAACACAAACTGCAGCAGCAGCAGATGAGCTATCATCTCTGACTTTACATCTACATCAGGTGGACTGACAAGGTTGGAGTGTCTAATAGAGTGGACAGTGAGTGGACACAGTGTTTAAAAACTCCAGCAGCACTACTGTGTCTGATCCACTGAAGTGCTGAGACTGATCCACCAAATAGACGTCTTGTCCTCCAATTAGACGTGTCTAATTCCACCCACTAGTAGGGACTTTCCATCGTACCCAACTCTCTTAGACTCCCTGCCACGGACGACTGTAACATCACCAGGGATTGACCTCGTGATCTCCTGATGACGGGGTCAACAGTTAGATAGCTGCACCTCTTGGGAGGGTCCTCAAGTTGTGGATAATCACCACTGCAAGTTAAGCTGGTGGTGTGGAGGTTGGCAGTGACGTGTGCCTGGAAAAATTCCATGCTAAGTTGCATTCTGTACAAAGTTAACAGTAGTATGACTGCAGATTAGCCGCAGGTCCTTTCACATTTTGAGTAGATATTAAATGTATCTACTGGGATGCATTGCAAGACCAGCCAGACCTTAAATACTGACCATAACACTGATGGATCATTATGTCTGTAAGGCTGGAGTGGACAACAAGCCAGCGCGATGAGTCTCAGCTCTGTTTTGCCCCCCCTGTCAAGCACATTATGGTGTTTTCTAGGGCTGACCCGAACATCACTTTCCAGGCTTTGGTTACTCAGCACAATTTCCAAACAACAACCTGAATACTCGTTCTCAAAATGACCCTTAAAAATAGTAATATTTAAACCTCGAAATTAACCATAAGTATGTACAGAAGGCAGCTAATACTCAGGCTGAAGCCCAGCTGCAGCACTGAATTTTGCTGTGATTGGCTCTGCGATTGTGGCCCACCCTGTATAGTTAGTTGTTTTCAGTTATTTCATTGTTATTTGGCTACTTGGCCCTTTTTTATCATGTAAAGCAGCAATAATGCTGTGCTCATGTTGCTGGTGGAGGAAGGAAAAAAAAATTCTGTGCTCATGGCGACACATGACCAACGTCGATATACAGAAATCGGAACTAGGGCTGAGTAGGGCTAAACTAGGGAAGTATTTAATAGTGATTTTTCTGAGCTATATTGTGATTACAAATTAAATTGCAGTCATCTTCCATAAATTAATTTTCAGGCCTGTTTTTCGGCAAAGAAGACCAGAACATCAACTTTGGAGCTTGAACACTGAGTACATTAGGGCTACCAGTTAGCTGTGATGTTATGTATACAGGACATGTCAAGTCAAATCAAATCCCCATGAGCGGCACCAAAGGTGACAGTGGCAAGGAAATCCTCTCAAGGTAGAGGAACCAAGGGAAAAACGAAGACTCAGAAGGGAAACCCATTCTCCCATTAACAGAGATTAACAGGACAGGGCCGTTTATGGAGAGATATTAGTGAGTAATAGTGCGACAACTGATATTGGCAGAATGCTTGTGCAAACAGAAAAGTTTTGAATCCGAACAGAGGTCGAGAGATGATTCCACAATTTTGGGGCTACGTAGGAAAATGCTTGACCACCAGCTGTGGTTTTTCTAATTCTAGGAACCGTCAGCAGGCTGTTGTTTTGTAAGCGGGGCCATTCATTGATTTAAACGTTAAGAGAAGGATCTTATACTCTACACCAGATTTAACAGGTAGCCAGTGTAAGACAGGGATTGGGGATATATGGTCAAACTTTTTGGTCCTTGTAAGACTCTAGCAGCTGCATTCTGGACCAGTTGGAGCTTCATTTAGTAACATATTGGAGCATCCAGCTAAAATGGTGTTACAGTAGTCCAGCCTGGAGGTTATAAAGGCACCACCTATTCCGCATCATTTAAGGCTAGAATATTACATAGTTTAGCGATGTTACGCAAGTGGAAAGAATTCGGTTCCAACAATACTGCAAACGTATCAAAAGAGAGACTGGAAACGAAGATGACGCCTAGATTTTTTACAGTGGTGCTCGGAATGACAGTGTGGCCATCTAATTTTAGGATAAACACGGGTGTTTCATTTAAAACTTGACACTATTGTTGATGTATTATATAATAAAACCTGAACAACATTCTCTTATGTTTTAAATGGAACAAATTTCATATAATTTAACATTATTATACAATAAAAATTGCAGCCAATGCAATTTTAAAATTGCACTCTTTCGAATTGCAATTGGTGTACAATCAACATCCAGTTTATCCCACTGGCACAGTCAATGGCGAAAGCTGGGAAATTTGAACTGTTTACAGACCATTCCTCCTCCCACTGCAGTCTGTGGAATGTTGCTGCTAGCAGGGGTGGAATTTTTCCTTCTGTCTACATTGAAAACAGTATAACATCCGGTTTGCTGTCGCCCGACTAGCACCAACATGTGAACGCAGCATATGGGTGTTTATGCAGACTGAGTTGAGCTCAGTCATAGCCAAATTACAGAGCATGAAGCGGATGATTGAGGAGCTTTTGGAGCTTCTGGAATCAGCCCAGGAGGTACCCCACTGAGGAACCGCTGAAACTGGTCACTTCCATTTGTGTGGAAGGGGATGGAGTGAACTTTACCCCCACATTGGAATCCTTGGCCTAGAAGTGCCCATAGGTTCTTTTAAGGAATCTTCAAAAACTGGTTCTATATAGCACTGAAAAGGGTTCTGCTATTGTCTTAATCTAAATATCTGTAGCCCAACTACAGCTGTGGAGTGCATCACGCTCAGTGGGTTCATTTAGGATCTCCTGACATTGGTTCAAGGAAAATAAGGGGACACCATTTGCATATTTCCAGGACATTGTTGAGCCAGCTGTGCTCCACTGAAGCAGCCCTCTGACCATGGACAGTGGAGAAGATAAAACCCAGCACTCATCCTTGTTTTGTAATTTGCTATAAATGCTTCATTTACTAGAAATAGGTGAAATCTGAAGTGAAAGGTAAAGTGTTCAAGACGACCTGTCTAAGTGCCTGATGATGGAATGGCTTGTCTCTTATTTGAAATATAAAGTAATTTAATCTGATTATTGTGCACATATGGATATGATCATTGACTGTTTACATGCGTACAATAGTTCTATTGATATTGACGCAGCCACGCCCCAGGAACATTGTGGGTTAGGTCTGCTTAGGTCTCGTTTGTCTCTACGGAGCTCGCTTTGTGCACAAGGGCCACAGTCATGGTGGGAAAAGGACTGTTGCCACAAAGTTGGAAGCATTCCTGTTGGTAGCGTTCTGGCATCCGCCAAACCCAGATTCATTCATCAGACTGCCAGATAGTGAAGTGTGATTCCTCACTCCAGAGAACATGTTTCCACTGCTCCAGAGACCAGCGGCAGCATGCTTTACACCACTCCAGACAGCGCTTGCCATTGCGCGTAGTGATCTTAGGCAGCTGCTCAGCCATGGAAACCCATTTCATGAAGTTCAGGATGCACAGTTATTGTGCTGAAGTTGCTTCCAGAGGCAGTTTGAAACTCTTTAGTGAGTGATTTAACAGAGGATAGGAGAATTTCACATGCTACGTGCTTCAGCATTTAGCAGCCCTGCTCCGAGTTTGAATGGCAGTTTTGTGGCTGAGCTGTTGCTTCTAGACGCTTCCATTTCATAATAGCACTTGCAGTTGTCAGGGGCAGATCTAGCAGGACAAATTTCACAAACTGAAGGTGGCGACAGAGCCATGTTTAAAGTCATTGAGCTCTTCAGTACGACCCATTCTACTGCTAATGTTTGTCTATGGAGACAATGCTTGATTTTATACACCTGTTGGCAATGGGTGTGGCTGAAGCACCTGAACTCTTATGTCCACAGTCTTTTGGTTGTATGCATGTGTTTTTATGAACGCTATATTGCCAAAAGTATTCACTCACCCATCCAAATCATTGAATTCAGGTGTTCCAATCACTTCTATGGCCACAGGTGTATAAAACCAAGCACCTAGGCCTGCAGACTGCTTCTACAGACATTAGTGAAAGAATGGGTCGCTCTCAGGAGCTCAGTGAGTTCCAGCGTGGTACCGTGATAGGATGCCACCTGTGCAACAAGTCCAGTCGTGAAATTTCCTCTCTACTAAATATTCCACAGTCAACTGTCATTTATAACAAAGTGGAAGTGATTGGCAATGACAACAACTCAGCCACGAAGTGGTCGGCCACGTAAATGACAGAGCGGGGTCAGCGGATGCTGAGGCGCATGGTGCGCAGAGGTGGCCAACTTTCTGCAGAGTCAATCACTACAGACCTCCAAACTTCATGTGGCCTTCAGATTAGCTCAAGAACAACGTAGAGAGCTTCATGGAATGGGTTTCCATGGCCGAGCAGCTGCATCCAAGCCTTACATCACCAAGCGCAATGCAAAGCGTCGAATGCAGTGGAGACGTGTTCTCTGGAGTGACCAATCATGCTTCTCCGTCTGGCAATCTGATGGACGAGTCTGGGTTTGGTGGTTGCCAGGAGAACGGTACTACTCTGACTGCATTGTGCCAAGTGTAAAGTTTGGTGGAGGGGGGATTATGGTGTGGTGTTTTTCAGGAGTTGGGCTCGGCCCCTTAGTTCCAGTGAAAGGAACTCTTAATGCTTCAGCACCAAGAGATTTTGGACAATTTCATGCTCCCAACTTTGTGGGAACAGTTTGGGGACGGCCCCTTCCTGTTCCAACATGACTGCACTAAGCAAGGTCCATAAAGACATGGATGAGCGAGTTTGGTGTGGAAGAACTTGACTGGCCTGCACAGAGTCCTGACCTCAACCCAACACAACACCGTTGGGATGAATTAGAGCGGAGACTGTGAGCCAGGCCTTCTCGTCCAACATCAGTGTCTGACCTCACAAATGCACTTCTGGAAGAATGGTCAAAAATTCCCATAAACACTCCTAAACCTTGTGGAAAGCCTTCTCGGAAGAGTGGAAGCTGTTATAGCTGCAAAGGGTGGGCAGACATCATATTAAACCCTATGGATTAAGAATGGGATGTCACTCAAGTTCATATGCGTTTGAAGGCGGACGAGCGAATACTTTTGGCAGTGTAGTGTGTGTTTGATATTTATTTGTACACTTTTAATTATGATGTCACAAACAAAATATAGCAATCAACTGTATGATGATCAGTATAGCAGTTTTGTGTTGCAGACTTTTGTGCAAAATTGTGTCGTTCACCTCTGTAAATGCAAATTTAAATAGCCAAACGACCAAAAGCACTTCTGCTTTGACTGCTTTGACCCCTTCATATAGCAGCACTGAGGCTGCTTACGAGTGCGAGTGGGGCAATAATTTTCTCCAAGGAGAAACTCCTTCACCTAGCGTGGGCTTTAATGTGGTTACTGTGAGAGATAAACAGAATGAGGATGTTAAATGGGTGTTGTAGTTTATAAGCTAGTTGGTGTCTTGAATTCATAGGAAGCAAAAATGAAACTGTACATTGTTAATTTACTTTTTATTGCACCAGTTATCATTATCCAGTTTATCTGATTGTTTTCAGCTGTTTGACTTTCCACTTTTATCTTCCTTTTATTGACATCACATCTTCGCCAATTTGTGCTACATTGAAAATGATGTACCGGCCTTCATAATGCGGCTTAAAAGGGTGTTCGTGTGATGGAAAACCCGTTTTTCTGTTGAACTGAGAGCACTTGAAAGCAGCATGAACACTCGAAATGGAGAAAATGCTAATTTAGCTGTGTTTTAAGAGCAAAGCTTTTTAAACACCTCAGTGTCACTGCTGGACTGAGAATAGTCCACCAACCAAAAATATCCAGCCGGCAGCGTCCTGTGGGCAGCGTCCTGTGACCACTGATGAAGGACTAGAGGATGACCAACACAAACTGTGCAGCAGCAGATGAGCTATCGTCTCTGACTTTACATCTACAAGGTGGACTGACAAGGTAGGAGTGTCTAACAGAGTGGACAGTGAGTGGACACAGTGTTTAAAAACTCCAGCAGCACTACTGTGTCTGATCCACTCGTACCAGCACAACACACTAACACACCACCACCACGTCAGTGTTCCTGCAGTGCTGAGAATGATCCACCACCCAAATAGTACCTGCTCTGTGAGGGTCCATGGGGGTCCTGAGCACTGAAGAACAGGGTAAAAGGGGGCTAACAAAGTATGCAGAGAAACAGATGGACTACAGTCTGTAACTGTAGAACTACAAAGTGCACCTATATAGTAAGTGGAGCTGATAAAATGGACAATGAGCGTAGAAACAAGGAGGTGGTCATAATGTTATGCTTGATTGGTGTGTGTGTGTGTATGTGTGTGTGTGTGTGTATGTATATATATATATGTGTATATATATATATATATATATATGTATATATATATATATATATGTATGTATATATATATATGTATATGTATATATATAAAAATACATACACACACACACACACCCTTTATTATTATTATTTTTTTTCTTCGTCAGTCTTTGACGTCACCAGCCTTGGTCAGATGTCTGCCTGATTAGCCCACTTGAAAGCAAGCCTGTCTACCTAATTGTTAACAAACTGTTCTTTGCTGTCATCATATAGCACAACTTTAGAAATATGTATGTGATGTCTGAAGCATGTTTTTCCCAGTAGTGTTCTAATAGCCAGTTTGTTTAATCAAGTAGTTAAAGGAACGTATTCGAATAGCTGTGGTGATGGAAGGGCAGGAACATTGATGAGTATGTACTCTGTACTCTGTTTCAGTGGTTTTACATTGCATCCTTGTCAGCGTTCTAGAAGTCGTCATTGATGTGTTGCTTCTGGGCCAATCAAAACCCTGATTCACTGCGCTGCTTTCGTGGAATTGCTTGTTTTATTCACACTTAATGATTGCTTCAGAGAACACAGTGTGCTGCTTCCACCCTAAGCTGTTGCCTATGCCTGGGAGCTGTTGGCAGTGATGAAGCGTCAGGTTTCATGTGGTATGTGTATGACTTTAAAAAGGAGAAAAAAACAAAAACCCCTTTGAATTTACTAGGGGTGTCTGCCATATCCACAACATACCCAGAAAACATTCACATCTAGGGGTGTATATGGCTACATGGGTACTTGGTAGACTGTTTGAGTAGCCTGTATTGAAATACTGAAGTCACTGTTTGGGTATTTGTTATATTTCATCACATGAAGGCGAAGTAAATGTACACATTGATTCCTTGTGTACTAATAATTCCATTAAATGCAACTTTCATATTGAAAGAGGACTGTAAAATGTGACGATTTTGCTCAAATTTGTGAGCAAGTGTGTATGACTCATGCTGGTGAAGGCAGCGATATATAAAGATATATTAGGGGTAATAAAGCTGCGCTAACTGAGGTAGCTACTCTAGCTGGTGTTAGATATCCGTTCATTAGCTCTTATGGATACTTGAATATCAGATTGTCAGAATGCACATCCATAATTGCAATAAATTCACAGTAACGATAAAATGTAGTCATATTGCCCACCTCTAAAGTCTTCCTTTACCTGACCATGTCGGTGTTTCCCCATGATTTTTAAAATAATTCTTTTTTTATTTTAGTATTTTCAGGCTGGATTGTCTTTCGTAAGAGCAGACCGTTATGAATGTGGTAGAATGTGTTTGGTGTTGCCGGCTGTTATGAAGGCGTGTCTGTGTGTGCAGGTGGTGATGGAGACGTGTCGGTGGTGTAGGGCAGAAAACGATGCTGTCCTCACGGCGACCCTGCAGCGCTACTGCACCGGTGGGCTGACACCACGGGACGTACAGGAAGCCGAAACTGACCTCCTCTTATGCTCAGAGTGCGTGGTGGCATACCACAAGGCGAGAGATGGACTACCCTCACTGCACGAGGTATGCAAACTTGGACCCCTGGCCAGAAACAAACAAACGCTTTTCCCAAAAGCGTGCAGCAATGAAGCCTCTGAAGTGGTGCGTCGTTCTGTAGTCGGCATCGTGGCCATTTAATAGGTTAAAGGATTCTTTCAACTACGAGGTTGTAGCAGCTTTTTGTACAGGCAGGTGGCCGCTAGCCCACACTTAAAGATGGTCCTTCAAGGGTTCTTCAAGAACCATAAATACTCAGATAACCCTTTGCATGATTAAAGGGTTCTTTGCATCGTGGAAGCATTTTTCAGATTGATGGAGAACGTGCTGTAGGTGGTTCTAAATAGAACCTTTTTGGAAATGGCACCAATAAGTTTCTTCTGTTGTTACAAGCTTAACATCGTAACGATAACAGAGCCTTTTTAAAACCGGTTCTGTATTGAACCAACAGGGACGATTTATTCCTTTATCATCAGTCTGCCGTTCTCTGGCCGTTTCCCTCCCTCTTTATCGTCGCTCTGCCGTTCTCTGGCCGTTTCCCTCCCTCTTTACCGTTCGCTCTGCCGTTCTCTGGCCGCCTCCCTCCCTCTTTACCGTTCTCTCTGCCGGTCTCTGGCCGCCTCCCTCCCTCATTGTCCCCGGTCTCCTGTTCTCTGGCAGTTTGAGAGGAAAGGTTGAGAAATAGTTATATAAAATGAATTATGACTGTTTTTGTAGCACATACCCACACACACGATGAGTAAAATTAAATACAACAAAAACATATTTAAAGAAATATATTGATAGACATCACTGTGTTAACTCAGGAACTAGTGAGCCTTGAATGTGTCGACTTGTAAAACTTTTAAAGCATGTGAACATGGTTGTGTTCATACAGTCCACATTTCCACATTATTTACTCTAATATATTCAGGCTCATTTGCGCGCTCTTTCCTCTACTCTGCCTCAGCGTCTCTGGGAGCTGGAGACGACTCGGCTACTCAGAGTTTTCCAGGAAGTGTTGGAGACGGAAATGGAGGAGGACGACCTGTTCTACGTTGAAAATGGCGAGGAGCAGCCCGTCATGAGGTCCACAGAGGAATTTTGCGACCGGCTCCGACACCCGTTCATGGAAGTGCTGAAATTCCCGTACCTGCTGTGCCACCGGGGCCTCTGTAAGTCTTTGTTTTAAATAATTCTGATCGGTATTAGAGCCAGTGATCTGTATGGATTATTCTACCAAACTGGTTCAAAGTCGGAGCTGAAAACACATTTCAGATTTTTAACTGACTTGGATTTTAGACTAAAATCCTGTTGCTTTGAGTGACTCTGTACCTTAATTATGTTTATTAAAACAAATGTTGGAACAGTCCATTTCGTCACAACCAAAACAATCATGACACTAAACTAACTTTCCTGAATGTTTCAGTAGTGACGATTTTAGCTGAATTTCAGCAGAGCTCCAAAACTCTAGCCAGTACATGACTAGCACACACCATGTTGAACAGCTGTCCACACACACATTCATAATACTTCTCGTTAAAACACAAACTTTGCTTAATTGGACTAAATGTGTTTACAATGAGATCTAACTGCTCACCATGTGGCCATGAGGGACAGGGATGCAGCCTCACTTCCTGCTCTGAAACGCAGGGGCGTGGTTGAAACGAGGCTCTGACTATGAACCAAAACCTTTTGTGTTCTGGTAGTGATATGAGGCCGGTACAGTGGCGCAGGGGGTAGTGCTGTGGCCTTGCAGCAAGAAGGGCCATTGGTTCGATTCCCAGCCAGGCGACCAGGGTCCTTTCAGTGTGGAGTTTGCATGTTCTCCCCGTGTCTGTGTGGGTTTCCTTTGGGTGCTCTGGTTTCCTCCCACGGTCCAAAGACATGCAGTCAGGCTGATTGGACACACTTAATTGCCCCTATGTGTGAAATGTACATGTCTGCCAGTCCCTGTGATGGACTGGCGACCTGAGGGGGGGGGGACCTGCCTTCCTCCTAATGACTACTGGAATCCCCCCCCGACCCAGAAGAGTCAGAGGCTTAGACAGTGTGTGTAACGTTTATTTAATAATCAAACTCATGATCTAAATCTTTAAACTTTACTTTAAAAGAAATCAAAAAGATACTTTAAAAAAGAAATTTGAAAGTGTAAATTTAGGGCTTCGGGTTTGGGACACCTCCCAATAGAAAGTACTCTCTAGATGATTTGATATATATTTGGCTTATTGCTATTTCTAATTATTTGGTTTTAAATAGATCATAAGTCTTCGTAAATATTTAAGGTCTGAATAATTTTATTTATTTACTGTGGAACTGCAGTTGAACTAATGAGCTAATGCGGCAGAATGGCCTGCGTTCAGGTCAGGTTACGGCTGTATTTAACCTGATCCTATTCTGATCTTCCCTTAAAGCTGTTTTAACCCATTGCGCTCTCTTTACTAGGGGTGGGAATCGCTACAGGCTTCATGATGTGATATTTGACCTATGACCTTTTTCTATTGGGATGTTTGTAGGTTTGTGACATGTTGGAAAAAGCAGGCTACAAAAAAGCAGACCATATCAGTTCAGAGTGGATCACACGCGACGCTAGAAATGACATGATTTTGCTGCTTTCTTATCAGCAAAATCATGTCGTTTCTAGTGTCGAGTGTTCCTTTTCTCCTTTATCAGGGAAAAGGAACAGTGCACAGCAGGAAGCAGATGGCCTCCTGCACCGTTAGATGCCATAAAGCGCAGGTCTAGGGGATCAGGGATGGTGTAAAGCCACCGTCTCAGCATTTTCATGACTTTATTCTTGACTGTTATCTTAAAAATTTGATTTGTGCTTTTGTTTTATAAATGATGCCAAACAATTAAATAAATGAGGGAAGTAACACAAAAAATAAATTCATAAATTAATAATGGGTGCGAAAATAAATAAATAAATAAATAAATAAATAAATGAGACAAACTGTAAAAAAGTGTAAATAAATGAGTATATACACATTAGCAGAAATACTGTAATAAATAAATTAATATTTTATTTATTTCTGCTTTTATTTATTTCTCTACTTGTTTATTTGTACCTCCAGTTCATGCTCAGGAGGTGGGCAACACTAACATAAAACTATTGGTTGAGGTTGGCTTGCGAGGAGGACCTGATGCGCCTAAACGGCAGGTTGATAGAATCAGTGTGAAATCCATACAAATTCCAGTTCCTGACTGAGTCTGCAATAAACTTATCTGCTTCAAACAGAACAAAGTCGTTGTTCACTGTCTAATTTTTCCGCTGTCGAGCATAACTGCACAGAAACCTCTGCTCTTTGCCATCAGTGAAGTGTTAGCATTTTAAAAACAAGGCAAGAGTAATCAAACACACAGCTTTGTCTACGATTAGCCAATAGCATGTACGTTTTGTCATCTTTATTAGTATACCGGAGGAGGAAATATAGAAATAAATCAATAAATAAATACATGTAGAATACATAATGCATAAATAAAAATAAATGTATTTAGTTTCATTTTTATGTATGTGCAAATCCATTTCCAAGAAAGTTGGGACGCTTTGCAGAATGTAAATAAAAATAGAATGCAACAATATGCAAATCATGTAAACCATATTTTTAAAGGAAGATACTACAAAGACAACATATCAAATGTTGAAACTGAGATGTTATTGTATTTTAAAAATATATACCCATTTTGAATTTGATGCCAACAACACCTTCCAAAAAAGTTGGGATGGGGCCTGTTTACCACTGTGCTTCATCACCTCTTTTAACAACACTCTGTAAGCATTTGGGAACTGAGGAGACACTGCTGAAGTTTTGAAAGTGAATTTTTTTTCTCATTCTCATTCATCAGTTCAGGGCCCCTCTTTGTTGTATTTTTCATTTCATAATACACCAGATGTTTTCAGTGGTGACAGATCTGGACTGCAGGCAGGTCAGTTTAGCACCTGGACTCTTTTAATATGGAGCCATGCTGTTGTAATACATGAAGAATGTGGTTTTTACATTGTCTTGCTGAAATAATCAAGGCCTTCCCTGAAAAAGACGTCGTCTGGATGGCAGCATATGCTGCCCAAACATGTATATATCGTTCAGCATTAATGGTGCCTTCACAGATGTGCACGTCACCCATGCGATGTGCACTAATGCCCCCCTACACCATCATGAATACTGGCTTTTGAACAGTGCACAGATAACAAGCTGAGTGGTCTTTAGCCTGGAGGGCACAGTGTCCATGATTTTATCTTAAAACAGTGATCAATCGTTGATTTTAGTCTCACCTTTACCGAAATTACCAAATCTATTTTGACATTGCCAAACATGACACATCTTTACAGCACAAGTTGTGCGAATTATGGTTCTTTAGGTCAGCTAATATCATGTTATTCCTAAAACGCTCCACAAGGGGGTGCCATTAGTTTGTCAGTTTCATACCTTTCAATGTTGCGCACACACAAATGAGTGGTAACAGATCTCCCCTTGTGCAGATTTTTAGGCATGTGGATTGTTTTGGACATGATGTAATATGATACCAGTGGGCATATCAGTTTAACATACTACCAGCTGTCCTACAAAACGAGAACTTGCACTGTACAAATGTAAACGTGAGCCATATCAGCTGCTTGTGTCACTTAAATAAGTAAAATAAAAAAAAAGAGAGAATGCACCGTTTAATTTGCTGTGTTAAAATACCTGGTCCACCCCACTAAAATATTTCATGACCTTTCCAATTAGTCATTGTGTTTTGCATGGCTTCATTTTGGTTCTTAAAACTGCAGTTTTCCAGTTTGCCATGACTTAAATGTCATGTTGACATGTCTCTTGTCTTTTGACTGTATGAGTATAAAACACAATCAGATTTCGTTAACAATATCAATAATATTTGGGTTGCAGATTATTTAACCAGGATTTATCAACATTACATTTTTTAAAAATAACCCTGCCCTCCAAGGTTAAATGCTAAATAGTATTGACTCCTCTGGGGGCATCTTTCATTGTTCTTTTTCAGGTGAAACGGTGGTGAGTGTTTTGTGTAAAATGGACAGTTTGAAGAACCCTCTACAAGCGCTGGAAAAATATCAGGGAATCTACCTGCTCATGGTACATCCAAATGAAACGGTATGCCTGCCTGTTTGTGCTTTGGATTTATTCAACGTCTCCTGTCCATTTAGGTTATTACAACCTTTATTTTGAATGCTATTAGGGCACTTGAACAAAGTTAACTGTGTCTGCTTAATCAAATGCATAACTAATACCAATATTTAGCAAGTTTTAATATTAACTTTGATGATTTCAAGTTCATGATATGGTTATAAAATTGCCATATTGAAGGGTGGAGTCTTTGTTTTACTGGTTGATTATTTCCTTCGTCATATGTCATTATTGGTACTTTTCTTGCTACATAATTAGGTAATATATACATGTTCCTAACTGTTTTGTCAGTTAAGTTGTAATATGTTTTATTTTATCCTTGCACTTAGGTGCGTCGCTGGGCAATATCTACTGCTAGGTGGTTGGGCAGGGTGGACAGAGACGGCTATTATGAGCTTAAGGAGGTTTTCTCCTGCATGTTCTATATCATCGAACTGGGAATCTCTCTGGACTTTCCAGATGTGGACAACACATACTGTTCTGGCAAGCTGCAGTGGATACCCTCACATCTCTACGACTCCAAAAATGAGAAGAATTACTGGCTAGGTTTGCTTTGTTCTTTCTTGCCTCTTCTTTATACTTTGCGTGTATTTAAATTTGAGAACGGTTGTCGGTCGAAAATAAGGAGATAAAAAGACAAACTTATTACCTCAGGCAGCAGTTACTAACTTTGCCACATCAAAACTATGTGCTATAGATGCGGAGCAGTGAGATGCATCCCTTCCAGTGTTTGGCTGCCTTTAGCTGGCTGCAGTAGTCTTTCTGTGCTTACATAATTGGACTAAAGTAAATGATAGTTTGACCAAAATGTAGGCTCCACACTGCCCTCTGTTGCAACATAGAGTTCAGAGTTCTTAAGGTTTTTCAATATAAGAATGTATCGTCAGAGAAGCTAATTTGCTTATCAGAAATCCCAATTTACAGTTAATGCTTTCTTTTTTTATTCAAAGAAAACCTATTTTCCCCCCAGAAATGGGTTTGGGTAATAGTATCATAAATGGTATTATTTTGTCACCACTATCCCAGATTCATTCTAGCAATGATTTCAAAGAGCTTTGGTGGGATTTCTAGCTACGGAAATGGTTCTCCAGCACTGAAGCCTTCACATCTGTTCCAGGTATCTGTATGTTACTGATGCAGCTGGACTCCCAGGCAATGGATTCGTTGTTTATGGGCCCAGAAAAACAGGGCAGTATTCCCCAGTGCATCATAAATACCATGGCTGAAAGCAGACAAGGTACAGTCTGCCTTATGTGATGTCACTACATGACAGCATCGCCATTTTCCTGACAACAATCAAAATGCCTTCAACATGCTGTACATTTGGAATAAAAACAGTATTAGTGTCCCAGGCTGTATTTTCAGGCTAGACATTCAGATTTTTAATGAAGAATAAATATTGGCGAATTTCTTACTCTGAAAAGTCCCGTCTTTGTTTTTCAGGGGGAAACATGGACTCTGATCCATTTTGGCCAGCTTTGCACTGCTTCATGGTCATTCTAGACCGACTGGGCTCAAAAATCTGGTGTCAGATAGAACCAGCAGATGCCTTCATAACCATCACTCAAGCAGCCAGCTACATAGCTGAAATTGAAAATATCCGTCAGAAAACTTCAGGGTACGAGACGACTGTCTTACAGTGTGATGAATTATACCTACACTCCATTACATTTCTCTCATAGTGTTATTTCAAATTTAAGTAGGTGGCTTGTTGACTTAACATTTGCATTTATTTGGAAACACTTTCTTTTACAGTCTTTTAAATTCTAGATGTTAACCAGATAAGTGTGAGTTACAAACTTTAATGTACTAGATAATTGATTTGAGTAATATGACAGTTGGTCAGGACGCGCAAAAATACGCGTTGGGTCCGTTTCCGAAGCGTGCCGAGTGCGGCATGGCAGCAGTTTCTATACAGAAACAGTAGAGAAATGCAATGTCTATGCTGTAATATACAATCTAGGCTAAGAAACAAATCAGCAGATCTAGTTTTAACTCCTTGACAAGTAGATTGAAATCCTTCTAGTCGGTTAATGTTGTGAACACACAGGCATCTCCTCCTCATCATATAGAGCTACATCACCTGGTGAGAAAGCCAGCAACGGTCATGGCAGCTAGTCAGAATTTTATTGTTGATCTCTTTGTCATCTACATAAAGTTTATATGAGTAATAAATGGACAATACACACGTTTATATTATATGAAAACGCAACACAAACAGCAACCGCTCTTACTTCGCCATGCATGTGCATCGCATCCAGTTTAAAATAACAAGCAGCGCGAGTGGGCCTGGATTTACACTCCCGCCGCGTCGCGTGTGAATTGGGCTCTACACTGACATGCCAAACAGGTATCTAAGTCTGTGTCAGGTACGGTCACCAAAGTGCTGTGTAATTATTTTTGGTAAAATGATGCCAAAACAGTCTTATTAAAGCACACTGAAATGACCCACAGATTTTGGCTATTAAACTGATAAAGGATGTAATAAAATACCTCTAATATCTGAAGTAACAAGGTGTTAAATACAAACCTGCTCCTGTCCCATGTTTAAACCAGAAAGTAATTTGAAAATACCTCCAAGTATCAAGTTAGTTATTTGACGTAAAATACAAGGGGTTTTTGGACCCTAATAAGAATATTTGCTTTCTTTTACAGAGCTTATTCAAGTATTGGTTCTAGATAATACAAGTATACTGTGTACTTAATTTGTGTACAGTCTTTTTACAACATGTAACTAACTACCTTTACCCAAAATTGCGCGGTACTGTGGAGTTTGTACTCCACATTTACGCTGTTAATTTATATAGTATTTTGGGTATTTTAGTATAGCTGTAGTCTGCGTTGGACCTTACTACAATGTTTGGAGTTTGTACCATACACTTAACTGGTTAACACCTAAATCTGGACTGTAGAAGAGTATGAAATGACCACTGTAATGTGATTATTCACTGATACAGGTTTATAAGTAAATGTTTAAAAGTAATTATCCTCTAATTCCTTTTGTAATTGCTCATCAGGACGATGGTGAAAGAGGAGCCTGAGGATGATGACGACATGATTTCATGCAGTCAGATAGTGTATGATTGCTACCCTACAGAGCAAGCAGACAGAGTAAGACAATGCTGAAGAACAATACACAAAATAATGCAGTTTGGAACCAAATATCCTCAGTGATGACCACAAAGTGTCTGTGCCATTGATTTGCATGAATTGGAGTCCTTGATGTAGACTACAAACTATTTTGTTTTCTTTTTTTTATTCCATGTATCCTGTAGTCTTCAGATTGGTCATCCAACAGCAGTGAGAACAACATCAGTGAGATCTTTGAAGAGATGGGCTGTCTAGTTAACGTCTTGCAGTCTGAGATGGGACAAGGCATGCGTGTCTATGGTAGCACGTTTCTTTGGTTCATCCCTTTTGTCCGCTCCGTTATGGAGCTGGGTGAGCTTGGAATTGGCTACATTGATGAGGTTATCCACTATCTGCACAATAAAGTTAATAAGGATGTACTGGCCGGACAAATGGTCACCTGCGATAAGGTCACGGAGTTCTTTATCCGAATCCTTGTTGATATAGTTGAACTGCTCGTCTGTAAGGGTTGTATGAGAACGCTTTACTATTGTGCTCCTACATGGGTGAAGGTGGTAGTGCAATGTTCTGCACTCGATGAAACCTGCAGTAACAGAATCCCAGATAGGAGGGGTATGTCTCACAGGGTCACTTCCTTCAATTTTGGTAGAGGGAACCGAATATCTGCAACCGGAGTTGGTGCAATGAGTCTAGCTTGCATGAAGCTGATTCGCTCACTGTTAAGGGAAGGGGAGCGCATACGCATGGTCCCCAAATCTGGCAACTTTCAGGACCTCCTTAACAGGCACTTGCGTGAAATCCCACCCAGAGTGTGGTGTCTTAGACCGTCAGAATCTGAAAACCTGCAGAAGTTCCTAACCAAGCTTGTAAAAGCAATTATGGATAGAGTTGCAGTCCCAGCCACTGTTCCTTCTGCTCCGCCAACACCCCCAGCAGATCCACCAGAAAATGTAGGATCTCATCCAAATTCCACATTAATTGAGCTCATGCAACAGCCACAATACAAGGATGCAGCGGTAGGTACGAGTAGTGCTGAATCTGCAGTTGAGTTTATTAAAGATGAACCACTGTGGGAATATGAGAAAGGTCAAGATGATTTCTGTGACAACCTTGAAGATATTATTAAGGCAAAGAAGGAACCTAGCAGCCCAGTACAGATTTCAGAATTTCAACCTGCTCTAGATTTGAATTGCCTGAAGCCAGACTTGGGGAAAATACAGGAAATCAGATCCAGGTTGAATGACAATCAGAACCTTTCAAAGATACAAGCTATTGCTAGCAGAAGACCTAACAAGATTGAACAAAAACAAAATGGATGCGGTGATTTAAAAGAGGAGGCACATGCACCGCATTTAAGCACCAATGATACAACCTCACAACCTACAATCTCAGACTCTGCCAAGGTACGCAGGCCCTCTAAAAATAAATGGGATGATGATGATGACAACGAAGATGAACCCCTTGATGTCCGTAGGAGCCGTCTGAAAAAATCCCTCGAGTGGTCGTCCAGAGAATCCGAAGCTGAAGCGAATGATGCCAGACAAACATCGTTGCAGATTCGTAGTAATTCAAACTTGACCTCTGACTTGATCGTCATTTCAGATGATGAAGTTGCTACAAACAATGTCTTGGAAAAAGACTGTTCTTCAGGCAGTGCAGGCAACCAAGGAACAACTGAACTTTCTTCAGACCCTGATTTGAATGAGAGTCCAAGTCGGGCTTATGATGCAGATTTGAGTGAATCACAGGTATTTGAGTTTGAAACACAAGACTACGTGGCGTCTGCCTGGGATGACGCACCTGTTTCTCCAGTCATGATCCAGAAGCCCAAATGTGGCACCAGTTCCAAAGAATCCCATATGGAAGCCATGACAAGTTGGGTTAGTGAGACTCAGCCGGTCACAGATGAAGACATTGAGAAAGCCTGTCAGCAAGTAGAAGAGCAGGTCAGCAAGAGCACGTCAGCAAGAGCAGGTCAGCAAGTAGAAGAGCAGATCAGTAAAAAGCAGCACCTACATACTCCATCTGGCTCAAGCGTGCCTGTGCCGCGCAAGCCCAATAGTTCTGCTGAAAAGTGGGACAGTTTCGTCCAGCCAAAATCTTTGCCATCTCAAAGTCCCACCAAGAAACCTGGTGTGGCTCATAAAGGTCGGCATTCCTCAAGCAAAAAATCTCTTCTTATTGAACCATTGGGTCAGAAAATCAAGAAGCGGCGCAGCTCACTCAACGTTGCATTACAGGAAACTTCCTCCTCTGTTTCCCCCAATACAAATACTTTTTTGACTCCTGCCATAGTCCCACCAAAGAAGGTACGCAAAGCTGTTGAGCCACAATCAGTAGCCGAACGTATGGGGTTAAAAAAGAAGGAGAGGAAAGCATTTGATCTCTCTCAGCGCTCCTTGGACACTTTGGGTGAGCTTCGGACCCATGGCCAAAAAGTGCATGTGGAACCTCCACAGAAAACCAAAAGGGTCACTCGCAAAAGCAAACCACAACCAAAGCTTACAGGGAAGGGTGGGAAGAAGTTGCTTGCATCCCAAGACTTGCAGTACTTCAGGCAGAGCCGTGTAATGCTTCAGAAGTCAATGCCAACCACTGTTGCACCTCCCAAGCCAGTCAGGAACCCTGTGCCAAAGACTCTTCCCAAACTGAAATGTGCAGTTGAAAATGTGGAAGAGCCTGAAGCTGAGGAGGACGAGGAGGATGATTATCAGAGTTTCCTTCCCTGCTCTCAGCCTGATCCTGCCCGAAGAACTGTCCAGATGGTCACACAAGCCAAGAGTAGTGCGATTGAATTCAGTGGAGCAAAAAGTGTATCTTTTGATGTCAAATGCAGTGAGTCTGGTTTTCATCAGGACAATAAAGTTGTTGATGAAAATGCTGCTTCCACAGAAGAATGTACTGAAACAGAAAGGGAAGGTGGTTGTGTTGATGACGAGTGGATGTACCTCACACAGAATGAACCCACAGACATGGAGTTATGTTCTCAAATGGAGCAAATGGAAGCATTTGGTGAGAACACGCAACGAGAACCTGTGGACATGGACATTGATGCAGACAACCAGTCAGATACTTCTGTGAACAGCACAGATGTGCAGCCTAAGCATTTATCTGCCACAATGTCCCAAAGGGCATCTTCTGCCACGTCCACTCACAACTCTGTAAATGACACTGAGATATTCTTAAAGCCTAGCATGCCTCTGTTGCAGAAAAAAGCAAAGCCTTCCACAACAAAAATATATGCAGCCAGTTCCCGCAGTGCCTCTTTGGTTGTAGAGATGGAGAAAACAGTCAAGCCCCCGCCAGCTGCTAACGTCATTAAGGCTAAGGTTGCACGTCCATCACCAGCAATGCCACCACTGCCAACTCCACCACCAAAAGCTATACCAAAAGCTGTACCAAAAGCCACACCACAACCTGAATTTCGCCAACCTCTGCCCCGCCCTCCACATCCTTCAAACAAGCCACTCAAGTCAGTTGTCCCTCATAACATAGCTTCCCATCCACCTTCCTACAAAACCTACTCCAGACCAGAAGATCCTGTCTCAGTACCGAGGACAACAGTGGACCAGCCTCAGAGGTATGACCAATCCATTTTGATACAAGCAATTCTGAAGTGGGAGTACCGCATGTTCGAGAACTATGAAACTTTTGGGACACCCAGCAGCTTGTGTCCATCACCCCTGAGGAAGTGCCAACACGGTTCTCTAGCTACGAAGAGTACTTCAAAATCATGTACCCACTTCTTCTCATCAATGCATTTGATGAGGTAGGGCTGCTTTATCAAATTGCCAAAATTTCATACCATATCCTCATATTGTGATATCTAAGAAGTCATACATATTGTGTTTCCCTACCCCGCCCCCCCCACTCTTCCTTAGATGGCCAGTGAATGGCTTAGGAGTGGTAGGATCGTTCTTGACCTCAAGGTTCAGGGATTTGAGTACAGCAATCGCACTGCCACTGCCAGCTTCACAGGTATGTCCAACTAATAGTGAACCCGTTAGTCTTGTCGCTGGAATGGTCATGCGTTTGATAAGGCATTGTGAAATGTCAGCCATGTTTGCCGTGTGCAGCTGAAATGTTATACTGGACATGAATGCCATGTGTGTGGAAGTCGTGCTGATGGAAACGCTGATAGTTTTGTATTATGATGAACAGATGTGTTTTAATATAAAGCAAAAAGCTAATTTTTGAGGAATTTAATGGTTTCATGCTTTTACACCAGGGGTGTCCAAAGTCCAGCTCCAGGGCCAAATGCGGCCTGCGGACAGGTTTTAATTGGCCCCCGGCTTCCGTTTTACATAAGTGGTCTGCCAGCCAGTACATTGCAGTTCTTGCTTTCACGTGAAGGTGGCAGTTGACCCGACCTGCAGCTTCATTACTACAGACATACAGGCATAAAGCTCAAACTAAGCACTGAAAACTGACTGCTTTGGCGAGATGGAAAACTTCTTATCAGAGCAAAATAATAGTACAGTAAATATTAACCCTTTAAGGTCGAACAACAATGTAGCTACACTGTGTATATTTGATATGTAAAAAACATTACCTAACAAAACTCTATTTGTAAAATTTATGGATTTTTGTTTAGTTTGACTCTCAAATTATGTTTTTCAACAAGTAAACACTTGAATAGGAATATGATTAATACATTAGACAGGTTGTATTATTAATCTTAAACACTTTATTTATTATAAGCCCTTATTGATCCAAACTACTCAGAATGAACAATCTAGCTATAAAAGAAGCCTTGTATCTTTTATACAGTGATCAGAAACACAGTAGCTCACAGAAAGCTCAGATTCTATGCGCTTATAGTTTGAAATCTTTAATATTTTGAGTCATTTGTGAATAATATGTCGGTATTTTAACACAGTACAATCTGGCCCCCTTCAAAAAATGTTTGGACACTCGTGTCTTACACCAACTGCTGAGCTATCGGTCACCCAGTCTGTACTTTTATTATAGCTATACAGGCTGAACTGAAACTTGTACACAAACCACCGTTAACATGAGGATAACCCAAAACTTGAATTACAGAAACCAACAAAACCACACAGAATTTGGAAGGTTCCGCCTCCTACGCTACAATATTTCCATTATTTAGCAAGTTTCTGCTTTATAGGAAATCTGCCAGTTTGAGAACTGGCAATTCTGTTTGATGGTTCCCTGTTAATGACTGGTGATCAGTCACTTTTCTCTGCAGTCATTTCCTCCTGTTTGTAGAACACAGGTGAATGTCATCTTCACAAAAAGTCTTGCTGTCACAACCTCTATTTTCCTTCAGTTTCTCATTTAACCTGAATGTGTTCTTTTCTTGACTTTGTTTTTTGTCTGTGTAGCAAGCCTGAACTCTCAGCAGGAGATGAGGCAGTTATATCCTAAGGACGACGATCTGGTCTTGCTGTGGCTGCCGGAGAACACTGGAGCGTATGCCAACGATGAATCTGACTTCCATGACCTGCATGCCCATTTTGGCTGTGTTTCGCGATCAAATGTCATCAGCAATGGTGGAGGTGTGCATTTATATTATGTTATATTGCAGCAAGAAGGTACTTTGGTTCTCATAACCAGTGAAAATGTTTGGGGGATAATGAGGTCCAATTCTTTATCATTCTTTTGTAGTTCAGTGGTTAAGTTGTAAACAGTCATTCAGCGTAGTCTCATGTGAAATGGTTCATTGTAGAGAAACTTACTAAGTCTGATTTCTTTACAGTGGTGGTGATAGGAACCCAGGGTCCTACACATGTCTTGTAAGGTTTTTACATAAAGCGTTAAAGTGGTGGATAAAATGGTGCATGTACCCCTCAACCATGAATGGATTAAATAAAAAAAAAAATTAGCAGTGTATTTGTAACAGTTTCTGTGAGAGCCTTTAGAAGTGTTTAAACGCTTCAGATGTCTGGGTCCCATTGGCACCGCTGTGAGCAGTACTAACTCATGGATCTTAAGTTTCTCTTGAACAGTGCATTTTGTATTAAACTGTTCTGAATGACTTTTTTTATTTACGTCTTAAACATTTCATTATGCAAAAAAAAAAAAACTGGAATTTTCCGTTAATGGTGACAAACAGGTGGTTAGCTGTAGTGACAAACATAACAATAGAACAAGACATTTGCTGTCTTTGTTTGTTGGTCCTATGTGCTTTCTTCATCTCTAGGTCAGCCCGCGACGTTAAACCTGACCATTCAGACGCAGGGGAATGTGTCATCCGTCAACACTCAGCCTGTGCGCTGCGAGGTGATTGGCTCTCTGATCAGCACGCTGCGGGAGTTCAGAGCACTGTGTTTGCTGCGGAGTGGGATAATGGCCCGTCCACATATCCTTCTCACTCCACATGTCTCAGTCTTCACGCCCAGCCAAGAGGGCCTGCCAGACCTCGACATGCCTGTGAGTTATCATTTAACGAGAATTAGACTGTCTAGTGCAGCACAAACAGAAACGAAACAGATTCAAACTTTATTTTTTCATATTTTCAGTAGGATAGTTCAGAGGTGGATCCATTCTGTGTCCTTGGTTTTTAAGGAATGCTGGTATGCTAGCTGAGCGTAGTCTGCTGTTGTGCTAATTTAGCTCTGCTAAAGTGGCAAATCTCGTCTGAACCTGTGTACTGAGCTGTGTACAAAGATTATCTCAACGCTTCCCTTTAAGAATTATGGTAAACTTTACCATTTTCAAACAGTATGACCATCACACGACAATGAATTGTTTAGGGATTTTGAGATGTGTTTGCTAAATGGCCCATTACTGGTTGTTGGACTTGATTACTGCCAATTGTTTTAAGACATTTTCATCAAACTATAAAATAAGCTCAAAAGTCAGATCACACTTTTTTTCACCTTTTATTTAATTTCCTGTCAAATTTGTGCAAGTTGTGCATTTTTCAGCATTAAAGACAGAAAACATATGTAACAGAAAATTACACAGATTTTTCAGTGAGTCACTCTTTACCTTTTATTCCAGCTTCCATTCTTTTCCAGAGATTCACTTTCAGTTCCTCAAAGAATCTGCAGACACACCTCCAAAGTTCAGTCTTAGAAGCTGGTTGATGATTTTCTGAAGTAATCAAACACATTCAGTGGTGTTGAGGTCTGGACTCTGGGGTGGTCAGTCCATTGTTCAGCTTCTTTGTTTGATGTGTCCGTCTCCTTTTCTCAGTGAGGTTCTTCTTGATCAGCTACACATCCTTTCAGACCCACAGCGCTGAGTCGTCTTCTCACAGTGGAAGGATGGGCAGAAACACCTGTGGATGTTTTCAGATCTGAAGCAGCTTGATTTTTTTTCCTCTCTCTCAAAGATGAAGGCTTTAAAGCTACGTTCACATTACAAGTCTTATTGCTCAAATCCAATTTTTTTTTCTCAAATCCGATCTCTCTGACTCAATGGTTCACTCGTTTAGGTAAGTGATTCAAGTCTGTCATTAATGTGATGAACTGGTGTCCTGAAATGACCCTCATGCGCACATCCTACTCAGTAACGTCACGTGAATGAATCACGTGCATCATCAGCACAAACTAACGAGCAGAACGAGCTTCGCTGAAGATAATTAACTCTGATCAGCTCTCAGCTTCATTATTAGAGCGAGACGAAGGAGAAAAAGGTGAGATGAGCTGCTTTCCCACCGTTTACAGGCTTTAACATCTGTTCAAGCCTGCTGCCATGGTAACGCTGAATGATGGCACGCATGCAGTGGGGAAAACGCACATGAATTCCGATCTGAGCATCACATTAAGGTTGCATGGCCGCAAATCGGGTACATATGAAGTGTCTCATAAGTGTCTCAGGTCGGATTTGAAAAGATCAGATTTGTGTGTCCACACAGCCCTGAAAACATCAGATCTGAGTGACATTAGGGCAAAAAAATCGGATTTGTGCCACTTCAACCTGGTAATGTGAGCGTAGCCTGAGTACTGTTTATCTGATGGGGTCAGTTTTCATGTCTACCAGGTCTTCCAGGTGGTTGTTAGGAGGCCCATCTTCTCTGTAGCTTTGGATCATTTTTCAAGCTCCAGTTTTGGACACTCCTGTTTTTTGACTTATTTTCCTTTGACTTTCTCTTCCTTTTGCAAGTGGAATATATTGTATCTAATCTCGGTGATGGGGAAAAAAATTGTCTTTGAATCTGTGTTTGAATCTATGCCTAATCTTTGAGTCATAGCATATGACTGTAAGATTTGATAAGGATTAATACACTGTCTGGGCTGTCTGGGTTTTGTGTCTAAAACTGTCAACAGAACAAGAAAAAGGGGGAGGCTCTGTGTTTGTGCAAGGGAAGTGAGAGTTAAGAACAAGAGAACAAGAAGTCTGTGCCTTTTTGACACCCATGTCCTTCAGAACGTATGGGGAAGTGGTTAGAGAGGTAGTGAGCAACTGTGCTCCATATAGAAAGGGGGAAAATGGAAAACAGGATGAAGAGGTCTACAGGTTAGGGCAGGGGTCGGCAACCCAAATGTTAAGAAGAGCCATTTTAAGTTTCAACAAAAATCAAACCACTTTGGCAGCCACAACATTTCATGTCTGTTTTATTGAAGTAACGTTTCACCATCTTGACTGTGAATGTGTATGTGCTAATGTACTACTATAGACTAAAGTGTAATATAAATGAAAATCCACACTCACTGTTCTCTGCTTTAGTTCAGCTGCAGCTGCTTTTCTCACATCTCCGGTAGGAAACTTTTCCTCAAAAGCAGAACAGTGTCTTGTAAAATGTCTCTTCATATTCAACTTTTTACGAGGCTGAAGTTGCTTCTCATTCGCCAGCTTCTTGATCGAATTTTTCCACGTCACCTTAAATGGTGCCTGAGGCACCAGAATGTAGCTAACTATGTAGCCAAGTGCTGCGCCATTTAAGGTGGAACAGGAAGATTCAAACATGAAGCTGGCAAATGAAAAGCTGATTACAGCTTTACGACTTTTGAGTGTTTGACAGTTTGACAGCAGATTAAACGTATCAGGAAACAGCTGGAGTGATTATAAACGCAAATAAGTCTATTCATCTCCAAATTATCGATGTTAGTCTTGAATCTTTGTCTTTGTCTTTTTCTTAGCAAGTAGCGTTGCTATGGTGACCAGCAGACTGCTTGCCAACCTTCAGGGTTAAAGGGTGAATCAGCAGTTCTACATTTAACTCCAGAGGTTAAGACCATTTATTGTTAAACTGTGTTGAACGATCAGCAGAGCTTTATTTTACTGTAAAGGAGGATTATTTTATTTTTACCTACAAATCTGATTCTGCTGTGGAGCCACAACAGGACAGTGAAAGAGCCACATGTAGGTGACCCCTGGCTTAGGGAGATCTGTATGAGTAACAGGATGTAGGGATATGTGACAACTGATGTACACCATTTTATCAGCTCCACTTACTATATAGGTGCACTTTGTAGTTCTACAGTTACAGACTGTAGTCCATCTGTTTCTCTGATACTTTGTTAGCCCCCTTTTACCCTGTTCTTCAGTGGTCAGGACCCCCATGGACCCTCACAGAGCAGGTACTATTTGGGTGGTGGATCATTCTCAGCACTCACTGTCCACTCTATTAGACACTCCTACCTTGTCTGTCCACCTTGTAGATGTAAAGTCAGAGACGATAGCTCATCTGCTGCTGCACAGTTTGTTGGTCATCCTCTAGTCCTTCATCAGTGGTCACAGGACGCTGCCCACAGGACGCTGTTGGCTGGATATTTTTGGTTGATGGACTATTCTCAGTCCAGCCGGGACATTGAGGTGGTTAAAAACTCCCTCAGCTCTGCTGTGTCTGATCCACTCAGACCAGTGCAACACACACTAACACACCACCACCACATCAGTGTTACTGTAGTGCTGAGAATGACCCACCACCCAAATAGTACCTGCTCTGTGAGGGTCCATGGGGGTCCTGACCACTGAAGAACAGGGTAAAAGGGGGCTAACAAAGTATGCAGAGAAACAGATGGACTACAGTCTGTAACTGTAGAACTACAAAGTGCACCTATATAGTAAGTGGAGCTGATAAAATGGACAATGAGTGTAGAAACAAGGAGGTGAGTTGGTCTACCTGACTGAGTTTATAGTAAAGATAAATTAAACTGCCATAACAGTCTCCTCTGACATCTCCTGAGTTTGGTGAGTTTGGGTAGATATTTGTGTGAATGTTAGCGTCTCTTTGAAGGGGATCATAATGCCAGTGGCTCCTTTTGCTGGGAGGACACAGCTGTAACTGTTCTTAGGATGAAAGAGTTGAAGTCGGCGTTGGGTGCAAGAAAGGGAAGAGTGAACAAATTAAATACTGATCATAAAACTTTTCCTTTCAACTTCACTCTTTTCCTTTTCCTGTAGGAGTACAATGTGGACCAGGCGAAGGCAATCAGGTGTGGTGTTGCCATGGTGAGGAGGCAGCAGAGGAATCCAAAAATATTGTTAATTCATGGCCCTCCAGGAACTGGCAAGAGCAAGGCCATAGTTGGCCTTCTGCAGAGGCTTTTCTCTGATGTAAGTTCTCTTTCTTTTTATTTCTGTCTATATATCCTGAAAGGTAGTTAGCAGATGTAGCAAGTCTTCACTAGACAGTGACCTTTTTTATCATTCTTAGCATTGTTTTTGGGAATATGTTTGAAGTTTGAGAGATTGAGGAAGACTTGCTGCTTGCTTCACAAAATTAGTAAATTAAATCATCTGCTTGGTTTTTCATTGGCCATTTGTTGCTGTGTTGGAACTTTAGCACAATGAGAATGCTGCAGTGAACCGCCAGAGTAAGTCCCACAGGATGAGAGTTCTGCTCTGTGCTCCGTCCAACGCTGCCATTGACAGCTTGATGAAGAAGGTCATCGTCGTCTTCAAAGAGAAGTGCAGGAACATCCACACTCCGCAAGGTACCATGTGTACCCTCTCATACATGTATTACTGTAAACCTGAAGGTGAGTTTAAAAGAAGTTTAAATTTAAGTTTAAAACAGAATAAAGAGCTAATCAGGAATTTCATGACACGAAGCAAAGTGCCTAAAACTCCCTTCCCTGTGATAAAATCACAGTAACGCAGGGCCTAAAGTGGCTAATTGCTTTTAAATGGCAGCCAACATAAAATCTGATAAAATACACAACTTTTCTGAAAATTATTTGTTGTTTATTATTATTATTATTATTATTATTATTATTATTATTATTAATAATAATAATCGACATAAGTATCCCGCCAAGAAATGTCGTTGCTTTAGAGTATGGTATCGTTACCAAGCAGCCATGGGCTGCTGAATAAGGAGAACATTCATTCGCCCATCGCTGTGTATTGCGGTCACTTTATAATCTTTTCAACTTTTTGTCGTATAACAATGAACATATAAAGCAAAAGTGTTTGCATTAAGCAGTGCTGTGTTATCATGAGTATTTTTGGTCACCAAATTACCAGCGCGATTCATATTTAGCACCAATCCAGCGGCCCCTCTTCTCACACTGGAGCTGAATCTCAAACAGCTCCCTGCTCCCTACATAGTGCACTACGTAGCAGTGTAAATACTGGATCCTGCAGCCCAACAGAGCAAAATACAGCTAAGAAAGTCATTTGGGATTCAGACACATCCACACTCGATAAAAGAGGCACTGTTTGGCTGTAGAGGCTAGAATTTCCAAACTTTCCAGCTGTTTGGGACTCAGCCTGGGTTTGACGCTACATCTGACTGAAACACAGACATTTGAAATGTGTAAAACATTCAAGTGACATTTTACAGTGCCGTTTTACAGTGAATCGTACTGTAAGTACTTTAATTCAAGCCTGTGCTATTAATGGAGTTTTTAGCATGTTTGCTATCTTTTAGCCTGTTAGCTAGCTGACCAGCCTAATTCTAGATGAGAACATAAGTTTTCAGCCCCTCAGTTTAAACAAAAACAGGTTCTTACTTCATCAGTACACTCGGCGCTCCATGTGAGCAGCATGAGAGTCAAAGATTGTTCCATTAACAGCACAGTGGTTTTTTCGTGCCGTGGTTCAACAGTTCAGTTGTTATGAGGGGGTCATAGGTGTAGTATGTCGTGGATTTTACAATGGCTGAGCTGCATTTGAAGCCGATCAGATTTTAGCACCATAACGATCAGTTTTATAATCTGCTGTTAACACTAACTGCCATTTAATTTTGATTGTCTGCCTCGATGGATTTGGCAGTATAAATAAACGGCAACATTACTCTTGACGCTGATCATTGCCCAACCCCCCACCCCCCATGACAATATGGCAAGTATCCGCTTTGAAGCACCATCAGCGTTATTACACTAACGCAAAAGCATACATAAAATGAAAATTCTTTTGTTCAGTGTTTTGTTTTTTTGTTTTTTGGCTGAATTTGTTTTGGTGCATCACTGTTAATTATTTATTGTTTTATTTGTAATTATTTATTCATAATTGTATTTTAGATCTTATTGCAGTAAACATTTTAAACCTGCTTGGCAACAGTTTCGTTTAGGTCCATGTTTGCATTCCTCTTTATAGACCAATGTTCCTTTTCTGAGAGTGCATAAATACCAAGCTCCACAGTTTATTCCCAATAGCTTGAAAAACATCAACACAGAGTTATTTCTTTGCTTATTTTTATTCATTTTTTAAACCATATTGCCCAACTCTAGCACACAGTCGCACAAATCTGGCTTTGCCTGCATACATTTTCCCTCAATGTGCGTGTGAGTGACGTTACTGTTTGGTGCCTGTAGGGAACTGTGGGGACATTAAGCTGGTGCGACTGGGCAGTGAGAAGACCATCTCTAAAGAACTGACAGCCTTCAGCCTCGACAGCCAGACTGCCAGTGAGTGAATTACAGTGAAACTCCCCATCACACCAGAACGTGCACCACCATTTCTTCTCATTTGGGCTGGAACAGTGGTGCACTTGATGTTATTCCAGCAGGCAGCAGTTTAAGCTGGCATTTGTTTGGCAAGCAAAAGCCTTTTATCACTGAAATTGTCTTTTAATAAACTGTAATCAATGAGTCATATGAAATATCTAATGATGAATGTTTGTAATAGTCTGCAGTGTATTTGCCAGGCATTTTCAGACATGATTTAACATGGGGTTTTAGTGAGCCTTTATTGCTGATGTTTATAAGCCTAGGTCAACATTTATTGACTATTTTTATCAGATTCTGGGAAGAAAAAGTTACAATGCAAAAAAAAAGGTCAATTTGGCCTAATGGCATTGGCACTATTAAAGCGACAACACAAGATTTGGGGATTTGGAGACCTCTCTGGTGAGGATTCGAGTGAATTATCTACTGTTGTCATCATATCTTCATGTATGATGATGTTTTTTGTGTTTTGAGACCTGAACATCAAGCTGGATCTTCTTTTTGAGTCTGTGTGTCATGTTAATATGTAAAGATGTATGATGTGGTGTGAAAAACTCCCAGCCTGACGCCCCCTGACTTTTAAATGATTATTTTAGGCTTTACAGGGTGTCTCACAGCACTGTACACCACAACACCGTATTTTAGCCTGTTTTAGCCTGTTTACGTCTAATTTAACACATTAGTTCGTTTTCTTTTTTTTCTTTTTTTTTGTTGTGGGTTTTTTTAAAAACTAAATTCTGCAGACACAACAAGCATATATGCTGGACAGTATGCCCACATGCATGAACTTGGGTATCCAGTCTTCACACCAAATCTCACTGAGTGGTTGTTTGAATGTGTTTCTGTGTGCAGAGAAAACACAAATGCATGCAGATTCTGACGTACAGAGGCAAAAGCAAAAACTGGACCAGATTATTGAGAATCTCTCTCGGCAGTGTGCCAGGACTCAGAAACAGTCCCCCGAGGTAATGCGTCCTCCACACAATAGAGGGCAGTGTCTGCTCTGTGCATGTGAAGTGATATGCTGTGTTCACCATAATCAAAAATTGTGCTCTTCTTCTTCGTCTTTTTCTTCTTCTCTCTCTCTCTCTCTCTCTCTCTCTCTCTCTCTCTCTCTCTCTCTCTCTCTCTCTACCTCTCTCTCTACCTCGCTTGGATTCTTCTTGCTGTGTCTGTTCTATTTTCTCAATGGATGGTCTGCAGTTTAAGCAGTTGATGGACAGGAAACAGCAATGTCTGTCAGAGAGAGAGAAACTCAGCCGACAGTCAAAAGAGGTAAACGCGTCACCAAGAAAGTTTTCTGAACAGTTTTTCTCCTTATGTTAAAAGAATTTCTGTTTTTTGTAAGAGTGGGAGGAAAGAAAAACAGTACAGTATAAAATTGTGATGTATTGGATTAATACCAACAGAGTTTTGACAAGTTTTGACATTTTATTGTTTAATATTTTTAATATGCATTAAGTTGGACTGAACAATTTGGGGGAAAATACCTAATTGATTAAGCTTCAGGCCTTTTGTGTTGTATAATTAAAACTTAAGCTGACAAATTTCACTTAAATGCGCACTAATGATTCGATACTAATCTGACAAAGACTGCTAGTCTAATGAAGATGTGATTGTAAACTACATGGAAGCTTAGTCAGTTTAGTATGATTACATGTGGCCCAGGACTGACAATTCAAAATAAGTTTAGACAAGTAAACACTTTGAACTCGCATGCAGAGTGCAGAAGTTTGCGCTGCCACACGTGATGACTGCTACCTAAAAACATCATTAACAGAATCAGAGAATCTGGAGAAATCTCTGTATGCAAAGGACAAGGCCAAAAAACAGTATTTGCTGGCCGTGATCACTGCATGGACTCAAACACTTCTGAAAACCACTGTCTGTGAAAACAGTTCATCACTGCATCCACAAATGTAAGGTAAAACTCTACCAAGCAAAGCAGAAACCACATATAAGCAGGATCAAAAACGTCGCCGCCTTCTCTGGGCCCCAGCTCGTTTAAGATGGACTGGGCCGAAGTGGAGACATGTCCTGTGGTCCAACAAATCAAAAATTGAAATTCTTACGAATAAATTGTGAAATCTTACTATTTTTCTGAGTGATTTTACATCACTGGGAAAGTGATATTGAGTTTCACAAGGATGAGAATAAAGGAAGGATGTTTTTAAACAGCAGGAAACTTGTATGTGTGGAGTAAGTCTGACTAAACTTGGCCTTTGAGCTGTTGTGTGCATGTGAACTTGGGAATTGTTAGGAAAGGTCTGATAGTGCAGTGGGTAACATGCAGGTATCAGAAACGCCACTGTAGAAAACCAGTGAGACTGTTATAAGGAAAGGCTTCTAACATATTCACCTCCCGTGCAAACTGCTCTGGATAAAATCATGTGTTGAAAAGCTTGTTTTGTTCTTTGTCTTTCTCTCTCTAACTTTCTCTCTGTCTCTAGTTCCGCAGTAAAAGGCAGGAAGTTCAGGCTGGTCTTCTTCGAGATGCTCACGTCATCTGCTGCACTCTAAGCACCAGTGGAAGCACCGTCCTCGAGTTTGCCTTCCGTCGCCTCGGACACGAACCCTTCAGCTGCGTCATCGTCGACGAGGTCTGTTCAGCTTGATGCTTCTTGTAATTCATATTCAGGAAATAGTTTATGTTCTGACTGTGTATTGCGTCTTAAGTAATGCATGTTTAACACAAATGTAGTCTTAGGTACTGCATGTACTCAAAAATATGAAGAGATATTATGAGCCTTACCTACAATGGAGAGAGAACGTATTATATTAATGTTTGGGTACAAATTTCATTCTATTTATTTCTATTGTGTGTGTTCGCTTGTGTGTATTTTCGTAGGCAGGGCAGGCTAAAGAAACAGAGACCCTAATTCCTCTGCTCCATCGATGCCCCTCCTTCATTCTGGTGGGTGATCCTGAGCAGCTCCCGCCCACCGTTGTCTCCCAGGTAACACATCCTAAAATACACTGCAGCTTCCTGACAAAAGAATTGAACAATTTAATGTATGCAGTCTTCTTTTCCCATTGTTGACAAATAAAATTGGCAACTTTGATTCCACAGTAGTGGTGAAAGTCATGTCTACAACACAAATTTGGGCATCATGTTTGAGAAAATAATTTTCCCCTGCATGTACCACCACAAATGTTCTTTAAGAATGCTTTGTGGCAATACCTTGATTATGGTAGATGTTTCTCTGTTTAGTTTTTAGAAGCTTCATGTTTTTATTTTTTATAACAGATATATTTCATATAACAATATATTTCAACAGCTAAAGAAAGCAACAAACTGCAGATATGTGTATTGGGACAATCAAAATCGCAAGTTCTACTGCATATGGTGTCAGAGTCTCCTCAACACAGTGCAGAGGTGGAAGGACAAATTCATGATGTTTTAGTGTGTCATTTTAAATGTATGAATATAATGTGTATATATAATTTAGAATGATATAGATTGTAGGATGGTGTAATTTTACTGGTTCTCTAGGCTTCACTGATGAATGCAAGTGGATAAAAAAAAATAGCAGGAAGCAATGGTTCGCAGTTTGACAAATGGAGTGTGTATAGGACAGCGAGTATGGATTGAAACATTAAGTACAATGGAAGTGTATCATTGCTGCCGCCTACTGAATTTTGAGCTGCAGTAATGAATATTAATTATGGTTAATTATGAAACGGAAATATTAATGGTTTTAAGGGTGATTTGGAGAACAAGTATTTGGGCTGTTTATATCAGATCAAAAGGGCACCAATGCAAAGCGTTGGTATTCTTTGTAATTGTTCACCCCAATTTTTTCAGGTTCAGTTTCCCTGCCCAAGCAATCACACCACACTACACCACACCAATAAGAGCCCTTGGGCAAGACTCTTAGCACTACTTTCACTTACCTCTGTAACTTGATTAAATTGTAATCCACTCTGGATAAAAGTGTCTGTCAAATGCTGTGAGCTTAAATGTGCTCACTCAGGGTTTCAGTGGTGATGGTGTTAAATTCACATTTATGTATAAATTGTAACTTTGATGTTTTGTGTTTGATCTCAGAAAGCAAAAGAGCTTGGCTATGACCAGTCTCTGATGGCACGGTTATGTAAGAGCCTTCATCAGTCGAACCCTTCCCCCAGCATCTTCCTCAGCATCCAGTACCGAATGCACCCCGACATCTGCGAGTTCCCTTCCAAGTACATCTACAACAAAAACCTGAAAAATGACTGGTATGACAACACGCACACCAACACTCGTCCAGATTCGCCCACATGCCTGTTACTCAGCTATGAACAGAACTGAATTTCCTGAATTTACCACCCATATTCCAGTAGGTGCTTAACCTTCCCACCCCTAGCTGTAACTGTCTCCAGAATCTAGGGATTCTGTGTGGCCCTTTATCCTTCAGTACCTTGTTTTGTTGCATTGCGATGCTCAGGGCTGGAGAATGTCTGCAATTCAGGGATCTGCCGCCACAGCAGAGACGGCTTTATAGGTTCGGACTGCCGTGGGCCGTTCGTTGCTGTTGGTGAGTCTTGAACTGAAGGAAGTGCTTTGGCATGCAAGCTGTCAACACGCCGATAGTTCAGGGGTGGGAAATCAGTCCTGAGTTAGTGCAGTCTTGCACTAGGTAGTGGGGTTTTTTGGGGTTTTTTTGTGTAAAATAATCAAGATTTTTTTAAGGGTGTTTGGCGAGCAAAAAGACAGAAGGTATTTTGACTGTTTTAATGGTGTGTAGGAATTTGCCTCCAAAAAAATGTTTTTGATAAAGTTGTAGAAACCTATTCTCTTGTCAGTAGGAGTGGCAAATTGATTTGGTCATAAATCTGGGATACTGTGGCTCATAGCCTGATTTGGATTCAGCTGGGTGACTAGCCTAGTTAGGTAAAAGATATACTGCTGCATTATTGTAAAAAGCCAAGTGATGGTCAGCTAAAAACTGAATAACCTCACCAGAACCCCATAAATAGCCCATCATCTGTGAAACTAATACAAATACAAAGACTACCAGGTCATGACAGAATAAAAAATGTTCAGAAAATGTTTATTTTCTTGAGATGCTTCCTTGATTGTGAACCTTCGTGTGTCACAATATGGAAAGCGCAAAATATTATGGTGCTGCTGCCCTCAAGGACTGCAATTGCCTTTCCCTGCATTAGATGCATAAATGGCACTCCTCAGTTCTCTTTGTAAGGGTTGGTGCCTGTTTCTGTCCCCAAACAATTGCAAATCTCTACTAAGGTTTCCACAAACTAACCAAGATTCCACTCAACTAATCAAAATTCTAGCTGAACTAATGGTCATTTCTGACTTAGCCAGTCGGTGTGTGGTACTTGTGGCATGGCCAAGCTCATGATGCAGCTCCCTGCTAATGGGGTACACTGCTCTTTATTTTGTGTGTAGTACAACCCCATTTCCAAAAAAGCTGGGATGCTGTGCAAAATGTAAATAAAAACAAAATGCAATGATGTGCAAATCATTCAAACTCTATATTTCATTGAAAATAGTACAGCACTGCATTAAAAACAGACACGATTCTGTAGAGGAAATCACTGCATGGGCTCAGGAACACTTCTATAAAAAAACCTGTCTATGAACACAGTTTGTCACTGGAGCCACAAACGGAAGTTAAATCTGTAAAACACAAAGTAGAAACCATATATAAACAGGACCCAGAAATGCTGCTGCCTTCTCTGGGCCTGAGCTCATGTAAAATGGACTGAGGGGAAGCAGAAAAGTGTCCTGTGGTTTGACGAATCAACATTTGAAATTCTTTTTGGAAATCATGGACACTGTGTCCTCCAGGCTAAAGACCACTCAGCTTGTTGTCACAGTTCAAAAGCCAGTATTCATGATGGTATAGGGGGGCATTAGCGCACATGGCGTGGGTGACGTGCTCATCTGTGAAGGCACCATTAATGCTGAACGATAAAGGAGACCCCGAACTGATGAGCAGCTGAAATCCTATGTTAAGCGAGAATGGGGAAACATATCACTATCAAAACTACAACAGTGTCTCCTCAGTTCCCGAACGCTTAGTGTTGTTAAAATAAGAGGTGATGAAACTCAGTGGTAAACAGGCCCCCGCCCCAACTTTTTTGGAAGGTGTTGTTGGCATCAAATTCAAAATGGGCACCCATATTTTTCAAAAAACAATAGTTTCTCGGTTTCCACATTTGATAAGTTGCCTTCGTACTATTTAAAATGAAATATAGGGCTTAAATGATTTGCACATCATTGTATTTTGTTTTTATTTACATTCTGCACAGCATCCCAAACTTTTTTTAGAAATTGGGGTGTAGTTTGTGTGATGAACGTTACTTACTTTTGTCTGCCATTTTGAAGTTTGCATGCAGTGTATCAGTATAAATGAATAGATTCTGGCAAACCTGCAGATGAACTGTTCATATAGCACTTTGTTGAAACCATCCATTTATATTTATGTGACAACCAGGCTGTGTCTTTTTGTCAGCGTAGTTATTGTAGCAGTCAGCGTCAGTGTAGTGGTGTATTTTATTTGCCATTGCTGCAAGAAAGTACAAAATGGACTAACATTACAGCGAAGCAGTGATAAATTACCTGCTGCTGTAAAGATGGATCACTGTTCTTGTCAGTCACTTAATCTGTAGCCTTTTACAAGTGTAGAATACATTCAAGAAAGGCTGTTATCTTTATTCGTTGATGTTGTTAGCCCCTGGCATATGCAACTAATCTAGGCTTTCTAAGTCTGACCTTCACGGAGAGTAAGGACAGTTCTGATGTAATTTGAGTAGTCTGATGAACTCTGTTCTAAGCCCAGTGGAAAGATACTATGATTACTTCCAGTGGAACCTAAAAGAATCTGAAGAAAGACAGGGTAACGTTGGGAGAGATGAAGAGGCAGGATTCAAGCACAAGTCCTTGTTTTTACTGAAAGCCGTGGCGAAAGAATCCACAAAGTAACAAAACAATAACAACACTCACAAAATACTACAACAGAAAGGACACAAGACTAAGGAACATGAGGACTAGACAACAAACAGGAGATAACAAAAACAGTCTGAGAACCCAGAACACCAAGCAAGCACAAAGCACACAACCAGAGGTGTAAATACGCAAAGAACAAACCGGAAACACTTGGGACTAATGGGAGGGTGAGGCTACAGGCAATAGACAGGTGAGATAGATGAGAAGGCGAGATTGGGGAGGAGACAAAGACCAGAACAACAACAAAAAGCACATGGAAAAAGAAAACAGGCTGAAACAGAGAAAGACAAGGACAGGGCAAGACAGAATGTTACAGATGGAATGCTACTTTTTTCCTCTCTCACTTTTTGCTTTCTTTCCCTCCCCTTTTGTAGTGAGACGGCTCAGAAGCGGTGTTCGTTCAGCTGGCCGTTTGAGCCCTACAGGGTGTTTGATGTCACCGATGGAAGAGAGAGCAAAGAAAAAGAGTAAGCTGGGGGTGGGCGAGATGGGTGTATAAGGGAAGCAGCAGTGATATTACATTATTGCATTTACTGGACATGTGCATGGCTATTTGAGCAGCTGGTTAGTAGTTATTGAAGTATTTTAATAAAGTAGTTATTACTGTGTGTGTGTGTGTGTGTGTGTGTGTTTCTCTGCTCCCCACAGTTCGTTCTATAACGTGAAGGAGGTGAAGCTGGTGCTGATGCTTCTGAAGCTGATTGGTGAGAAGCAGGCAGTGCGTGTGGGTGTCATTACCCCCTATAATGCCCAGAAGCAGCGCATCCTGGAGGCTGTCAACAAGGAGTCGAGCAGAGCAGACAGCAAATTTCCTCAGTAAGCCTCAGTAGCCACGTTTACATGCAGACTGATAATCCGTTAATAATCCGACTAATAGCTCAATCTGAATAGAATACGTCCATGAAAACACCTCAGTCGGGATAGTCTAGTCTGATTAAGGCTATTTGGAATACAGTTTCTATCCGACTGAACGAGGTAATCCTGTAAATAATCTGTTAAATAGAATAATAGCCGTGTAAACGCCTGTATCTGATTACATTCCCTATCGGAAAGTTTAAGTCCGTTCTGATCATGTTCGTCGCGTCATAGTGAAAGTTTATACCGTTCAACATGGCAGAGCAGAAACTGGTCTGCAGAGGAGACAAAGTTTCTGCTCTGATCTTTAAAAGACGGCGGTGGGACGGACGTCCAGCTCATGTGTCTCAGAACACGACGTCTTCCTCTCGGCCTTCTTTAATAAGGACATGTGAAGGACGTTTTCCTGAGTCTGACGTCATTTTAAAGTAACACAAGCGCTGCTCACTGCTGCTCGTCTCACTCTGACTGGACTCATGTGATGCTCGTTGTCATGGTAACGTTTACACTAGGTGGTTCTCTGCGCATGCGCATCATTGTGGATCTGATTACTTGTAGTGTGAATGTAAACAGAGATTTTCATCACATTGTTGAGTAGAGTGAGAATAAACACCTCAGTCTTAATCTAATCAGAATGTGTTCAATCAGATAGACAAATCTCTGCATGTAAACAAAGACACGGAGGGCTGGAGTCCTGTTTTGATAGTGATAGGAACTTTAGAGGTTTGATTTAAACTGTTACAGGTTGGTGATTTTAAAAACGCATAAGTTCAAAGAGATGAGCTAAATACACTTTAATATGTGTTTTAATTTGTGTCCCTTTTTTTAATGTATAAGGTCACTGATTGGGTTTTTGTGTGGATGTGTGTGTCAGGGTGGATGTGGACACGGTGGATGGGTTCCAGGGCCGAGAGATGGACTGTGTTATTGTGTCCTGTGTCAGAGCCAGCAGTGAAGCAGGCTCTATTGGGTAAGACCTGTATGCCTGTGAATGTATAGAGCTTTTTTTTTTGTCTGTTACAGTTTTTAGCTTTTGTGTGTTTGCGACAACAAATGTGTATAATTTGTTGTTACCAAAAGTAGTCTAGCACTGGGGTCGGCAATATGCGTCTCTTCTGCTATCCTGTTGTGGCTCCACAGCAGAATTAGACTTGTAGGTAAAAATAAAATAATCCTCCTTTACAGTAAAATAAAGCTCTGCTGATCGTTCAACACAGTTTAACAATAAATGGTCTTAAACACCGAAGTTAATGTACAGCTGCTAATTCACTCTTTAACTCTGAAGATTGGCACGCAGACTGCTGGTCACCATAGCAACGCAGACAAGGTGGTACCTAAGAAAACGGCAAAGAGAAAGATTTAAGACGAACATCGATAATTCGGAGATGAAATGTCTTATTTGCATTTATCACTCCAGCTGGTTTTCTGATATGTTTAATCTTCAACGAGAAACTGTCAAACACTAAAGTCACGAAGCTGAAGTCACTTCTCATTCACCAGCTTCTTGTTCAAATTTTCTCATTCCACCTTAAATGGTGCAACAATTTGCTACATAGTTAGCTACATTCTGGTGCCTCAGGCACCATTTAAGGTGGAACGGGAGAATACGAACAAGAAGCTGGCGAATGAGAAATTGACTTCAGCCTCGTATCTTTATAAGAAACTGTTCTACGTTTGAGGAAAAGTTTCCTGCCAGAGATGCAAGAAAAGTTGCTATATCTGGGCTGAAGCTTAAAGCAGAGCAAAGTAAGTCCATGGTTTTGTTTATTATACTTTTCAGTCTGCATTAGCACATACTGAGACATATTTACAGCCAAGACGGTACTTCAATAAAATGGACATGAAATGTTGTGGCTCTCAGAGTTTTGTTGAAATGGGACATAATTGCTCTTCTTAACATTTGGCTTGCCGATCCCTGGTCTAGATGGACACTAGGAAGTAATGTAGTAAGTGGCCCACCAGTTAGCATCATGCATTCAACAAAATCAGCATCACAAGTATTGAGATTCAGCCTTCTAGATAGCTGCTACTACAGTTTTACCAATACAGTGTACTTCATTTTTTATAAATAACTATGTTGTACAGTGTGAGAAACCTCATCATGTGGAGGAAACGTCTAATAAAGTCACAAAAAACGCAAAATGTCATAAATCTCCACAGTAATGTTTATTTAAGAATCACGGCCAGTGAGAAGCTCCTGGTGAAATACCCAAAGATCTCCACTGAGACTAAAAGTTATATGGTTCCCCAGTGGGGTGAAAAATAAGTTTCTTTGGTCAACAGAGAACAACGAGTTCTGATGAATAAACGAGAGTATTGACATTTAAGCATAACAAATGAGAAGGAAGGGAACCCAAACATAGCAAACAGGTTCGTCTCACATCTGGTGTCCTCAGGATGAGCTGTAGCTTCAAGGCCGCTGTACAAAGATTCAGTGTTGCTCTTATCAACCACGTCGGCTTCGGCTGAGAAGGCGTAGATTAAGCCTAGGCCTGTTGTGGAAGGAGTAGCTGACTTGATACAGTCCAGCACTCATGACAGAGCAGAGGAAGTCTGAGTAACATAACTTTATTATAGCGTGTGCATATCATGAGGATAAGAGTGGTGAGATTAGCTATAGGAGTCCACTGACATGGGAAATCACTGTTTCTGCAACCATACTGGACATTTGGCACATGCTAATCGGTGGGGTATGAGCTTCCATTGCGTGCTGGCTACATTAGCCTCATAGCTCCAGTACAAAGCTAAAGAAGCGAACTTCAAATCAGTATCAGCTGGAGTTTCACTGAGGAGGAGAACAGCCATGAAAAATATCCTGAACACTCCAACTGAACTGTTTCTCCTCTTCTCTGTAGGTTTGTTGCAAATCGTCAGAGGATGAACGTAACAATCACCAGAGCCAAATACAGTCTGTTCATCCTGGGACATCTCCACACCCTGAGGGTAACACACACTCACACTTTCTCACACTCTCTCTCTCTCTCTCTCTCTCTCTCTCTCTCTCTCTCTCTCTCTCTCTCTCTCTCTCTCACTCACACACACACACACACACACACACACACACACACACAACGATATTATAAGACCTGCATTAAAATCTCTCTCTCTCTCTCTCTCTCTCTCTCTCTCTCTCTCTCTCTCTCTCTCTCTCTCTCTCGTGTGTGTGTAGGAGCAGAGTGGTGATTGGGGGGCTCTGATAAAGGACGCAGCATGTAGAGGTACCATAATAAAAACTCAGGAGCGACATTTCCGTGAGGCCACCACTAAGATCCTGAAGCCGGACCTGCTCTCTCGCAGCCACTCTCACCCCCCCACAGCTCGACGACATGGCAACCCCACCTCGCCCCCACAGCCCACACACATCCCCATGGAAACGGCCCCTGCCCCTGTCTCCGCCACCCACCGTCACCCCTGACTCCAGCGGGAACCACTCCCCCACAGTTTCCTTGACCACCAGCGGCCTGATGGCCCGTACTGACAGGCCCAGAGACCCCCGACTGTCCACTAGGCCTTCAGACCCTCGCTTACAGGAGCCGATCAGAGACCACAGACAACACAGAGAGAGGCGGAGCCCCGCCAACCAACAGCAGCACCCCCCTGCACCACACCTGCACAGAGACTCCTACCGCCGCATTTCGGTTCCTCAGCCCCACTCAAGCTCCGCCCACTCCTCTCGATCGCCGCGGAGACGAAGCCACGAGCGTCACTGTTCTCCCTCACCAAACAGAAGATATAAAAGATAGTCTAAATAATTCCTTGGTGTTTTTTTAATTCATTAATATATATATATATTTTTTTTTACATTAAGAACTTTCCTCCTGTTCTCCAGAACCATAGTCCACATTCACAAGATCTGTTTCTGGATCAGTTTTCTGACATTTTCTTGGGTCAGTGATCCTATTAATAGACCTAAAGAGGAAATCCACTGACTTTCAAAATCAATACATAATTCAGTCATTTGAGATGAAAACAGTCATTCAGATGTCTTTACAGTGGTGGTGATGGGAACCAGGGGTCACCGTGACTACAACACAAATATAGCCATATAGCCATTTTATTTACCATCTAGAACCACCAGTGAACCTACATGTGTCTTCTTAGTTTTATAAGGAATGTTGATGATGGTAAATCTGAAACAGGTCTTCTGTGGAAAAGCTTGCTGTGAGGGAGCTTTTAGAGGTGGACGCCTGGTTCCTGTCACCACCACTGAGAACAAGTCTGACTCTAGATTTTCTAGAATGCAGCATTTCATACCAAACCACTCTGAATGACTGTCACGTTACCTGGCAACAAAAATCCGGCATACATTTTAACGGGTGAACAACCTGTTAAAATAACAGGAAACTATTAAACTGAAAAAACTGCTGTGCACTTCTAGCTTTATTCCCCCCTTTTTTATGTGGCTCATGTCCCTTTTGTGGAAGATCTAAAAAATTTTATTGTCAGTATTTATTCTGTGAGTGCTCGATTACAGAAAGGGCTGATGGAAGGAGTTTTCTCTTTGCTTGTATGTCATTTTTAATATTTTGAATTAATAACTGCTTGACATGGAGAAGTAGCCATAGTTTACTTTCAACTGGAAAAGCTAATGCTGTTTTCTTGATGTCATTGAGTTTCTGGGAGGAACTACTTTCTAAAAAAAAAAAAATAATTTTTGACTGTGGCAGAAAAACTGTAGAGGTGTCGATATTGTACAGTTGGAACAAAATATATTCATGTTTTCTTTGTTAATATTTTATACTTATATTTTTACCGTGCTGTACACAAAGTTTGGTACTGACGCACTTCTGTTTGCTTTATTTCTTTTCGCCGATTGTGGACATGGAGCAGACAAAGCTTCCCTGACTGTAGCTTAAGAGGAAAATCGCAAACCAAGCTGCTTTTGATGGTTATTGATTGTAATACAGTGAGGAACCACAAGAGGCTGCTATAGCTCAATTATAATGAACGTCCTGAATCAGTCACTCGGGACCAGACAGGCCAGTGAATCTGCGTCTTCATATGGGACCCCCAGGTACTGCAGTGTTTTTCCCCCCTCTAACATGCCTGTGTGCTGCCAAATGGTTTGATGTGTGTGTTAAGATGTAAATGGGGTTCCCAGAGACAGTTGCCAATACAAATGAGGCACATTGATTTTCCTGAGCTACCATTTTAATAATGTGGTTGTTTCTCATGGTGCCCAGGTTTAGTTTGGTAGTCGAAGATCTGCAAGAACTAAATATCCATCAGTTCTGTACTATCAACACCTCTCACACACTGCTCAACACGGCATACCTGTTGATGCCTCGGCTGTAATAAATTTCCTTGAATTCCTGATTGGTAATGTTTTCTATGAATACAATGTCTGTAAGAATCGGTGATCATATTCATAATATAATATACTATAAAGCATTTGTAAGGCATTATTAACATGGCAATAAATGTTAAAATGCTTTATAACCTTAAAAGCTCATTTATAACAATGCAAAAGGCATTATTAACATGGCTATGAATACTTCATACCCTTATAAGCTCATTTATAACTCATAATGCATAAGGCATTATTAACATGGCTATGAATACTTGATAGTCTTATAAGCTTGTTTATAACTCAATGTGTAAGGCATTATTAACATGTCAATGAATATTTAAAAATATACATTACACTTTATAGCCTTATAAAGACAACACAATGCATTCATAAAGCATTATTAAACAGCTATGATCAATATTTTAGTTTATGCATTCATGTCATTATAAACATGACTAAATATTTGTTTTTTAAGAAGGCTATGAAAGGTAATGCATTTTTTGTTCATATTTAAAGCCATATTTATAATGCCTTATAAATGCATCAGTTCATAAGGAGGTAAAGTGTATGCACTTTTGTAAATTTTTGCAAAAATATACACTATTACTTTATGAATACAACTCGTTATAACATTCGTAAGGTCATTATAAACTTGCCTATAAACATTTACAAAAAAGGCATTACCATTTAGCTGTATGAACGCAACACATAATGCATGCATAAGGCATTGTTAACATGACTGAATATTTACAAAAATATATTGTTTGTAGCCTTGTAAGGACAATATAATACATTCATTAGGCTTTATAAACATGGCTATAAATGTTTTTAATGGATTCAGAAGGCTATGGTGCATGCAATTTTTGTAAATATTAATAGTTATGTTTGTAATGTCTTATGAATGTGCTCATAAAGCTATTGTGTATGCATTTTTGTAAATATTTGCAAACATGACCATTTTTGTAGCTTTATAACGTTACAATGCATTCATAAGGCATTATAACCTTGGCTATAAATGTTTACAAACATGTATTACGCTTTATAGCTATTACAAGTGGTGTTTATAGCATATTTGTTTATATTGTCAATGACAGTGTTTAAAAAAAAAAAGACTCCTCACGCTGAACCATGTCATGCCTTCTGTTATTATCCTATGATGTGAAATGGAATAATAGCTCAGTCATTTTTAAGTGACAGTGTTAATATACTCGTCATTACAGATATAGAATATGATAATTTAACCAAATTATAATAAGCTGTATTTGTGACCTACAAGTGACACAAATTAGACTAAAGCTAATGTAAGTTGTGGCACTCATGGCAGGACAGGTTATAATGCACTATGCAGGCTGGGACGCAGTTGTTACGAACACAATTTAGAATGAATCACCTTGATTGCATAATAGACATGCTTATGAAGTAAAATGCATTTTTATAAATGTTCATAGCCATGTTTGAATGCATTATAATGCGTTATGAATAAAATAACGACTTACAGATTTTATATTCATAAAAAGTGTTACCCTATTTTTATTTTTAACAAAATTTAAACAAAGTTTGGATACAAAATGATGGCAACACCACACAAAATACATATTGCCATTTATCAGTGTGCACCTACTGCAGACGTGCCCTTCATAGGGTTACATTTACAGACTGTTGCTCATCTGCTGATGCTCAGTTGATCCGCCCACCTCTACCTTGTCCATCCATGGAAAGAGCCCCCCCTACAGGTCTTCCGCTGACTGTACAATTGCTGAGGGAGGCTCAGCAACTGTAAACCTACAAAGTGCACCTACATAGTGAGTGTTTCTGATAAAGTGGCCAATGTTAATGTGCTGTTTCCATTGTTTTGTACACCCTCTGTAGTGTTACTAATGGTCATTAGTTGCCCAGTATTCTGCCTGCACTGGGCTGCTGATGGGTAAGTATAGATACAGGTTGAGCTTTGGTCTAAGAGTAATGGAGAGTCCTTATTAAGATTGGTACTGTATCTGCATGGGGGTCTTAATTGTGGGGGTCTTCCACAAAACTGGTATATTGGCTGAAGCTTCCACATTGAGGTCATTTTTGTGGCTGTTATACATAGAAGATGGAAGCCCAGTCCGAAAAGACAAAATATTGCCTTTACGTTAACCAACCATTAAACCCTGTGTCTAATGTGTGGCGACTGTTTTGTTGTAGTTTCAGATATGAGCCTCCAGGGATGCACAAACGTAAGGTGTTCCTACCTTTGTTCATGTTTTTTACAAGAGTTGCTATAAATGAATTGTGTTGAAACTTTGGCGTTCAACTCCATCTAGAATCATTTGAAGGTGACTTTTTTTGGCACCCCAACTAACAGCGGCTAGAATATCCCATTTCTGAACTATAATCTGCTCCCTTACTGGGTGTCTCAATTCAGTTCTCAGTTCAGTTTTATTTGCACAGCTCTTCCTACATCAGTCATTGTCTCAAAGCAGCATTCAAGAAATGTGGGTCCAGGCCCCTAGTTAGCCAAGGGTGGAAGTGTTAGGAGAAACTTGAACATGATGAAGAACCACTAAGAAGAACTGTGATTCAAAAGGAGAAAATGTTTAAAACTACAAGGAAGAACCTCTGAGAAGAACCGAGACTCAAAAGAAGAAACTCCCTAAGAGCATGAGGAAGAACCGAGACTCAAAAGGAGAAACTCCCTAAGACATATGACATAGAACCACTAAAAAGAACAGAGACTCAGCAGGAGAAACTGTCTAACAGCATGAGGAAGAACCAATACTTAGAAAAAGAATCTCCCTAAGAGCATGAGGAATAACCAAGACTCAAAAGGAGAAACTACCTAAAACCATGAGAAAGAACCACTGAGAAGAACCAAGACTGAAAAGGAGAAACTACCTAAAACCACAAGGAGGAACCACTGAAAACAACCAAGGCTCAAAATGCCAAGAGTTATTTAGTACCACTGTCAGCCTTTTAGACCTCACCAGAATTCTCAAAGACTCATAACTGTTCAGAGTTATTTATCACTGTTTTACGCAAAACGTGTTCTCTTAAAGAAAGAAAGAGAGTGAGTTACTCAATGATGGACATATTAGGCTACAATACGCAGGTAGCATTAGCTGAAGGCTGAACACTGCTTCGCTCCCTTTGGGACTTCCATTGTAAAAAGGGATGTGTGAAACTGAATGTTACAATTTGGAACTGGAATAGTTTTGATTAAAATGAACAAAACTTTTTAAGGGTAGTACTGAGAAGCTCATTCGAAGCCTGTAAAATGCTGTTTGGGCCAGCACCAGGAGAACCCATCCTCCTCTGGGCTGCACCGGAGAGTGGAGTTAGGATAAAATTAGGATTACTTCACTGGGAAGATTAAACAGAGGAACTGGGATCATGCAGAGGAAAGACATCAGTGAATATGGGAAAGCCTACTAGTTATGACCAACATATGAAGATGTTGGATATGTTAGAACTTCAGTCTGTCCTGAATGGAAATGGGAACCTATGCATCAGGTTCGACTTTGAAGGAGTTTCTGTTTTAAGGCCCAAAGTTTCCACTAAAAGGTCACCTTCTTTTTACTCCTTAAGACTGAATCAACTTAACCACTGACCTTGAACGCAAGAAGGTCATGTGATGTCGGACTGTTTGTTTTAAGCTGCATGCTATCATTGCTGTTTAGTCTCAAGTAATCCCTTCCTGCTCCCTGAAATGGGTTTGCTTTCATTCCTCCAGGTGGAGTCGCTCGGCCGGGCCTGGCCATGTCGGTGTCACTGTGACATAGCGTTTTTTGTTGTTGTTGTTCTCCCCCTCCTCCTTCCTCCTCATTACTGTTTCTATTCATAAACCCGCTGACTCGGCAGGCACAGACTTCCTGCTTCTTATATGTACCTCTTCTTTTGGCATTATTTAGGTTTTCCCATCATAGCCTCACTAAATCGTCAGGGGTGCCGTTTTACACAAAAACTTCATAAACTCAATGTGTCTACAGTGCAAGAAAGTGAGCAGAGCTTTCCGGGTTTCACTAAAGCGGTAGCCCTTATTCTGCATTCTGTGTATAAACAAAAGAGCCATCAAGAGATTCAGTCCGTGTGATGCTCACTTTACCTCATTATTCCTTAATCATTCGTTTGAAAACAGATCTTGAGGTGCTCTCTTTTGAGATCACTTGTGAATAAGATCCCAAGGTAATTAAGGCTCCTCCACTAGAGACAGGTTTCCTGCCCTCGTCAGAAAAGGTCACCCCACAGATACTGGAGAAAGTCCTCGGCCCATGTGCAGGTCAGTCTACATTCCAATCCCCACCTCTGGTCATGAGCTATGGGTAGTGACCGAGAGAATAAGGTCAAGAGTGGAAGTAGGCTCGTGGGGCCAGGTGTGATGTTGTAACAAGAATGCACATTTGGGGACAACTTTTTAAACTTCTGGTGCCTGATTGCAACAAAATCTGTACAGGGGTACGGACCCTCTTAACCTGCCCCCAAATTCCTCACCAACCCTGGTCATGGAGATCTGCTTTCCTGCAGAGTCTAGTTCCATCTTCAGTTAGCCACTACTGCTCTAGAGCTGTCCCTGATTGGCTGGATCATACGTATTAGTGTTGAGGGAGAAGAGGTAGCATGGATGCCAAAACTAAGCTGTAGAGGAAAGATCTCCAGGAGGAGGGTTGGTGTCCACCATTCTAGTCTGTTCTCTTTTAATGTCCGAAGCACAATGGATACCACAAGCAAAACAAGACAGCTAGCGAAACACTGTCCTGTACGGGAAGAGACCGAAAAAAAGTTCAAGGGTACAGGTAGTCACAGGTCCCATAACATGAACATTTCATAACATGAAAACTTGTTACGAGACAACTCGGGACAACTTTTTAAACGTTTCGTGCTGGATTGCAACAAAATCTGCTGCAAACAAGGGCATGCCCCCTCTGAAACCCACCCTCCACAAATTCATGCTCTTTTAAAGTCTGTCTACAATCTACAAGTACTACCAGAACCACACAACAAGCTAGCTAGATAGCTATTGTTAGCTAGTAGCTGTTTTCCCATGCAAGAT